GAGAACCTTTCTCAATACCTGCATTCTACCTACCGTTTTCCCGTTCGTGCAAAAATCAAAGAGCAAACTTTCAAACAAAAGCTTAAACTACAGAACTCCCACCTCTCTGTTATTCCGAAAAGCCTCAAAGTTTGCACATAAAGGCTGAGCCTCAAGGTAATGTAAGGATCAAAAGAATCCTTTCAATACGTTTCATAAGTACATGTTGCATGCTTTATCTTCTGCGAAAGCTTCAAAGATATATGGACATAACAGGTTCTATAAAGGGAATTATTTCATTTTGAATACTGTTTTTATATACTTCAAGGATTGGAGGTAATGGGTCTACGGTTTTGTAGGTCTACGGTTTTTCTTAATGACATGAAAATATTCGAACTTTTGTTTCACTTTGGAACAAGGAAGAAATTCGTCTCATTCAGGAAACACACCACTATGAGCTTTTATTGATCCAGTTAAAAAGTCCACGAGACCCCTCCCCCTTTCTCGGACATCCACCGATATCATTCTGAAAGCTATTCAAACATGTATACGTAAGTAGAATGTAAAAAGCCGTTCTTTGTTTCAACCAGAAATTGACTTGATGAACAATTTTTGATTTTCTAGAACGTTTTTTGTATGATGTTGTATTCAAAAACGCATTAGATATACGAAGCAAAAGTCGTGTTTCACTCTTCGTTTAAGTAGTCTGTTTCTCTGAATGGCTGCTTCAAAAAGATGGCGATATCCATAAGAGAAGATAACTGCTACTTCATTTTTCTTGTTTGCTGCTTCCGTCTGTGACGCTCTTCATTCTCCAGTGCCAGCCTTTTGTGGCCAGTTATCTCGGGGTGCATTTTTGCCAGCTCTAGAGAGGTGAAATTTTGCTGTCATTTCACAAAACCGCACTGGTATCTGCTACCAACTTCTTCTGCAAGCTTTTTTGCTCAGATGGACAGAATAAATCATATGGCAAGTTCACTTACTCATAGCCTTCTGGTTTCAGATGTGATATTGCCATTAGTTTGCAGAAGACCCGTGTAAATCTTTGTTTCTTTGACAGTTTTTTCCCAAATACTAGCCAACTGCAGCCCACCTTCAAAATTTCTTTTCATGCCGGGCAATATTTTCCAGCTCACAAATGAGGACTTCGAAATACCATAAAAGCCTTACTTTATTGCATACACATTTTATCGCGCACCCACTAATCCGTTTTGAAGTAAACGGAAAGGCTATTAGTGGTACAAGTAATATTCCTTTGTGAGTGTTTCTTTCCCGAGTAAGAAATAAAGATTTATTTTCTTTTCTTTGGGAAAAATTCTTTTATAAAGTTTCATACTCTTTGCATCATTTAGCACGACGAAGTAATGCACCACGTGCACATAAACTTTTACATACATTTCATCTGCAGAAAATGAGAGCAGGTTGCGCAGGGTCTTCTCCCCAGATGAAAATTGCTATCTTCGAAAAAAAATCTACAATGTGCTCTTGACAAATTTGCAAACCTGCCGTTCAAAGACAACGTTTCCTGTCATTTTTGAATATTCATAACATATCTAGAGCCAGATAAATGCCCGAAAATGTCTAAAAAGCTTATAAACAAACCTTTATACCCATAGAAAAAAAATCAAAAGAAATGGTTTTTCAGCGTATAATTGATGATAGTGTTATGAAAAGGTTTAAACCATACAAAATTTAAGCTGCTATGAAACTATTTAGGCTGGAAAATTGTGGAATGGTGGGATTTGTGGTAATGTCAAAAGTAAAACTTACAAAAAAATGACGTCTGCTACAATCAATCAATCAAAAGTTGACCTTTCTGCATAAAGCTAATGATGGCTAAAATAAAGCTGGTCGAAATGAAGACCCTTGCTCTCTTGTCTATTTGACTGGTGTCATATTATCTTTTGACAAATCTTTTAATACTGGAAATTCATTGATATCATCTCCTTTTTTCTCAAATCTGAACAGTTTTTTGGCGGTACATAACTTGAAAATGGCTTTGAAAAAAGCAAAAATTTCACAACATATTAACTAAAAGCTTTTCCGTCTGACACTCCTCAGAGCATAAAACGTCAGAATAAAGGTCCGAAAGAACACAATGAAAAATATACCCAGTTGTGGATCAAAATAGGCCAATCAGAAAAACGCAAGCACAAGACCGGTATAGTTGACCAATCAGTGCCGCATGCCTAAAGAAAAATTACCACTGGAGTCCAAGAGAGAAAACGAACTCCTTCTGTCTACACAATGGCGGATTTTTCGTTTGTATGTAGATCGATTCCAAAACTGCTAGATGAAAGGTCGACCGGGCTCTGCCAATTATCCGAAACATGTCGTCATTATAGAGTTTTGCACAATCTGGGTTGTCTAAAAGGTGTTGACCGATGGCAGAATCACTTGTTTTAACAGTGTTTCTATACCTACAAGATCGAGGAGGCTGTTCTCTTTGAGGGGCAGTTTTGTTTCTTATGTTGAAAGGAACATGTTGTTTTATCCTATCCCCCAATCTCTGTGTTGTGCGTCCTACGTAGCCAGAATCACAATGGCACGTAAATTCATAAATTAATCATTTCAGTCTGGGACATTCCCAGATAAGATGAAGCTAGCTAAGGTAATACCACTTTTGAAGAAAGGTTGTATTCTTACAGCATCTAACTACCGACCTATTTCTATTCTCTTTGTCTTCAGTAAACTCACTGAAAAAGTCATATTTGTGCGTCTCTATAATTTCTTACAAAAGTATGAAATCTTGTATACCAAGCAGTTTGGTTTTCGTGCTAGCTATTCCATTAACCATGCCCTGGTTTGTTTAACGGAAACTATCAAGAACTCACTGGATAATAGAAAATATGGTTGTGGAATTTTTATTGATTTACAAAAGGCTTTTGACACTGTGAATCTGTCCTTGGCCCTCTCCTTTCCCTCATTTACATTAATGATTTACCTCATTCATCATTAAAAATATCCTTTTATTCATTTGTGAAGGTGAGAATCTTGATCTGCTTCAAAAAACTGTCAATAAAGAACTGAAAAAAGTTCAAATTTGGCTTGATGCTAGCAAATTGGCATTAAATATTGAAAAGACCAATTTTATTATTTTTGAGTCTCCTCAGCATTCCTCTTCTAATACGATTAGTATCAAAATTGGAAATCTTCCTGTTCAGCAGACTAAGTATGTAAAGTTTCTTGGCATTCTGTTAGATGAATCTTTCATGGAATTGCCACTTACCTGTGGTATGTTTCTTAAAGTGAGACACTTTTTACCTATTGATGTTTTAATTTATCTTTACAATTTATTATTTTCACCTTTTCTTCAATACAGAATATTAGTTTGGGGTCTTACTTATGAAACTCATATCTCCCCATTGTTTTTGCTGGAGAAAAGGACCTTAAGGGCGATTTCATTTGAGCATTTTACTTCTCCTTTTACTCCTTTATTCAGAAACCTGAAGATTTTAAACCTGCAAGATCTTTTTCATCTCACATTGCTCATCTTTGTGTATGAATGTGTTAATGAGATTTCTCTTACTTATTTTCACTCTTTCTTTGATTTAGTTGGGTCTGTTCATCACTATGGTACTCGGAAAGCTACGAGGAATGATATTTTCTTATCTCACAAAAACACTATGCAATATGGAATTAGGTCATTGCGTTTCTATGGTGCAAAGATGTGGAATGCCATTCCCGTTGGAGTAAAGAAATCCCATTCTGTTATTCGTAAAAACCTGAAATCATATCTATTTGACAAAAGTTACAAGAATTGATTGTTGCTAGTGACAGCAACTATAAAATGAATCTAATCGATATTTTTCTTTTTATACAAAGTATGGCTAAAGGGGGTGCTCTCTCCTCGATTAGGTTACCTATTGAGAGAGCTCCTCCTTAAGAAGTTCCCCTCAATACATGTTTTTTCCCATTTACCATTCCTTTGTATCTTGTATTAGGTATTTAGTTTCTCTGTAATTTCTTTTTGTATATGTATATGTAGCTTTAATTGGAGGTGTGTGTAGTGGAATTTTGAAATATGAAACTGAACTGAACTGAACTGTTTGGAGGGTAGACCCTCTCTGTAAGGTTTTTGCCACCGAAAGGTTGTAATCTCTTATTAATTATTTTGTTCTATTTCTGGATATGTGACATCGGAAGTAATCTTGGTTTATAAATGTGGGCTTTGGTTGACCGTTATTCATCAGAGCGCCATAGCACGTAGTAATAGCAAAGCGGAATTTCAGTTGTTGAAGAATAAAACTCCAAAATGCTGGCTCTTAGCTTCAACTAAAGAATGAACGCAAAGAAGAAGACTTCCGTTGTTTTCATATCACATGATCCTCCATTTCATTTCTACCCGTTAGCGGATCTACCTCGACTTTCACTTCACATGAGTTTTCACTAACTTTTCACGTGACTAAGAATATGGGAGAAAAAAAAACTGAAATGAGACAAAACAGTTGAAAAATTGAGTTGCCAGTCATTCAGAAGCTGCGGTTGGTTGGTACATGCTCCCATATTGCTCGCCAAACTGGAGGACACAATTCTAAAATTCCACACAATTCTATGATAATTCACACACTTCTGTCTTTAAAAACATTTTGCGTACTTGTTTTGCAAATTTAAACACTTCTTTCTAGAAAAATAGAAAAAATCAGAACTCTTTTTGGAGTTAGCGTGCTTTAACGTACAATTATGGTCAAAATTTCTTTTCATGAGACCAAGATAAAATATTTTGTCTTGATTGGACAAATTACGATCAAAATTTCGATCGTTTGCATGCAGATACATTGAATCAACTCAGTCCGGGCGTTCAGATCTGTTTTGCATATATGTTTTCCAAGACGTTAGGTGTTTCTAAATGTAAACTGGTTATTGGAGATTTATTTGGATATTACAACATGAATGTTGAAGATAGATTTACATTTAATAGAAATTGTTAGAATCGTCTATATAATTTTGCATAATTTCTACTGACATTTTTTCCAGGAAAAATATATTAGGGATGAATAAACATAGTTTAAAGGATTCCGACGGAAACTTCGTATATGTCAGTCAGCGCTGAGCGCTTTACGACGACTATGATCATGATATGCGAATCGTTTGGATTTAAAATGCTAAAGACAAACACTAAGATCTGCCCACCTCTTCTTTGAAGGCTATGCGTCACAGATCCAAAAATAAATAGACTTCCTCATTTCCAATCATTGGCTTTCGATTAGTCGGAAACAAGATGCTCTAACTCAATCTGACCATGTGATGTGTATGTTTTGATGTAAAATGACGTTTGAAACGCCTGCACAGACTCTGACCAATCAGAAAGCGATAATACAACAACGACCACTCTTGTGATTGGTAAAGAGCATTGCTGGCTTCGTTAGGTTCTTTATAAAGTGCAACAGGCTGACGAACAATCTTTAGACAGCAAGGTATCTCTGGCGATCAGAAGATTTGCGAGTGACGAAATCAATCAAGATAAAACATCCAGACGCCAGAAGAAGTTTTCAAACAGAAATCGAAAGGGGGCTTGGTAAGCTTGCTCTTTTGAATCTAAAAATTTTGTTGTTTCTTTGTTGTTTCATATTTAATTTTGTATATCTTTATTACAATATTGTAATGAATCAATATGTGAGACAAAAAGCATAGCATACTTAAGAGAACTTCGTCCAATAGAGTGTAAACAATTCCATGTAAACGATTAATAAACATTCATTATTAACAGTTTTTTGGCGGTACCGAACTTGAAAATGGCTTTGAAAAAAGCAAACATTTTATAACATATTGGCTAAATGCTTTTTCGTCTGACACTCCTCAAAGCATAATGCGTCAGAGTACTAGTCCGAAAGAACACGATGAAAAATATACACCCAGTTGTGGATCGAGCTCCAAAACTCAAAAAACCGTTTGCTGGAACTGGTCAACTCAAAAGCGTTGGCGACAGAAATTTAAGATAGGATAAGACCCACGGACTCTCAACGACCGAAAATTCATGGCCTCCCTAAAATACACCAGCCGAACGTCACACTTAAACCCATCTTGTCTATGATTGGCTCAGCACAACACGAACTGGCTTTCTGAAGTTTTTGACCCTGCTCTTCAAAAATATTCAAAACATTGCTTCAAGGATTCTTTTACGTTCGCTGATTGCATGCTCGTAAGTTGACATAGTTATAAAAAGTAATGTAATAAGCAATGGTTTTATAGGCATAGAAGGTAAAAACTAAAAAACCAATGTGCAAATAAAAGTTTAAAATCCAAAATGAAAAAATGAGAAAAAAGGAGATAAGGAATAGTCACTACCATCTGGTTAAAGCCTCAAACTCAGATGGGAGGGGGGGGGGGGGTTGTGTGTGCCCCTTGTATGTTTTGAGCAATTACCTTGTAAGTGGGCAGAAAATGATAGAAAAGCAACTCATCAGCCAGAAACCGTAAAGGGACATTTCGGGGTTTTAATTGCGTTTCACATATGCCTTGCCACTTTTACAATAGAAGAAAAATTGTCTCCAAATTGACGTGATCACTGATCATTGAGCTGCATCGTGATTGGCCGTCCAAAGTAGCTGACTGTGATCTAGTGCCGACCGATTCATCCCGTACTCTGAGCAATAGAAGTGATGACAGGAAGCGGAAAGATGGCATGACGAAATAGGGTGAGGTAATGGAATTGACGGAAATTATGAAAGAACTTATCCCGGCAAAACTAGTATCCTAATTGGTTTCTTTTTTGACCAATCATTTTCAGAACATTCCGGTTTGTATTTTAAGAATGTGTGATGGAGAAATGCTTGAACTTTGTTTCTGGGAAACTGAAAAAATCCATTCAATGTGATCATGAAAGTTCAAAAGAAATGATCGACATGGATTTTACATTTTCAATTATTTGCAAATGTGACTTCAGTTTTCGTCAACAGGGACGCTTTTGACATTTCTCTTGCATTCAGATGTCCAGAAACACATGATTTTGATAGCTTTCGAATCTGAGTCTCTTGATTGAAATACAAGAGACAAGAAACCCAGATTTTTTAAGCATTTAGATATTGACATAAAATTTTAGTTTATATTTCTCAAAAATCAATATTTTGTTATCGGCACTTTGCTGCTACCGCTGCCCCCGTAGCTCCGTTGGTCTGGTAATACACCAGTATTTTTGGAAGGAAAAAAAGGGTAAAACTGAATTATTTCCAAGAGCATGGCGACGAGCAAGACACAACATTTTCACGAATGCACCGTGATTTTATCACAACACGCTGAAGAAAGCAAAAATAAATGTTTACATACAAGACACTTTTAGAGAAAATGATCCGGATTTAGGACACGGATTGAAATCTATCGCGTTGTTTAGGAAAGAACCATTAAATGGCAAGTTTCGATCTTCCACTCTTCAAAGTTAGAGCCTAGCCATCTGCTTGCTTAATGACGAACCAGTTGCGTGGAAGGTTCTACGTCCTTTTCATTGTGAAATCCGGTGTTTTACAGGACTTGAAGAAAACAGACCTCAGTTCGAAATAATGTTCATCAAATTTGAGAATCCTTTTGGAAAACAATCATTCACGATTAAAATTGCAAAGACGGTAAATTTAGTATTTCAGGACGTTTGGCAAAAGAAACCTTTCACGCAGGCAAACAACGAAGGCACCCTTTTGATGTTATTGAATCCAATATCTAACTTACAACAAAAATTTATTCAAATATTTCACCTATTGGAACTTATAGCGATAAGACCCACTGTCAACCAACGAAGAAGCCTCTCTTGTTTATTTGCAAGGTCTTCTCTTGTTTATAAACATCGCGCCTGCTAAATTTCACGAATTTCTGTGTCCGAAAATATAATGTGCGCAGCTACACCAGGAAGGTAAACATAAAGGCTGGAATACACTAGGCATTTAATTTTTCGTTTCTGAGGTGCATCAATATCATTGCCTTGGTGACATTGAAACCACTTCCTCTCCGTAATGGACATAGAGTACCATTACGTCATGTGAAAATTGAGGCTATGATCTAGTGCCTACCCGAACTCACCTCGCGAAGCAGCTAGTGTCAGTTAGGGCACCGTTTTGTAAAATGCATGCTAACGAAAAAAAGTTGCTAACTCCACCACGTCAGATTCGGCTGAGAGAGACAAAATATTACCATTTGAAAATAATTTGCAAAACTATGGGGATATATGGAACTGCTTTTTGTTATCGGACATTCCATACAATTATGCCCTAGGTACAGCTTATTGTCTAGGCAAAGAGCATGGAATTTAAAATAAAGTTGAGAACCAAATATAAAAATTATATATTTGTAACCAAAAAAGGACGTTCACCGAACCGAAACCGAAACCGAAGGGCCGCAGCAATTTTCTGAACGGGGTCTTGTTTTGTCAATAACCACTGGGCACAAGCCGGCTAAAGACGGCCCTGCTTTTTGGTATCATCTTGCTGTAGGCAATGGTTTCATTTTGTTAGGAAAAGTAATCAAAGGAATAGACCAATTGGGGCTATCTAAAAACAGTAAACTGGCAATCAAGATGTTCCAGGGGGCATTGCCGAGACCCAGTGTTAAAAATGTTATTATGTAACTCGAGCGAAGTTTTGGTGTCAGACTGAGGTGAACACTACCGTGAGGGCCCACTAAACCACAGCCAAGCAAGCAATGTGATATTACCAAAACCATGAAAAAAATTTCCTAGTCAATTTATTGATTCAGTTGATTATTTATTTTTGTTTAAACAAGATCAAACTGATATTCGATTTTTACAGGTGAGTTCGCGAAACTAAAGCATGAAAGTTAGAACACTAGGAGCAATATTGGGCTCACAAAACGTTTACTATGACCATACTGGCAGGTTTGTTAAACCACATAGACTGTAGGAAATTGTGAGCGCTCCTTCCTATCTATCTCTCTCTCTATCTCTCTCTTCAAGACGAATGAACCTATATGGTAATTCTAACCTGCCAAGTAAATAGATCTTAACTATTTACATCTTAGTAGTGATTCCTGGCAGGTAATTCACTAAATAGACAGGTCATATGTTGGAAAAATTAGGCCTTTTTTTCCTGTCAAGGTTTTCTTTTCGGATTCCTTGCCAAGAAACATGCTGGAATTGATTAAAACTGGCGGAAATTTTCAAAATGGCGAATTTTTTACAATGTTTTGGCTACAATTTATCGATATAGTCTTCTTAGACGAGCATCACCTGGCACCAAAGTGACCTACTATGTTAAAAGCATGTTTGTTGTCATGACTGATCATCAAAAATTCAAAATGGTGTTCTTAAAGTGGCAGAACTAAATAAATCAACAATTTTGGCGCTTCGCTCCATAAAACAAAGTAACTGTGGTCAGAAACCATATAAAAGTTAAACAAACGCAACAAAAAAGGTCCTATTATGGTTCAACTCCATCACAAATTTCAATACTGAAAACTAAAAGTCATCCTAACTTCCATCTGAGTCAAGATCGAAGTCATAGTCACTATCATCTGTGCTTTCTGCTTCACTGTTTTCCAGGGGCGGATTCAGGGTTTCGCACAGGTCGCACGGAAGACCGTCAGGTTTTCAGAATTTAGTTTTAATTTTCAGTGATTGAAATAAGGCAATCGTGTTTACCTTAATCTATCATTTTCCTCCTTACAGATAATACATTTTGCTCTCTTTACACAATGAACACAGGACCGAACTTGGTCGATCTCACACACAATGCTACGATTAAATTCAATATAGAAAAAATTCAAAGACAATTCTAGACCGTAAACAGTATGATTTTTAAGCATGTCGCCCGTGCCGCACAAATATGCAGGGCACTTTGTTATGCAAATTTTTTGCCAAATCTCGCCAATCAAAATTCAAGCTTTCGCATATTTGTGCGGCACAAAAAGTCTGTAAATACTATGTTAGATTACTGTGTTTGACTGAAAAATTGGAGCGTTTCAGAGCCCCAGTCCCAATTGCTCTGGTTCTGGGGGAGGGCTGGGCCCCCATCATGCCTCCGCCCTTAACCATGAGGAAGGCCCCCTAGACCGCCTGCTGGGCAGTGTTACTGTGCGACCGTCAACTTTTATTCTGTATCCGCCCCTGACTGTTTTCACTTCCACCAACAATTTCTGCTCCATTATCAGTGTCAGACTGATTGTTATTTGGGAAAACTGGTTGCACGTATACTTCTTTCCCTCCCCATGTTTCAGTTAAATCTTCATTTTTCACATCTGAAGATCTTAGGCTGCAGGTGTGCAGAATCTGAAATATGCCTTTACATACTCTCCCCAAGTCGGTCCACATTTGATTGACCTTACTGCAGCCATGCCGTCAATTATCCACGCTGCTTTAGACAAAGGTGTTTGCACTTCTGCTATATATTCTTTTATCAGAGAATTTCGTAATGCAACTTTCCAGCCTTGTCTGAGATCACTGTCAGGTGATGCTAAAGCTAGTGGAACAGTTGTAAGAGGATAAGAGTGTGCGTCTCTTGGACTTGTAGCCTTACCAACAAGTGCTCAAAATGTTTGCCTGTCCTCCTTGAGAATGCTTATGGCTTTGGAAACCTTTTTTGCCCGCTCCATGCTAGTTTTGATCCTAGGATTTTTATTGATGCAAATTTACTAGCCTTATTTTCTTTGGCTTTGAGTCTTTCGTCAATAAATTTAGCATACATTGCTTCTCCTACTGCAGATGAATTCAGAAGTCCCTCAATGACCGATGGCTCGATTTCGGCTCCAGTTTTGAAATGTCTTGCAGGACCATCTAGGAATGGATCATAATACTTATCAAGCTGCAAAACAAGACCTTCGATCATTGCCTCGTGCTTCTTTATCGCACCAACAATTGTTTCTTTGTGAACGGACTGCGTCAAAACATTCAAACGTTCTTTCAGTTTGGCTCAAACAGTAGCCATGAAATGACTGGTCTTTACAAAGGTGTCAACAGCCTTCTCATCAGTGCCAAATCCACCTTGCATGGGGCTCCCTCTGACCCTTACCTTTCTGTTAATGGTTGTTTCGGTTATCAAGTCACCATGATAGTCAAGTATGGTTTGCCAGAGACTGAACCACCAAAGCCATTAACCAGAAGGTCATTCCATGCTCCCTCTTGTTTTGATTTAATATCCCGCATTATGACATGTTGAAATGTCAGGTAACAGGCATAGTTTTGATGCCCAAATGCAAAACACTCTGGCAAAAATACACGCTCTGCTGCTAAACGGCGCTCAATTGTATTTTCTCTTACAGCACTGACGAAGATTAACATAGCCGAGACATCACGAATGTATTGCATCATCATTTGACCCTGTGTGTCAAAGGCATCTGTTAAATTGTTCATAATCTGTTTGAATTCTGGTGAATTAGTTATGGACTTCAAATTGGCGGTTGATTGGACAAGCCCCAAATTCACAATTTTCCTTTTGAATCTTGGACTGCATTCACCTTTGTTCAGGACACCCTTCATTTGATAGCGAAGCAAGGCTTCAAAAGCCTGTTTGTGTAGCCTTATGCTTCTATGGCAATGCCTTCCCTTCATCGCTTGACAAGCAGACCCTTGAGCTATTACATCGGCATTCATCCACCTGTATCCAGGCTGTATTTCTAGAAACATTTCTTTACTTACAGCTCCATACAATACCCAAGCTACATCACGATGAAATGCTTCTTCAATCAGTGGTGAATCTTTGATTTTGTCTTCAAAATCAGGCATTGCTGGAAGGCCTGCCCGTTTCTTTGGAATAACATATGAGCCATAATCTTTCTTTCCGTGGTGCAATAGATCTACAAATGATTCATATAAACGTGTCCCTTTATCACCAGGAATGATGGCTGGAAAATCGTTCCCATGGTGTAGTGTGTCGTCTGTGACCCAGTCAAAGTTTGTTGTCGGCCATCAGAATTATCAAAAGTATACCATTTTGATTTCTTTAAGATCAGTCATGGCAACAAACATGCCTTTAACATTGTAAGACACTTTGGTGGCAAGTAATGCTCGTCTTAGAAGACTATATCGATACATTGTAGCCAAAACATTGTAAAAAATTCGCCATTATGAAAAATTCCGCCATTTTGAAATTTTCGGCAAATTTCAACATGCCCCAAGTCTTAATCTATTCCAGCATGTTTCTTGGCAAGGAATCCGAAGAGAAAACCTTGACAGGAAAAAAGGCCTAATTTTTCCAGCAAATGACCTGTCTAACAGTATGACTGCTTTGAACGGAGGGCGGCAGTGTGATGCAGCCAAAGCAAGGACCTGCTGAATTGTGTGCAACGCCGATGGGTGTCACTTAATTGGATCTTGATACTTTTAAAAGGCTAAAACAACTGATCCTTGATGGACCATGTAACGTGTCCAGAAACTTTTGCTGGCATGACTGTACAATTTAATGCTAGTGTTAATTTCCTTCACGTAAATATAAAATAACGGGGCAGTTTGCCACACACCCCTTACGCCAACAATGACACCACAAAGATACTATTTGCTATTGAGGGGACTTTAGAGACTGCGTTTGTTAAATCCCAGACGGGTGGAACCAAGGACGCCTGCGCCAGGAGAGCAGCTAGGGCAGTTGCCCCTGACCTCGCAAAATTGAGCATTTTTCTCCGTTTGACTGTTGTACGGGCTATTGTTTTGCCCTTTTTGCTCTACGCTTTGCCCCCGTTGCCATCTCTGAGTACAGGCATCCCTGCCTTGGACAAGAACATGACAGGGTAAATTAGTTGAAAGAATAAGAACAAATAACAACAAGCAGGTATTCGTGGTGGATGCGTTTGATTGGGCGGCCTGGCATGTGGCTTTACCGAGAGGCAGCACTGTGGTCTTTGAATACTGCCCCCTTATTTTGTTGTATTTATGGTAGATATGAAGCTCCAGGGTTGGTATGATGAAAAACGGCAGGAAATAGTGGATCGAAAATTGAAGGCAAATAACCTACAAACCATGCTACAGCCAGTGAAGAAGAGAAAAATGCTGGTACAACCTTTTCTCTAGAGCACGTGATAGAATCGAGATGCAGGGTAACTGAAACTGTAATAGCAGTAGACAGCAGCCACAGGAGCGCTTGAACTGCTATAACTCTGCCAAGGCCTAGCAACCAGTACCTGCAACTTTCCAGCCATGCTATCACAACAGTAAGCAACGGTCGAAATCATGACCATGATCAGCGTCCGGCCGTTTGACGGTAGGACTATGTCCTTTATTAGCGGGTTTTAAATAAGTTACACTTTCTCAGAATAGTTCACTTCTCTACAGAGAAAACGCATACAACAACACGTGAGTCGTGCTGCAAAATATGAAGTGACAAATTTCGTAATAGATTTCGGCCCAACTAAGAATCCGGTCTGGATAATTCCGATTAATCCTGTGCCATACAAGTCGAGGAGTTTTTACTACATTAATAAACGAATCACAGGTCGCCTATGGTAAAGGATTGGTCTCCAAAGAATATGACATCCAGCAAAACATGATACCTAACCGGATTCCTAATATTCCCCGTAATTTGCATTTTGACATTATAAAGTGTGTCCCAGTTACCAAATTTCTGATATCTCTCTTACAGGGAAACACTTCGACATGCCAGCTAGAAACATCTATAAACCGAGAGAAGGAGGCCACCTTCAAAATGACATCAATCATACGAATCCAATGTCACTAGCCTCTTGTCACCTACATCGTACCAGTAGCGCCATCAATGGCTTTGCAGACGACATGGCAGCAATTCCAGACGTTGCAAAAAACAGTTTTCTCCTAAAAAAGGGTAATTTTTGCTTCATTTCTTACTTTGATTGTTTGCAGAGAGAGGTGCAAATTAAAGCATTTTTGGTGGGGGGGGGGGTGTAAGGACAAGTTGACCAAATCATCAAAACAATTCTTAATAGATAAATATATTGAAAGTGTGTCAAAACTAAGTTTGTGAGAATGACTAGCGGCCTCGCACTTTGGTGAAATGGAGGATTTAACTATCTTTGGGACCGTAGTGGACATTTGGTACTTTAGAGGGGAACCTGCTAGACACAGTATGAAACATTTGCCTTCTATTTGCTTGACTGGTGTTTTTTGGAGCAATTGACAAAAAAAGTAAATCATGCATGTACCAAAACTATCAGTAAAGAGTCTAATGTGCACAGGGACACATTGAGGATAAATTTGATAGATGACTATTTTCGGATTGTTTGTAAAAATATTTACTTTCTGTACTATCGATTAACATATTCTTATCATCATTTCTAGCATCTTTTCCATGTCATACTAAATTCAAGGAATATCCAAAAATTAAATTTTGTTTTCTCCTAAGAAGGTGCTGGTTAAGGCCTCCTCTCGAGTAAATTGTCAAATTCACATCAAAATGCGCCTTTTGCTTTTACCCAGTTTTATCATTTGTGCAAGATAGAATAGCTTTCTGGGGAGTCGTTCTGCAGCATATATCCATGTTTTGCGTTGATTTGCAGAACGAATAACAGGAAAGCTCCGCAAATTAGTGTTGAACGACTCCCATACTTACCTTTTTGGAAATTTATTTGATTTTGTCCACGGATGGGCATTTTCGCTTACCTATAATACTCTCACTCCATCCCAGAGCAGTAGAAAGTACCGCCTTTTTTGCACTTTAGCTTAGCTCGGGACCGACTGGGGCTGATTAATTTCTACACCCTCTAATTTGCGCCCCCGCTGTAGCATTGGTTATTGAATGCCAGACCCATCAAGAAAGGGTTGGAGCTAGATCGCCCAAGGCACCTAGCTGACAGAGGTCCAACAAATTATTTCATTGGTATTGTGTAGAAATGAATGGTAACTTAACTATGTCGAGCAACCGCAAAAGTTCAGTACAAGAATTAACAAGATAAATATACAATACAAAGATATTTTAGATTCTATGCGGTTCTATTACCCTTATCTAAAGCTGCTTTAAAGTTTATCGGTTTAAAGTGCTTCTGTTATTGAATGGCACTCCCATACCTGAGAAAGTCACATTGATAGCATTAACATATGATTTGTTGAAAAACTGTTTTGTTCAAAATATTACTCAAAGCATGATTAATTTTAGCGTCTAGCTAGGCTTGGTCTCTGAGCCACCATTATTGGTAGCAATGAAGAATTCCAGCTGCTAAATTCCTGAATGCGGCTAAGAAGCATAATATTACCTATTCCAACAAGTAATGTTAGGAATCTTCGTTTGACTGTGTATTTGATTGCAGGTTTAAAAAATAGTGAGCTGGTGGGCAACTCGGACTGTATCAGCAACCTGGCGAAGAGTTGCAACCAGTGCGGGATGGTACTAAAAAAGGAGAAAACTGGGCTTCCTGTAATGAATTGCGGTAAGCAACAGATCAACGTAAATTCAAAGAAGGCTGAATTTCTAGTTGGAGAAATTGACTCTGATACTGAGCAAAGTGTAGCTGATGAAGCTCCGTCCTTGGTTGCAAGCGGTGTCAAATCACGTGTTTTATTCTTTGAAAGTAAGCAAGAAGTTCCATTCGGCCAAAAAGTAAGGCTCTCTGAGTCAATGCCCAGTTTGTTGGATGAAAGCCTATCTAAGGAGGTTGAAATTCCTGTTGTCGAAACTGAAATGGCTCCAGTCGTGGAAAAAGGTGCAGATTTCCTACACCAAGCAGAGGCCTACCAAACAAAAATCAAACCGGCTAAAACAAATACCCAAACAGTTTGCACAGAAACCTCTCCACCAGACCAAGCAAAATCTTCCTCGCTGCCAGTTAAGGAAGCCAGCATCCTGGCTGAATGTACCTCCACTCCAACCTGGTCTTCTCTTTATGGAGCTGAAGAGCAGCAAGGAGGAATGTCAGCTGGATGTCCATTCTCAGGAAAGACCCAACTTAAAACGGTTCGATTGAAGAACTATGTCAAGGACAGTCAACAAAATGACACTTTGCATATGAAATCAAAAGTATGTTAAGTATTAGATTTGATAACAATTTTTTTCCCCGGCAGAGAGACTTAGAGTCTTTTTCAATCTTCCAATTTCACATTTATAGGACTTCTTTCCAGTGATTTACATTCCTGGATATTTCACGGTTTTTGCGATGTTTTGATTTTTAAACTCGTTTGCTCTTAGGAAACTCACTGCACTGGATCGAGGTGCATGGGTTCGCTAATGCAACCTTATGGTGGAGGAGAGAGTAGGCCACATGGAGTGCCACGTCCAAAAGAAGAAGTTAAAGAACAGGCGATACTTTTTCTCAGAGAGTATTACGCTTATTTGAAAAGGTAGGCTTAGCAACCTCTTCATTTTCCCCCTCTTTGTAATATATTTGCTCATCTCTTAAACAGAGAGCCTTCAAGGAATTTTTATTGCCAATCTTTCGTTTAAGACAAGATTCAGATGATCATCAGAAGCGCGTCAAGGAAGTGCTAGAAGAAGTTGAAAGAACTGGTACCTATGAGTTATATTATGACGAGCTTACTTTTGGGGCAAAGCTAGCCTGGAGAAATGCATCAAGATGCATCGGCAGAATTCAATGGAATAACCTCAAGGTATTCAATTTTTTAATCACAATTTAACTGTGTTTAGATATTTTGTTTAAGATCTTATATCATTGCGTACTAGCTTCTTAAATGTACGCAATGATAAATGTACGCAAAGATAAGACAATCACTTTGATTTGATTAGAGCAAAAATTTCATCATCCGAAAACATTGATGAAGAAGAATTGTTGGATATGCTTGCATCATGTTATCTCTAAATTCTAGATGAATCAGGAGAAGTTCAGGAGGGTAACTTACAGAGATAGGGATACAAACGACCAAATAACTTTGCAGAGTATACTACATATTTGAATACAAGTAATGTTACAAATGCACTTTCTGTTTAAACTTATTGCACACATTTTGTATCTGTTTCGTAATGCATGGTGCTTTTCTGTTTGAATTTATTTCGCTTTTCTTCAGAAAGAGAAGTTGGCCTAATACATATGCTTATTGTCAAGATACTGAAAAATGCCATCCATTTAATGCCATCCATAAATTAAATGGATGGCATTTTTCAGTATCTTGACAATAAGCATATGTATTAGGCCAACTTCTCTTTCTGAAGAAAAGCGAAATAAATTCAAACAGAAAAGCACCATGCATTACGAAACAGATACAAAATGTGTGCAATAAGTTTAAACAGAAAGTGCATTTGTAACATTACTTGTATTCAAATATGTAGTATACTCTGCAAAGTTATTTGGTCGTTTGTATCCCTATCTCTGTAAGTTACCCTCCTGAACTTCTCCTGATTCATCTAGAATTTAGAGATAACATGATGCAAGCATATCCAACAATTCTTCTTCATCAATGTTTTCGGATGATGAAATTTTTGCTCTAATCAAATCAAAGTGATTGTCTTATCAAAATGAATGCTGAATGAATCTATTGCATCATAGAGTGCAAGCGTTCTTCATATATGAACACGGCATTACTGTTCTATTTTGGGTGTCGATATTTTATTATCTATGAACATGCATTTGATCAATTCTTGTTATTTAAATGTCATATCTCTTTCATGAAAGTCTATATTGTGACAAAATTTGGTACACATGCATTAATCTTTCATTTAGCTGCTACGACAAAATCTTTTCTTAATTCTCGCTATCTCCAAAGGTCTTCGACTTCCGTTCTCTCTCTACGGTTGATGAAATTTTTGATGCAATCTGTGAACACCTCGAGTACGCAACCAACATGGGAAACCTCAGGTATAACTCTCTATTTGTAACAGCAATTGGCTCCAACAGTCAATAAACTCAAATTCTCTCAAGCTTTCAATTTCTTAAGGAACCTGGTGCTCGGTGTAGCTGTTTGAAAAAACAAAGAATTACGTTCTCAACATTTTCTTATTTACCGATCATCACTTTATAGTTTACATACAATTTAGTCGCAGGAAATAATTTTGAGAGCAAGGAACCTCTTGTTCTAAAGCTTTTTATCGCTTTACTCATAAGCATTTTGTTCAATAAAGGAATCTGAGTTTGTCTATAATCATTTGAAACTGGTTTTCTTGGCCCCAACAGATCAACGATTTCTATCTTTCGTGAACGAAGGGCAGAGATGAAGGATCTTCGTATTTGGAATTCACAGTTGATCCGATACGCTGGCTACGAGCAGCCAGATGGTAGTGTTATTGGTGATCCTGCGAGTGTTGATTTTACTAAGGTGACAGCTTCTCTCTTTTAACGAAATGTATCGTCAACTTTGCATTTCAAATGCCTACCATTATGTTAGGATTCTCTCTTTAGCTAGCATGTTGTGTTAAATCGACTGTAAGAAATTGTGTGATTCTGTTAACATGAAAAGAGAGTGAAAGAGCACGCTAAAAATTCGGCAGCCTCTAAACATTCTTTTAACATGCGAAGGACAGAAGCAAATGGTTAGACGTATAAATAAAATTATTATTCTTGTAAATTTCTAACTAGAATAGATGATCTTAAGATAAACACTAATCGATAATCATTTTGCATTCGTTTGAAATGCAGGCCTGTAAAATTTTGTTGAAATTTAAAAATTCGTTGTGTTTGTAGCTCGTGTGAGCACTGACAGTTTCACATGAGCTACAAACACAGCCATGAAATATGGCAGAAGCCTAAAATATTCAAGTTATTTCACATCCACTTACCTTTTCATTTATCCAGCTTTGTAGCTTACTTTGTATAAAGCTGCAAATGAACTGACGCGAATAAAATGCGACTTATTTTACAGCTTTGTATGAAACTCGGATGGAAAGGTTATGGAGGTCGTTTCGATGTGTTGCCTCTGCTAATTGAAGTTGCTGGCGAAGCGCCACGTGTTTACGAAATTCCAAAGCACCTTGTACTGGAAGTGAAGATCAAACATCCAGAGTAAGTTTCTTCTCCGCTTCAAGCTTGGTTTAATCGAAATAATTTTTTTTGGTTGTCCTTTTGGCTGATACTATTTAAATTTATCAGTAAAAATATTTCAGATTTCCAGCATAATAGATTCTATTCGTCACTATTTGATGAATTTAGAATAAATTTATTTGGAATTAGATTTTTGTTTTTTGGATGAATGAACAGAGCACCGTAACAGATTTGTCGTATTCATATTTTTCAATCTCTATGAAAACTAAATTTTCCTTCGATTATAATGCGTTTATTTGTATTAACAGACCTAGGCATTTTCGTACAGAATGTTAAGACTTTTTATTTTATTATTTTTAATAAAATGGAAAAATAAAAAGTCTTAATTATTTGCTCCTAAATACCAGTATACTCCTAACTACCAATGTTCTTTTTCTTTGTTCAAAGACATGCATGGTTTGAAGAGCTTGGCTTGCAATGGTACGCACTACCAGCAGTGGCAAACATGAAGTTAGATATCGGTGGTGTTGAGTTTCCCTTCTCGCCATTCAATGGATGGTAAGCGCAAAGACTCCTGTAATGTTTTTAAATGCAGTTTCAGCATCGTACACATGTCATGATTTATATACGTAATCTCTAAGTGTGTTGTTCACTACACCGAATACGTCTAACCCCATTTTGGTAATGCTCTTTTATAGTTTAAGAGCTTAAGCTTTTTGCAAGAACTTGTTTCGCCATTTCCTAGGTATATGGTCACAGAGGTTGGAGCGAGGGATCTTGGTGATACGGCGAGATATAACATGCTTGAGGTAAACTCTATAAATTATTTATGTCATTGACAAATACAGACAAAACACATTAGTTTGCTTGGAGTAATTCAAATACTTAATATTATAGTTATCGTCATGATGTCATTTTGAGAATGCTTGTTCTAGAATTTTCATAAAAAACCTTAAAAATAACCGGCAATTTCCTCCACACACTCTTAAACTATCCTCAAGACCCAGTTGTAATGCAAAACTTACAAAACGTTTAATACGCAATGCTAATGTGTTTGTCTATAGCCGATCGCCAAGAAAATGAACTTAGACACAAGAACCCCGGCAAGTCTTTGGAAAGACAGGGCAGTTACAGAGCTAAATCAAGCTGTGCTTTATAGCTTCCAGGTAAGACAACACCCGATCCTGTTTCTGTGTTTTAATCTGCAAAGACATTCATGTAGCATTCCTTTATACAAGTGCATGCAGTATATCTTTTCTACTAACTTTAAAAATACAGTTGGACATTTAATTAAGAATCTACGGATGAAATTTTTGTTGTGCCATTTACGATTGGAATGGAGAGACAAAGTGAAGAAGAAAATGAGTGCTGCAATTACCTGGAAAATCTCTTTATTGTTTCAATAGAGGTCATGGTTGATTCCAAAATGATACAATTTATAACAACTGTTAAGTCAGACTTACTAAGCAACAATAGTACGCATAAAGATTTTGAATTTAATGTAATAATGTCAAGCCCTGGAATGTTGGAAAATTGACCAAAAAAAGAGGGAAGACTTGGTAAATTGTGTATGAAGGACAAACGAGATTGTTTGAAAAAAAGCTTTCTAGTTTCTTATTTTTTGAAGAGATATCTCTTTATGTTATTTATTACAATGTTTATGAATAATTTTTGATAGTGAAGCGAATTCCTCCACGTACCAAAAACTCCAAGGTTTATTTACTGTAATATTTCCCTTTAAAGATATTTATTTCTTAACAATTTATGAAAGATTTAATGGTAATTTTTCAAATTTGCAAATACTTCTACGAAAATACTTTTCCATTAGGAAGCGAAAGTTACTTTAGTTGATCATCACACAGCATCTGATTCTTTCATCAAGCACATGGAAAACGAGGTAATTCTAATTTATTCCAACAACTTCTTCGCAGCTCCAATTCTCCAAGTTGCTATCTTTCTTGCATCTTTAATTTACTTTCACTTGGACTGTTTACTAGGCCATCAATATTGTGAACGTTGCCTAGTTCCTTTGAATAAATCAAGATAAAGGGCTAAAAGCAAATGCCGTGAACTGTGAATTTCTTTCAAGAGAGTGTTCATCATTTTATCCGCGGGGCAAATTACTCCAAGAAAATCTCGTACATCTTTTTTGAAAATCCTATTGATTATCTGAAAATCCCCAGAAATGCCTTTGTTTAATAAAAAATCTCGTACGCTATTTGCAAGAGTGAATTGCCCCAAGACAGTGAACAGGCTACTTTGAAAACGTTGTCCTAAGTGAAAAACAAGATAATCTTGAATTTAGCATTGGTTAAAAATTCAGAAGAACAAAAGTAACTTTCTCCAGAGAGAGTCTTGGTATATCTCAAAGACCCTTCTGAGCTGGAGGGAGTGGGGGTGTACTTCTCTTCTCCATACAGCACACCAATTACTTTATGATGCGACGTATACTTTAGGAAATATCATCGATCCAAAATTCGTTCACAATGTGCATCATCTACCACTGTGCTTATGTATTCTGTTATATTCTAATGTTTATCATATAGTGCATTCCGTAAATGACAAAAAACAAGCTTTTTTCTCGCACAGCATAGCCAGTCATTTTACCCATGAAACAAGTGCACTAGTTTTTATGCCAAGCTATTTAGAAATAGGCCCACATTAATTTAAATGCTCAAGCGAGCTTTGTTTGCTCTGTCATAATCTGCTCTACATTTTTCTCAAAATGCAGCAAAAACTGAGAGGAGGCTGTCCTGCCGACTGGGTCTGGATTGTTCCACCGTCCAACGGATCCACAACTGAAGTTTTCCATCAAGAAATGCTTAATTATACCCTGAAACCTTCATACGACTACCAAGATGATGCATGGAGGCATTACCAGTTTGAGGATGAGATCGGGTTGAAGAAGCTTACCTTCAAACAAGCAGTAATGTAAGAATGATTCTATTCGAGAAAGCTTATGTTTAACCCTATCCAGCCTAGGCTTTTTGAAACTTTCGGGAGATTAAGGGGGCCTCCCTCCGCAATTTCTTTGTCCCTCTAGCTAGGACAATGAACTTTGTTTGGATGGTACTCTTATCTATTCTCCACATTTAAGTACTATTGTTTCAATTTTAAGTCACGTGGTTTAACGATGACGTCATCATAATGGTGGCCGGGTGGAGCAAAAATTTAGAAAATTTTAGAAAATCTCAAAAAATTCATAAATTCCAAAGCATCGGTCTAAGATTTTAAAATAAGCACATTTAATGCATTTTCTAGCAGAAACAAGATAAATGACACAATTTTGATGCTATTTCTCAAAATTATTAATGTTCCAACACAAGCACTCAACATATTTTGTATTTGGCTATAGTTCTTTCTATATAACTAAATGATCGACAAAACTAAATGTCATGTTAAAGTTCATTTTTAATGCCTTAGCAGAAAAATTAATCTAAACTGCCTTGGCTCATACCATCAACTTGCTGTTTTATTAAATTAACATCTAGAAATATGTCAACAAATGTGTGCGCATGCGCAGCAGAAAAACCATAGAAAACGATGTTGAATTTATATTTTCTGGTCAGAATCGTGAAAAGGGCACAAATTAATGCCTTGATACTAGTTTTCATCAATGTGTCTACTTTTGTTGCGAATCCGCCGCAGATTAAACTTTTTTTTCTTGACTAGTTTTGAAAACGCCCCTACATAACCCCCTGATTAACTAAAATTTATCTTTTTATTTGAACATGTGTCAGACAGGCTAAAACTAAAAGTCAGGAGGTCTGAGGGGTATTGCTTTGAAACTATATGAAAGAAAAGTTATGAAAGAAACTTTGTGCCCCCCCCCCCCTAGTCTAGATAGGGTTGAAATAAGGCTAAATCTTCTTCTCTGAACAGGCCAAAGTAATATCCCATCTGTTTTCCTCCACCATACTGTGTACATATTTTTAATTCAAAATTTTGCGCAACTTGGCGATAACATAACAAAATCTTGGTGAGATCATAAATTTCAAAAACATTTATCAATCTTTTTTGTCTAAAGCTATATTCATAATATCTTTGAGGATGCTAAAATTATTTGAATGCCTGTTTGATATGATGTATGAAACTTTTATTACAGTCTTGTGAAGATTACAAAAATTCTAATGAATGATGTAATGATGAAGAGGAAGAAGGCCACTGTTCTCTATGCTACTGAAACTGGGAAATCTGAGACTTTTGCTAAGACGCTGGCGAATCTTCTTTCTCGTGTCTTCGACGTCAGGATATTCTGTATGAACGAATACGAGTTTGATGACATAAACAAAGAGAGTTTGCTTGTGATTGTCACAAGCACGTTTGGAAATGGAGAGTCTCCAATGAATGGAGAGGTGAGTCTGGTTTTCTATGTGGTATTGCCTGAAGTTTGAAGAATGTATGGCGACTTAGTTAGCTACAGTTTTATAGAATACTTTTTGTCTGGTCAAAAATAAAAAAATTGATTTTTATTTTGGATATGGACTCTATATGGCAAAGAAATTTTGTCTTAATTTTTGTAATGGCTGTTGAAGTATTTTGGAAAAGTATATTTGAAATATACGGCTAATGCTACCATAATTAGAATACAGTATAAGAGAGTTTACTTAAACCTAAAGCTGGTATTTCTTATTGCCATTATCCACTTCTCTAAGCTGTAAAGCATTTGTTCTAACTGCGAATAAAAATTTTAGGACTTCAGTGACAAACTGTACAAACTTGGAAAAAAGTACGCAAGGTAATTTTAGATTGACAATTTTTAAATCTTTTGCAGATTTTTTATATCATTTAACTTTTCTATCTTCGATTTCAACTCGAGATCTTTTTTGGATTTGAATCTTGTAGAAGCTGTTCTAGACAACAATTGATGGGTGTAACTACCGTGAAATAACACTAAATATGCAAAATTATTCCAAGCTGTTGCCGTATATTAAGCACTTGCCGTATATTAAGCACTTACTTAATATACGGCAACAGAGCAACAGGACCTTTTTCTATCATATGACTGAAATGTGGTTTTGGTTCTAGCTTTCTTTAGCCAAGGCAAAATAACAGTAATGCATTAGCTAAATTCAGGCCAATTCTCAGCCGATTGAGATTTAACTTGTGTTGCACATTTAGCGACCTTCATGGTATTCTTGAAATTTTTTAATGAATCTTTGCGAACTGAATGGTGAAAATTCAAGTTAGGAACAGATCGTACTTTTAATATGCAAATGACGTCAATTTATCACCATCAAAGTAAGCATTTGATATCTTTATATCTTTTTTGTTAATTCTTTTCAACTTATTTTTCGAGCTTTATTTACTGTACTAACAAATCTTTATTTCACTGCTCGACCTTTGTGTCTGTATTTGTGTCTGTATTGTATTATTATTTGCATTACAGTTCGTCTGGCGAAAATGGCCTTGGTATGAACTCAAAACTTTTAACTAGCCTCAGGTAAGCATTTTTGTGACTTAAAACTGTTCAATTTGTTTTTGCTCGATAGAGCGATAAATGTTCGACCACCAACATTTATACATGTGGATCTAGCCATTGTACCATGTTTTGGGCATAAAATAGATGGGACACATGAGAAGAAGTTTTTTAGGATGAGTATATAGCTGAATCAAACTGTGAATATCAAAGGATAAATAATTGAGCAACATTATAGCAAAAACAAGGTATCAAAAAGCAAAGACACCAAGGCCTCCGGTGAAGGGGGGCCAGGGGCCATGGCCCCCACTCTTTTGGAAAACAATAGAGCTTTTTTCAAAATCCTATCTTATGATTGTTTAATATTCCTCTGCCCCTCCCCCTACTTTCCAGCCTGCGTCGGAGCCCATGGACACGCTAACGATCTTTACGATTTAAGACGTCGCAGTGTACCGAAACCTCAAGATTCAAAGCATGCTGATTCATTGCTGCTATTAAATTTAACCAAAAATTTATAATTCTATCCTGTTATCCTTTGATATTCTGCCATTGACCGCTGCATATTCTTAAGCTAGGCTATCAATGATTTTGTATTTTACTTACATATAAGGTTGTGCAGTGCCTTAAAATATGCATTTATTTATAGATTTCAACATTAAATGTATCATCATCTTCGTTGTACATATTTTTCATCCAAGGTTGTCAAACTTAAATTTACTGCTCAATCAGTATTTCATTCTATCATTTTTTGTAGATTCGCAGTATTTGGCCTTGGATCCAGTGCCTATCCCAACTTTTGCGCTTTTGCCCATTTTTGCCGCTCTGTTCTCAAAGATCTTGGTGCCAAGGAGATTCATGAAATTGGAGAAGGGGATGAATTATCCGGTCAAGAAGATTCCTTCAAAAATTGGGCCAAAGGGGCATTTGAGGTAGGATTTTAAAAAAACCGAAATTCTGATCTTGCCTCACAAACTAGCACTACTACCCAAAGAGATTAATTTGCCAGCTTGTGTCCACATTTTTTTAACCTGAGTCATTTCTTACAGTTTATTGTGTTAGTACACCGTATGTTCTCGTTGGACAGTCATTACACTTGGAGACATCATTTGATGTCAACCTTTAATGCGTTATATTGTTTCCATTCAAATTACCATTTTCTGATTTGTTTCAAAGCATCAAGGCTTATATTTTTCAAGCAAAGAGATATTATTCAAAAGTTGTAAATCCATACAAAATATTTTCGTATTCAATCAAGTTTGCCAAATTTGATTGTCCCCTTCTACTGCGTCAAAAGACCTTATTGTCTAACAGTTAAATCATAGAAACTGCCCTATAATCGCAACGTTCAAGATAATATTTATTAATTTCCAGGCCTCTTGTGATGCATTTTCGATTGATCAAAGCAAACTATCACTCGCATCTGACGTCACCAACATTGAAAAAATCTTCGATCCGAGCAGTTACGGATTCGATTATGAAGACAGCCAACCATTGGATCTTTTATCAGGTTTGGCATATACTGCGAGTATTTAAAACATTTCAGAATGCTTAATTGCCCAAGGAAATGCAGTTCAAAGCTTTGTTTATTTGTCATTATAAATCTTTGTTCGGATTTTCCGTGTATTTGGATGTTTATTTACTTCGTTTGTTCTTATAATTTTATCATGGTAATAACAATGAGCCTAATACGGATATTTTTCCCCTTGATTTGACACCCATTGAGAGTGAACAAATTTGAATTTCGTAGGCCTTTCGACTTTGCATTCGAAAGAGTTACATGTTGTGAAAGTGCTTTCAGTTAAAGAGCTTCAGGCAAAAAGCTCCAGGTAAATGCAACATTTTTTAGACTTTTGTATTCATTTAAATGTTTTGAATTATCTTGCAAACCTCTTCTCGTCTGTCTTGCCATATCATAGATTTGGAGTTTCTCCCATTTTTCTTGATTCTTCAACACTTTTTAAACTGGTGATATCCATTTTAGCAATAGATCTGACAGCACTTACTGTAGTGAAGTGACGTATGTGTTATTGTAGCGTGTTTAGGAAAGTCACGTGACGAGCACAACATGCGAAAAACTAAGATGACTACTTGCTAGGCTCGTACTAAGCATGAGATATACTTTGGCTACAACGATGCTATATCTGTGTTCATTTCATTTAGTCGCTCAACAATTTTGGTAGAGCTCGATAAAGAAGCAAACGAATCAATGAGTTTTGAACCAGGTGACCACATCGCAATTTACCCATCAAACGATTCGGAGATTGTTGACAGACTGATTGATCTGCTGCATGACGCTCCTCAGCCTGAAAGGCCGCTTCGAATCAAGAAGATCAGCGACAGTTCCACTGCGTGGGAGGCGGTTCATCGACTGCCGCAGCACAGCTCTTTGCGCCAGGCCCTTACACATTTCATCGATATTACAAATCCACCTTCCCAAGAAGTGCTAAGAAGTCTTGCTAAGCTGGTAAGGGGCATTTTGTTTCTGTAATAGTGGAAAAATTTATTCTAATAATTACAAGTAAGCTAAAAGTTCACTTGAGAAAGTTTTTTCATAAATTTCATTTCCAAGAAAAGATTATTAGAAGAAATTAGATCAAGCTTTTATATGATGATTTTACACAAGTTTTATGAAGCAACGATTATGGACGGTCGCGTAAACATTAATGACACTTTGATTCATCAGCTAAATTAATCTTTGTATTATTTAAGGCAACGAACGAAGATGACATTAAAGCACTTGAAAATCTTTCAAAGGTAAGGAATTGAGAATGGTTTATTATCTAATAATCGGTACAGATTATTTTCATTCCGTTTTCGAAACAGAATTGATTTTCTTGACTCCAAAGTCGAGGATGTGTTTTTTCTTCAGGCTTTTCTTAAAGAGCAAAGCCTAGTGCTTTTGCAACCAATGGCTTCTTCCATAATGTAAGACTCGTGATCTTATTCATAATTAGCTAATTGAATTTGAATCAATTCTAGGACAAAAAGGCGTATGAAGAATGGAAAATTGAAAACTTCCCAACTATAACCGACATCGCGGAAGATTTCCCGTCCCTGAAGTTGAACGGGATTGACTTGCTCATGCTGCTGCCAGTGTTGCAATGCGTATGTTGTAATTATTTATAATCTGTTTTCTCTATTTTTCTTTCTTTAAGTGAGGTATCTGGTCTGTTATGGTGCATATCTCGTATTTTATACTGAGGCAAAAAATCTTTCAGATATAATTGTTTTTTATTCCTTTCCCGTATCGGTGGGTAAATTTGTTCCTCTTTTTATTGCCATCAAAACTTGCGGATGAATCATGATTGAGACAAAAATATCACTCAAATGTCTATTAATTTAATTATAATTTATCTCTTCCTGCGCGTTTTAAGGGGCAAACCTGTGTGACTCATTAGGAAACCTATTGCTGCACAATGCAATAATCAAATATGTAAACATTGGCCCTGTCTAGCCTGTATTAAATTAAATGTTACACTTTTCAATAGCGATATTATTCCATCTCGTCTTCTCCTCTGATGTATCCCAATCAAATCCACACTACTGTTGCAGTGGTACGCTATGAAACGCAAGGTAAAGCATCTTATTTTCTAATCGTCTCAAAATGCCAAAAGTTATTCTATCCTTTCGCATTTGTAACAATGATGAATATCTTCAGTTATCGCTTTGTATAAAACAAGTATGGTGTTCACAAAGCTACTTTTTGAGAGAATTAGCTTGTTAGTATCGCTGTTTGCAAGTGTTGGAAGAAAAAGAAAGTCTAGTTTTTCTTGACTGACCAAATGACGAAAGGAAGATAACCGTGCTTTTTCAGTTGCTGCCCATACTCTCATTAAGGGTTACAGTCCTGGAAATTTTGATCATTTTGAAGGTTTAGATAACTCGTTTTCCTGAATCCTGAAAATTTTTAGGCCTTGGTTAAGTACTAGTGTTATTTCAGGCAAAACAAAAAGAGTTCATAATGGTGTCTGCTCATACTGGATGAGCAACCTGAAGAGAGGTGACCGTGTCCCTTGCTACATTCGGAAGTGAGTAAAAGAATCTTTTCTTTTTGAAATAACAATGTTCTTGAAATGACATTTCACAAAATTCCGTTTTTTCAAAATTGCAGCGGATTTTGGGCTTGCCTGAAAAATGCTCTATGCAATCTTCAACCATAGATTACATTGTTAAGAAAAATCTTTACAATAAAGCCTAGCTATCTTCACAATTATCCAACCTTGTCTGTGTTCCTTCAAATCCACTAGACAACCTGATTTTTTTCAAAGGGCAGCAAATTTTCGAATGCCAAAAGATCCCAAGGCTCCGGTGATAATGATTGGACCAGGCACAGGTATCGCGCCGCTGCGGAGTTTCTGGCAACACCGGCAAGTGCAAAGGGATATGGAGGAGAAGAGTGGCACTGATTGGGGCAGCATGGATCTTTATGCTGGGTGCAGGCGCTTTAAAGAAGACAACATTTATTCTGAGGAGAAGCAACAAGCATTAAATGATGGTACACTGGACCATGCCTATTTGGCACTCTCAAGAGAGCCAAAGCTCAAAAAGGTAAACAATGCCCTGTAAAGGAATTGAGACTTAACGTATTCGAAAATTAGTATAATTGTGTTGCGAAATAAACGCGTTATTAATTAAACATCATGCTGACAGCGCTTATGTATGTTGCAACACGGTACATTTGATCAGACTTCGGAGACAAGTGTAGGAAGAACGGACGTGCGTAAGCAGCACGGAGATATAGAATACGGTTTTATCAATGCGAAAAGAAGAGAACGAGGGCCTCGCTCTACAAGAAAGCAGCAATTATATTCTCTTTACCATATTTGGCAATCTCATAAGAATGAAACCTAAAAAAGGTAAGGAAAGCCTGTCTTTCGAATGCCAATGCCCAAAATTTATATAAACATTGACTCTAGCAACCGATCATTCGGTATTCTTTGAAGAAGGTCTTAATTTTGCGTGTTCATTTATTTCAAAGTTGAAACCATGTCAAGGTATTAGATCAAGGTTGTCTTCCTAATGGCAATGATTCTCGTATACCTTTGATGAATTTCTGACGTGCTGTCGAAATACCTCTGCTATTCTGGTTGTCTTTAATGGTTCCCTTCTTCACCGACCATTATTTTGGTTAGATGCCACAAAAACTGTATCTTCTATTTTTCTTTTGCAGACATACGTGCAAGACGTGTTGGCAAGGCATGCTAAAGATGTCTGCAATAAATTAACAACAAAGCAAGGACACATTTATGTGTGTGGTGATGTTGCCATGGCTGCAGATGTCAGCAGAGTTCTATGTGAGATATTTCAGGATCAGCTTGGTTTTTCTAAGGAGAAAGCAAGAGAGTTTTTGAAAAGCCTCAAGGTTTGTTTATTAGATCATTAGCTTATTTTTAGTAATTGTTTAGCACCACAACGTTTGAACCCTATAAACCATAACACGTTTTGCAAGCGATTATGTAAAAGTAAGTTTGTTAATCCTTGCAAAGCATTCCGTAGCGCTGGTTGAAATAATTATTTCTGTTGGTAAACTTTTGCTGCTATTAAAATATGACTTGACATTAATGGTCTCATTTAAAAAGGCAGGAGTGAATATGTTCCAATATGATCATTAGATAACAAACGATGTTAAGATATTGAAGTAGCGAGTAAAAAATCATGCAATACATCCAAAAATGACAACATATAAATTAACCTAAGATTGGATTAGTGTTCCGTTTTAGTTCAGTTCTTTACATGGTTATGTCACAAAAGAGCAGCCAGAAAGAGCAGTGTTGTTACCATCAGTAAAAGTGCTGAAAGTTACTTAACCTTTCGTATGCGTTTTCATTCGTTAGAGCTCTGGTCACTACCACGAGGATATTTTTGGCGTGACGAAGATTCCTGGCCCCTCACGGAAAGAGCAGAACTAATGTCAATACAGACACTATTTCATTCATTGGTAGTATAATTTTCGATTAAGTCAATTCTTGTTGTATATTAGAATAATATTCGATTTACGATCAATAATCTTCGGCACACAATTGTAAATGTAGGGTAAATTGTAAATGTTTTGCTACAGATTGATGCTCATTAATAACTTTATAGTATGTAGTGAGGTAGGAAAATTACGATAAGTCCATGATGTCAGCTTTAAACAAAAAACAATGTCTTTATTTCAAAGGCATAGCTTATTTATCAATAAACAACCCTGGACGACGGAGCTAAAGCAGGGAAATAAATTATTTTAAGCCATATTTTGTATAAAATGTAGTTTCAACATTTAATGAAGTATCAACATTGAAAAGCATGTCAATTGTAGTCGCGTATGTTCTAGTTAAAGGCCAAGCATTTGCCAAGTTATTGCTTGACCTCTTTAGCTAATTATGCAGGCATAATTATTATGCGAGGACTTACATAGGCAAATTGAAATAGATAACATTTGATATCAGCAAAATAACAAATGATTTAGGATAATCCGTGAATGCCTATACTCAAAGATCGTAGTTATCAGAAAAATGTTGTTGTATTTAGCAGGCCTACATATGAATTTGAAATTTGACTCTATATATAAATAACGTTATGCATAAATATTGTATGTTTAATGGGGTTTTAATTCAGTCCATATTTTGTATAGACATATTGATATGTGAGTTTTTTACAATTTTTGTAATTCCTTTTCATTAAGTAGCAAAAGCCTTTGCATATTTAATTTTGTACAAGCTGTTGTATTGTTAGGAATGTTATATTGTTAGGTATGTTTCTTCATTAAATTCACGCAAAATGGTCGTTGCTGTTGTTTATTCTGATTGGAGATTTACATTGCTAGCAAAATGAGCAACAAATGTCTACAAAGTAATACAAAGTTACAGTGACAGTACTTTCGTCCTAAACCCGAGCAAGCTCGAGTTTAGTTTTTGATATGATGTACTTTCTTGAAAATAGTTGCAGCTTCTACTTATCATTTTTAAAGAGAAACAAAGTGAAAGTCAATTGTGCACGATAATCAGCAGAGTTATGAAGGGTTGCTTCTCTTATAAAGAGAAATAGGTTGCAATAATGATATTAAATAATATCAGACCAATTCCACAACCCTGTAGTACGCTTTATACAATATTTGTGAAGGGACCATTCAATTTTGTTACCCAAATACACTTTTTTCGACATTTTGATTAGAAATTGTAGTAAATAAGAACGACCGTACTTTCATTAAAACCGTATGAATGTAATTTTGCCATGATCAGATCACGTGTATTTGTGTAACATCAAAGACTTCGAGAGATTCGTGAAAACAGCTCCTTAGGGGAAATTTTGGTCAATTCTTGCCTTCAAGTCTTCAATTCATGGCTTTTTCAACACACGTTGTGTGCTATTTATAGAAGAAAGATTAGTTGCTAACCTAAATATGAAGTCTGATGTTAATTTGGGGCTTTTTCATCTTCTTCTGTAAAATTATTTAGCACACCAGCAGGACGAAAACTTGGAATTGCGATTTGATTCTTCATTGTCTAAGAAGCATACCTCGACTTCTTTCGCAATTACTGGAAATAAAAAATTGCCTATACTACAGTGTAAAGCATTGATTTATGCAATTGTTTTCAAGTCTGCATCGAGTGATATTATTTTTATCAACAGGCATTTTTGAAACAATGCAACATCCTAAGGGATTCTTAGGTGGCATTTTTAATAGAGTTATATCATTAATAGAGTTTAACAGCTATATTCTCAAAGATGTAATAATCATCTAATTTTTATTTTCTTTTAAATATCTTTCAGTTCTACAGGACAAACATTGATAGCAGCAATCAATTTTTGAAGTTTTTTATCCTGTAAAAAAATTCATTTTATTATGACTTTCTCATTATGTTATCTGAGTTGTTCGATTATCTAAATCATGAACTGCTCTTTGCTATAGATGAGGCATATGGTCTTAATAGGCAATCCAAACGACTTTTATGTAGTTATCAAGTTGGCAGAAGGCAGAGAGTCAAAGTAAATGACCAATTGGAAGGAAATGATTTTAGGTGTCCCCAGAGGATCAGTCCTAAGACCTCCATTCTTTAATTATGCAGTAACGATATTTTCCTGTTTTTTTTAACAAGATCAAGGTCTGTAATTGCACAATTGATACAACAATATATTCTTTGCATCAGATATACACGAGATTGAAGCTTGGAAAACCACGTGAAATTAAATGTCGAGAGATCCCACCTCCATCCAAAAGGATTGCGCTTTTACCAATCAAAAAAATTTTAACTGTTTATCAATTTTCGTGCCGATGTGACGCTCGGTATGTAGGCGCAATAGTCAACGATTAGTTGATAGGATAAAACAGCATGTTCCTGCGAGCATCAGGCAAAAAATGGTTCAGCTAAATATTTTTAGTAAAAAGCAGAATGCCTAAATAAATTGTGATTTGGCTATAGGTCCAAGTTTACATAGGAATTCAGAGTGTACCAAAACGTGTAGTGGCGAAAATTTTCAGGTTATTGGGCAAGCAAGGACGTCTTTTAATTTAGGCGATTTGGAATCTGTCTACATCAAAACTAAGAACTGCCACTTATGTAGACAGAAAAAGTTCGCTTTCTCTCTAGGACTCTTAATCTAGGTAAAATGTTAGCGACCATTGGTTAATTGGTCAAAAGCAAAAACCCAATCAAACGTGCTATTCTTTCTCTCACGTTAAAATCGATCCTATATAAACCTTTGGACATTTCGTTTAGGGAGACTAAACTTTGGAATAACCAGCATAGCGGAATGCAATCTATTGATTGGCTGAAGCGCTACCATTTTGAATTTATGCAATTTAGCAAAAATTTTCCGTTATGCTAGAATAACCGAAGTTAAGAAGGCAAAATCTTTAAAAAAATTTGAAACATTGCTTCTAAAAAAACTTTTGCTTTCATATCATTCTTCAGAATCTTAACTATTGTGAATATATGTATACTGTAAATATGTATCATGTTTAAATCTATTGTAACTATTTATCATAACTATAGTCTTATTTTTAGTTTGGATGCATGGTCCTAGTAAACCAGCATTAAAAGTGAATGGGATACTATGCTTAAAAAACTGAACATAAAATGAATGAAATGAAAGATAGGGCATGGGTGAGAAACATTTGGATGCACTGTGCTGTTAAAACTATCTGGCAGAGTACAAGTTAGATTAGAAGGTATATTCTCGATCTTTAGGATGTTCCGTACCGTAGCAATCACAGTAGCATCAGCAGAAGGAGCTTCAGCAAGCTCAGCTCATCGAAAAGGCTAATGATCAAGACCACCTGAGCTACAAGGCTGAATCATTGAAAAAAATAGATTACATCTTGCTATTAAGTAATTCATAGGTTTTCTAGTCAAAGCACAACCAATTCCAATACATTAGCAACAAAAAAGTTTGTCAGATACTTTTTCGGCGGATAAAATTCATCGAAGAAAATTTCGGACAACTTTTCAGAATTTTGTCGTAAGAAAAACTGTCGTGGATTTTTTAAGAGTTTAAATTTTTTAAGAGGAAAAACCATACAGATTGCTTTTAAGGAAAATTTCAAGAGGTAAAACCATACAGATTGCTTTATATTCAATCTCAGGCAACTTTTTCAAACAGAGATTTTCAAAGAGATTTTTTGCCATTGAGGAGGGGGGAGCGTCAGCGCCTTCTTGCCTCCTCCTCGCTACACCACTGAGTTAGAACTATTTTTATAAACGATGGTGAAAACAAAACGTTGTAGTTCAACATGTTGTAGTTCCAGAACCGACAATAATGATGATGATGATGATGCCAACGATAAAGAAAATTATAAAGGTGACGTAAATGAGGAAATGACGTAACTGACATTGAATAGATTAAAAGGAGACATACATTTCATTGCGGACCTCATGTAATAGTTTTTCTATGCGAATTCTCAAAAATCTTGAATTCAAAAAATTTTGTCGTGACCAAAAATTCGTCAAGATATTTGTCCGAAATTTTGTCACGACGAAATTTTTTTGTAGTTAATGTATTATCTTTCTTAAGCTTCAAGCAGCTTTCTCATCACACTTCTGTACCATTCCTTGCCTTCCATTCATCCATACAGCTCTATAGTTAATTTTTTTTCGGTCACATCTTTTAGGAAGACAAAGCAGATTTATACTCAAAACCAAGATTTAAACATATCCGCAAACATTCTTTGCTTGTTTTGCAACTTTTAGATTTGATGAGTAACGGGTACAGATTTTGCTGCGAAAGACCATGTTTTGCAAGAGAATGCGTTTCCTTACGAAACTTTATTCTAAAATAAACAGCTCTCTTTCAAGAACGAAAATAATTTCTATATCTAAATTTAAAAGCACTTTTGTTGCATCGGTGTAGGAGACTTAGGGTGTCGGAAGGGGTGCATTTCAGACTCCATTCGGGCCGTTTTATCTCAATGAAGCAATGGCATTCGGGTAAGGTCCATTCTAAGACTCGCAAAACGTTTTGCATCCTCAACGTCCATTCCCTGCTTCGTTCTGATATCCAGTTTTCTTATGTCAAACAACAAGTTTCAACTCTCTTGTACAAAGATAACCTTGTACAAAAATTCTCTCGAAATGGGGAACATAACCAGCACAGAACTGGCAAATGTTACCAAAAGACCTTAACCGTAACTAAAAAAGAAAACGAGGACAACAGAAGAAAAATGACACACAATAAAAATTAGCTATCCAAATAAATAATCAAAAACACTTGACAGATTTATAGATTTTCCTGGAATTTATCATTAAAAATGTTTTGATATTCAAGAACACAAAGGTTTTTTGCAAGAAGCATTTGACCTTTTGTGTGTTAAGACTCTGGCAAGCTTTGTTCTTTTAATCTTAACGATTAATTGATTCACTAGGCCAACTACTTGCGTAATCCATTTTGATAGTTTGATTCTTAGAATCACTCCAGCTTCCAGGAATTTGTTCTTTTACCTTTCTTCTGCGAGTGCAACTCCGTTCAAAAACTCTTTTCCACTCTTTCTTCGCATCTTCGTTCTTCGCACAAAAGAAGATGAAAATGAAAAATCCTTGTAGTGAGTTGAAGATGCAAAAAAGAAGCTGGAATGTGAATTTCAAATCCTCGATTGCAATAAGGCCGAAAATCCAGGTGCAGCCGAGAAGAACTGAGAAGAACACGGCAATTTTTGTTTTGGATCTTCTTTTCATTCCTTTGTTAGGGATATATGCAGACTGTCTGCCCAGTGAAATTATCGTGATAATTAGCACGAGGAAATTGATGAACAGGATCAAACTCACTGGTGTTAAATACGCGATGTAGAATGCAAGACCAGCTACCATACACCTTCAATAAAAAGACGGAACAATAATGAGAATAACATCTACAAGCGCCATACTGCTTTAAAATTGTGCAAGATACAGATTCAAATGTTATGCGGTGATATTTATGATGTGAAACACAAGACTCGAAGGAAGTGTCAGTGACAGAGCCAACCTTTATTTCACTTAAGAAAACAGATTTAGTAAATGAGGAGAAAAAAGAAAATATTTCGCCAAATAAGTAACTAATTAAAAAGAATAATCAAAATTAGCATAAAAATCGATATTTTCCTCATTTTATCAAAGGTGATGTAACCATCAGATATGCTTTGCCCTACAGACTGGTGGAACGCAAAGGGGCTTGTGAAAAGATATATATCTACTGACAAAGACTACTGTGATGGAGACACATTTGTGCCTGTTCTACCTTCTCTTGCTTGTTTTTTACAACCTTCTATGAAAAGAGTAAGGGTGTAACATCTCCCCTCAACCATACAGCACTCCACGCGAGATATGACTCATGGTACTGCATATGAAGATCTAAAAACACCTATTTTGACCAACGCAACAGATTGGAATACCTTGAAAGCAAATATGCCGCATCAGATGGGACTTAGGAATTATTCTCAAAACTGGTAGATCGATTGTAAACACTTACTTCCACTGACCACCAGAGTTAGAGCTGCTATAATAACCCTGTAGCTGCGAAACGACAGCTGAAGTAAGCACAATAGCTAGAGGTGTTCCTGAAAAATCAATAGACAAAATAAAGCAATACGTTAGCTTCTTACGATGAACCTGAAGGAAGATATTGCTAGTAATACTCGGGCATCGAGTGGCTATAGTTATCATCAAAGGCCATGGCAACTTTTGCTCTTGGAGGGGGATGGGGGGGGGGGGGGGCATGCCCTGTCAAAATCATAAGATTCTATAGTTTTCAATTAACAATACCATCTGTCCCTATTTTTGCAAACAATGGTGCCTACAAATAATTCTATCCTTCCTACGGTGGTATCTGTATCATTCATTGTCTGTAACAGACGCAGCCCCCTTCCCCAAATGTTGCAACGCTTTGCTAATAAGATTCAGTGAAAAGTTACATACTGACCCCATGCAAAGATGCTTGCTTGGAGTAAAAACTTTGAGGATCCCTTAGGAAAAACCACAACGAAGCTGCGGTAGATATTGAATGCTTCTACCACCATCCAACAGAACGAGGCCAAGACAAAGTAATGTAAAAGTGTCGATATAATCTTGCATCCAGTTGTTGATGTCACAAGGCTTCCAACGAGGAATATCACCATAGTCATCATCAAAGATACTGATAAATGAAGTAAAACTCTGTTTGCAGTGCTGGTTCGCAGGTTCCTGTTCAAAAATATCAACTTTTAAAATCTAATAACATTTGTGAGCGAGGGTTATAACCACATTATCCTATCCTAGCCGTTACTTGTTTCAAGAACCTAAGCACGTGTCTTCCCCGTAATATAGGGCATCAATATACTGTATGTTTGTATAGAGTTTCAAAGAATCAAGAAAGTTATCTACTCATTTTTCTATAAAACCTTAGTCAAAGTGTTTTGGGTACTCAACTAGTCTTGCCCCCCTCTCCTTGCAATTCCAAAACATCTTAAACATTGTAGCTTGTCCTTGATTATAGACATTTTTGAGACGGGTGTAAAGTTACATGTTTAAATCAATTGATAGCAAGAGCGTGTCATAATCTAAATATATGAATTGTAAATAAGTTAATGCCTGAATTTACAGTGCAAAGCAGTTCTACAAAAACATTCGTATTAATAAACAGGTTTAAAAATACTATTTGATTGTTTTATCTTTTGCCTGACTGAATTTTGAAAACAAAAAGGCAATACGATTTCTTCAATTCCCTCAAGTTTCCAAATTTGTCACCTTCCTCAGTTTATTTTTGTTTCAACAACCTTCCTCTGGTCAGTGGCCGTGGGGCCGTGATATTTTCATGACTCTGGATTATCGGTAATATATATGTTATCAACGACATTGGATATGTGCTTTATTTTGAAAGAAATATACAATTCAATACTTTTTTAATAGTTTGAAAGCATTAGGCATGCATTTTGAAAAAAACGTGCATGTAGGACACTGTACGCATTTTCTTGAAAAAAAACTTGATAAAAGGCCTGATCTGCAAATCTTGTGTTGCTACAGCTTGTACATTAGTAAAATACTGCAATTAAACAAAAATAAAGGTGAATTTAAACGTCTTACAGACCTGAAGGACGAAAAAGTGACAACAGTGGCTAAAAGTCCAAGTAGCGAAATTATGCAGCCAATATATGAGACGATACTTAGGGACTTGTACTCTGTGCTAGTAAGGGGTCTTGTTGTGACATCCAGCAAAATCGCGAAATTCGTCATATGATTGCAACTGCATTGATATACACCACTGTGAAGCCCTTTTAATATGCAGCCTTTAGTTGACCAATCACCTTTGCCACCTGCAACATCCAGGAAATATTTTTCGTGCAAAATTATAAAAAATTGAGTAACAGTCATAAGGATTCAATGGCAAAGTAAGGGGTGCAAATCACATTTAAATTTGCGGTATATCACTACAAAAAGGAGCCCAATCAGCTACAGGGTACCTTTCTTTGATTAGGTACCTTGTATTTGTGAATATAAAAGGGTTCTTAAAATTACAGGCGTCTTAGTGAAATTTCATATGTTTACAAAAGGCTATTAGTAATGATGGTCTTTGTGTTTGAAAATTTGAGCTACAACCCACAAGTCTCTACATTTTTTCTTTTAAAAATAATTGTGTTTCAGAGAAAAAATGGATTGAAATTATTTGTATATAAGATACACTGATTCTTTTTCTCTCAAATTCAAGGAATAAATCCCTTTGCATAAGCGCATAAGGTCATGAAAAAAATATATCCACCATTTAAAAGAGTAGTCTTAAAAAGAACAGTCTTAAATTAGAATGATAATATAGAAAACGATTTGGTTTTTAGAATCCTTTTATTAATCCTGAGGTAAATTATTTGGATTTCCCGTGACATAAACATCGTGTGGAAATTTCAAAGGAAGACAACATGCACAAAACAAATAAATCTGAAACCTCGGATCGAAATAATTTCGTTTAAGAGGTGTGATGTAACCACTAGTGGTCAAAAACAAGCCTGAAAGCGAGTAGCCAACAGGCTATTGCTCCAACCATTTCGTGTGTCTTTTGTTAACAAGGGAAAAATCAAAGTATGCATAAAAACAGGCACAGGGATCGCAGCATCGATTTGCAGAGACCACGGCATCAAAGAGGTGACAGAGACGTACAGTAAGTAAACTTTTTATGATTGCTTCAAAAAGAATTTCATGTTGGGCAAGATATCAGGTTGAGCGTTTCTTTCTGGCAAGCTTCGTCGTAGAACGGCAAGATCTAGTCAAATTGTCCGTAGAATCTTTGGATTTACATACTCGCGTAAACATCGGGTTACCTTTGGGAAATCTGAAGACTGAGTTACATAGATGGCTAACAAAATGGTTTTATATTCACAATCCTTTTGCTAATGTACGCTTAGATTTTATGGTTATCCTCGAAGACCTAAATAAGGGATAGAATGGCAACAAACCTTTGGCTTTGAAATTCCAATAAACGCACTTGATTCTTCCAGTAGCGTTTGGCTGAAAGTAGTTCTGAATTTCCTCGTCACCCTTCAGATCTTGAATCGTCCTACCATTCATCATAACAGACACGATTTTACCATTTATGATATCTCTTCTCTTTGATTTATTTTTGCTGTCATCTAATGTTTGAAAAAATACTGGTTTATTGAAAAAGAAACTAGTCAGCCTCGTGTTTTTCAAACTCCCATTTTTGTTTATCTTTTGAAGTGAGGCAGGCGATAGATAGACATAGGCCATCATCGCTGTCTTCTTTGAAAGCTTTCCTTCGCTAAACATTAACTGGGGTAGCTGGGTCGTTTCATTTCTAAAACCCAGAATTGTAAGTCCATCATTAACCATTCGATTTTTGAATATATTAATTCCAAAGGCCATATTTTCTTGCTCGTTGGTCAGCGTTGAATTCATCTGAATTCCGTCAGAAATTCTTTCAAGCAACCGCAGCACCCTTTTGAGGAATAAAACATATTTATTAAATTACCAATAAGTGACATAAATGAATATTATTGGAAATACCTGGTAATCTGTCTGTCATAAAGTACTCGATGCCGTATAGGCAGGGGTATAAGGAATTCAATGCTAATGGGTGCTAGTTAGGGAGCAATTATGTATTTTACTGGCGATTAGACAAGAGGGACGTATTTTGATGATGGCATTGAGAAACGAATTAATATCTTTGGGATTCCCACTAGAATTAACAATGGCAACTATTTTTAAATAAATATTACATAATGTGTTAGAAATAAATATTTATCTTATTGATAAAAGACTTAACAGCAGTGAACAATTATCGACCCTCGCACAAAAAATTCTCTTGAGAATAACATGCTTTCCAAAAAGAAGAAAATCGGTTGCTGGTATTATAGAGGAAGTATCTAGTATCTTTCTGTGGCCACAGCATCGTTTGTTTATGAGGTTCATGAACGATGGAGAAAAAGCAAATGATACATAAATTCTACCCAGGACTTGAATTAGATCATCTACGTTGTCACTGGGTCAGAAAATCTTTTTCATTTATTGTTTGAAGAGAAAGCCCTTTAATTTGGAATCAGCTACAAGTCACTCGAACGCAACACTATTTACCTATAGCAAACATAGGAAAGAATTTGAGAGAAAGAAAACTGATCGATTATGATCCTACTTGCAGTTGATTATATATTTGGAAATGCAGAGAGAATTTGCAAAACTAACATAATGCCAATTATATGTGCTATTAAGTTCTTAGTCCTACTAAAAACCTAACAATGATAATATGTTCCAACTGTTGCAAATTGATACATATACTCTTTTGGCTCTATACTGCGTCAAACTCGCTATAGCCTCGGGAACGGTGCAACTGCATTAACAATACGAAAATTGCACTGCTTTCTTTAGTCACAACAAATATTGTCTTACCTTGTAGACGTGTTCATGGTATTTTGTGATTCTAGTAGCAACTGGGCATTGACATTCATCAGATCACTGGTGGTTCCCAGAAAGTCATCAAGAACCTGCGAAGTAATTGATGCTTGAAAAGAAGTTTCAAAAATCCTGATGAAGCTTAAATCAAGCCTGATAAAAAGCTCTTTGTTAGTCTTATTGTGAAACAATTTACTAGGATTGTGAATTGGGGCAAAATTGTAAAAAGTGAACAGTACTGATTAGTAAACTCTTTTCGATCTTAGGTTTCTAGCAAGTCCAAAATGAACCAACACCCGTGAATCAAAGACAGGGTTGTCATCAATTTTGGTAAAGGTTTCCTAAACCAATTTGAAAAATCAGGAATTTACCGTATTTTGATCATCAGGAATATTTACAACATTTTCCAAAATATCGGTTGAAAACCCAACGTCAAGTTCATTTGTGAAGTTATCCGCCTTTCTTGTCAGCTTCCGCAGTTCTTTCATAGTTGCTTTTTTATTGCCTTCAGTTACCTTTTGCTGCGGAGAAAATAAACTTATAGACAGGTGTATTGCTGCAAGAGGATGCATAGAATTAGGTGTGTGTTACGCCGCAAATGGTAACAAGGTTTCAAAGGGCGTACCCATAAACCATTATAATCTGTCCAGTGGAATTGAACGTCACCGAAGTTTTTTATACTGCGTGTTCTGTGACAATTGGTGAAATCTGTTGGTTTCTAAAATTACTGGCAGCATCATCATATTCATTTACTAACCGCCAAAATCTAAGTTTGCCTGATTGATCAAAAAGAAGCTAAGAAATTTGGAAGGGGGAACTTCTAAAATGCCGTAGATGCTAGATCATATAAATTCGTTGCAATTCGTAGATCATATTAATGGGATTTTGAAGATAGAAGCCTCAAGCTAAAACAAATCAGAAAGCTATGCAATTCCAATTATCATATCGAAATGGCAATGGTACCATACAACCTCAGCTAATTTTTTCAGGTTTTTTGTGAGTTGTGAAGGTTCAGGACATTCTGCAGTTTCAGGTGCCAGCCAAGTGGGTCCTTTGGCAAAATCAGTTTTGCAATAACGATAGGCAGTTTTTGGTTGATTTGGTTTGCTATAAGGACACTGTTTTGCAACTTTTGTCCCGTGTAGGGCGACAGGCCAATGGATTTCACCAGCTGCTGATGACGTGTCTTCGCCAGTTACTGAAGGCATGCAGCAGTCTGAAATTTGAACAGCAGATCTTATATCGGTGATATTACGACGATATTATTAACGAAATTAAATAGCAGCTAACAGAAAATTTGAGTATAAACCACTTAAAGTGGTCAAACGATGGAAATAATGAATAATGTTGGCTCGAAGATATATTGGCAAGAATTTCGACATTCCAAATTATTTTTTTCGGTTCACTTCGAAAGAAAAAGTGAAAAAATCATTGTGAAGAGAAATTCACCTTCATACAATTATTTTCAGGGGAAACTTTCATTTACTTGTTGAAACTTGCTTGTTACTGTTCCTTGTCTTTATATGTTTATTTTCGTTCAACTTACCAAGACTTGTTGTGTTAAATTTGCTTGTCAGCTTTCCTTCGTGGACGATTCTACAAATCCTAAGCTTTTCTTTATCTGTTACGTTTCGATAGAAGGCTGTGAACCGTACTCTGGATCCATTAAATGTCACCAAACTATTTGTAAGCAGAAATCTGTAATCAACCTTTCGTGAAACATTTCATTCTCTAAGTATTTTTCATAAACTATGAGTTTGATGGATTAAGGCTAATCAAGAAAAATAGATTGAATCTAAATTTCGGGTTAACAAATTGTAACTCAGAAGGCGAATAGAGTCAATCAATATGCACCTCCGAAAGATTTAACCTCTGGTGCCTACTTAACGTCACACAGCATCTGAATATCTTTGACGTAGTGAATAACAGAATATATGGACAATAAAGAATTGATGAGGCCTAGATTTAAAACGAACACAGAGGACAGATTCGGTCTGCGCTACATAAAATCTGTTGCGTTATTGTCTTGCTGTAATAAAATCAACATACGAATTATTCTGCCATTTATGAACGACAAGGTCGAATTTACTTCTTGCCAACCGGTTCCTTTTCAATGTCTTGGTCAGCTGTGAAAAGAGAGAAATTCTTGAATGTGAATGGAAAAATCTTTAAATTGATCTTTAAATTTTCTTGATTCTACATTGATCTCACTTACAAGAACATAACATAAAAGCTTTTAACATCACTAAATCAAAGCTTATACGACTAGCTGTTAGAATTTGTTTCGCTTTGTTAAGACGAGAGAAATCATAAGCTTGGTGTGTTCTCATAAAATGTGTTCTTATAATAGGTAAAGTTAATCCATTTCGAATATTTAGATTCCTTCAGGAATGCTACCAGTAAAGAGCAACACCATCTCCAGCTTATTGCCTTGGAAATTAACGAAATGTGCCTTTTCTTGTTTCTTTGTAAATAAAATTGTACGTAAAACTAGAGTGTGGGTTAATGTGCCGTTTTATTAAACAAATTGATGAAATTTAATCGACAGGAATCGTTAAGTGCTGTTTTTGGTATCGTATTATTGCTAATGAGTTTATTTATAAACATAATTGTCCTTAACATTTTTACTTTTAACATTTTACTTTGACACTTAATTTTAATGCAGAAGTTGACGTTTAAATTGTAGGACCTTTTCTCTTGCTAATTAAATATGGAATGCATTCCTAGACTGGCCAAGATTATTTGCTGTGAAGGCGAGAAACATCAGCATACTTACACTTATGCTAAAAATATTTTCAAACTCGTCAAGTTTCAAAATCGTCTTGTTTTCCAGTTTTACAAAAGTTGAATTATTTGCCAAAATTTCCCATATCATCGTCGATACATCTGTAAGAATTAAAAATTAAGTCTAAATACAAACTAATTCGAGAGTGGTTGACAATTCAGATGGGCGACAATGCTTCCTTGATTCTTAATTTCAGCATGTAAGCAAGATCTTTCTTTTGAATCCGACAATTAAAAAACTCTTGGGGATACCAAAAGGACCTTTTCGTAAACTGCAAGGTAGTACTGTGAAAACAATGCATCTTGGGAAGGTAGCTACGTTTGGCCTGAATCTAACAATGTTAGTTAAAGTTAAAATAAGCCTGTTTATCGATTAGATTAAATGTATGAGCAAACCTATCAACCATAGGAGGGTGTTGTTCCCTGCAAATAGCTGGTCTGTTTCAACAACACATCTGTAATAGCCTTGAACATATGGGTCCACTACAGTCAGGTCTATAATCTGCGTTTGCACCAAGTCCAGTTTCTCAATTACATGACTTCTATTGGATTTTACAAATTGAATTTGTTTTCTCAGTCTACTGATAGGCCAGCCATCTTTTTCCCATCTGAAGGTAGGCTTTTTCTGAGCACAGTTTCTGCAAATGTAGCTGCACTGCAATCGAGCATCCTTCGCTGTGACAAGTGAGGCGTTGACAACAGATTCTTTCATCGGGAGCATTTCAACTTTGGTTTGGAATTAGAAATTCATGCGAAAATACATCAGAAGGAAAATATCAATGATAGATCATAACTTGAGCAAAAATTGGCCAGGAGTTTACGAGAAGAAACAGTGAAACTGATTCCCTTTCCACGCCAAGAAACATTCTGAGTGGGCCTATGTAATAAAAACTCCCTACCAATTATTTTAACCAAAAATCATAACACTTTTTCTCAAAATTTAAGCTATCGGTTATCAAAGTAAAGCTTAATCAAAAATAAACTGTTTTCTGAATAACATGTAGATGGTGTCTTTATCTTGAGATCGGACAATCGAGGAATGAATTTCGTGGGAGTTAAAGGAGTAGACTAGATAAAGAAATGCTTGAATTGAATTATCAAATACCCAAACATGAACTACCACAAAAGGGGAGCTTCTTTAGCGTGGTGGAAATGTTTGTACTTAAAAAATAACTGTCTCATTTGAACGTTTGCTCTTTAGAATAAAATCTGCTATTTTCTTGGGAAAAAGGGCAAATAAAACCCATAAACAGTAGCAGGACGAAAGATTTGAATAAATAAATGGCGTAAAGCTTATTTACCAAACGGTTTTGGCTGTGTTGTTGTTCGTGTCGTATTGAAGGGCATCGTCATAGAGCTGTTTGTTTTAGATACAGCGGTGTTGTTGGGTGATGTGCTCGAATTCATTGGTAGCCTCGATGTAATGACGCTTGTTGCGTTGGCCGTTGCTGTTGTTGGCACAACTGTCGTGTCATCTTCTATATCCACCCGTACGAAACAGGTTTTTCGACCATCAATAACTATTGTGTACAAGAAATGTCCATCCGGAAGAATATCACGAAACTTAGACACTGAAGCTGCTACAACGATTGCTTGTCGAGATTGATTCCAGCAAAATAAGTTGGAGATTGAGTCTCCGGACCTAGCAGAGCATATCAATATGGGAGTTGCTGGTTGTACATTAGTGAGATTGCTATAAGTGACTATGAGTTTATTGATGTAAAATGAGGTGCAGTTGTATGTCAACGAAGAGCAAAATTGGAGTTGTTGTGGTTCCACCGCCACCGAACCGATAGGAGCATCAGCATACACTTTCCTCGATTCGTAGCAAGCTTGAAAAGAAAATGTATCAGTTATTATTCACTGGATGATAAAATAGGACGCATGTGAGATAAAGAACAAACACATTACATTTATGCATTATATATTTGTCACAAAAAGTAGAAGTTAATCTTTTTGACTGGCAGAGCAAGAGCAATGAATTTTCAGAGACCCTGCTTAAGAGGCCTTTTCTCTTTTATTCATTTCATGAAAAAAGAATTCCGAGGTAAATTCCTAAATAATGTCGAGTTAAATAGAGAAGGCTTTAACTTTGTCACAAAGTCGCAAGGCTTTATATTATGCATGCAAACTGGATCTCTATGATTTTCAAGGTGGTTTGATGCTTCAGTTGGGCTTCCTAGTAGATAAATCATGGTTGGGGTGAATGAGGATTCTATTGGCAGAGTGAAAAAGAGCTTTACGCCTAGAGTGTCGAGTGCAGTGACTCAAAAGACGATCTTAAGGAATTTTGAAACGATTAAACTACGTTTAGATGATCCGGTTGTTTTTTCATAGTGTCATTTATCAGTTAGTAATTTATAGCGCTGCATAGTTCTTTCGGACGACAGTTGAAAAATAAGTCTCAACAAAAAATGTATTTAGCTTTTTAGATGTCTATTTAAAGACTCATTGCTAACAATGAGCCATTGCGCTACGTAAGCATCCCATAATGCATTTTTAGACTGTCTAAAATCAATTACTGCCATTGTTTGGACCGTCGCCACGCTCGCAAAGGCCCATTGTTAGCAATGAGTCTTTAAGAATAAAAATTGTAAGATTACGCAATTTTCTTGTGAAAACGAGGCTTTTGGCCCCCCTTAACAGACCATAATTCAATTTTAAGCATTTATGCGCAAGAAATATGCTTGATTAACTTTAAGACTTTAACTTTTTTCCATTTAAACTGTTTTTTCATTCATTACCTTCATATACGCAAAAACGAGACTGCAAACATGAAAATAAGGCTGATGGCCCCCCAAAATCCCCGTATAACATCGATTTTCGAAATCAGCACCCTCGAATCGACCGAAAGCTCTTGGTCGCATAAACTTCACCCTCGAGTGACTATTCCCCTATTATCCGCCTGGTCTAGTGCCCTTTTTGCAAAATTTGAACATAGCATAGCTGATAAAATATCAGCCAGTACTTAATAATCAATCAAACAATTTATGACGAAAATTAAAACTGCTTGTGAATTGTATATTTAATTTCAATTCCGTAAAGTTTACCCGAAATTTCCATCGGATTCTTCCAAATTAAAGTTATTTTCGAACGTATTTCCCACTGAAGAAAACAAAATAAAATGCATAAAATGAACGTACGACTTGTCAAAAGTGTAATCGGTCGACTTCTTGTATAATCTTAAATGAAATATCGATCTTGATATCAAAAACGATAAATGGATTGTTCTTCTTGCTACTTAAGTATGGCGTGGTCAGCAAAAATTTTTTAAAGGGTTCCATAAAAAAATCATCTATTTTTATCAAAATGTGCAGTTTCTTTAAAATCAAACATGACCCAAGATGTTATCTTGTCGGAAAATCGTAGGCCTGCCCCCCCCCCAAATGTAAGCCCGAATTTCCGCCACTGGTAATGGTTGCACTGACCTGGATGGGTAATATATTTTAATTCTCTAAATTTCTTAAAGGTGTTTGCAAATGAATCTATCATATCGATTGCTTTTCACAAAAGTTCGAAGTTCTTGGCTTTTTCCAAATGATTTGTTTTTATTTCTTTTCTTCGAATACTGTAGTTTCTTGATTGGTCCATTTTCCAGTTACTCGTTTCTTATAGCGACTTTCTTAATAAAAACAAGCGAATTGTAACACAATTCTTATATTTATAGAGGAAGAAGAGCCATCAGAGCCCTCTCCACTTTATCACTAGTTGGCCTAGTTGAAATGGAGCCAATCATACCAGATGCGGGGTTTTCATGGGTGATGATGCAACTCGTGACTGATACAGTTACATTTACTGGCTAGGGCCTAGTAGCACGATGAAAAAATAAATCGAGCACATACCGCCATCCGTAGCAAAGGCCTTTGTTAACAATGCAAAGCAAATTATGTAGGTGAATTGTCCGACCATCTTCTGCCGTTTAAGCTGGACTTACAGTAGAACTGTAGTTGTGACCATTGATGGACTTTGTTTCAGTGAAAACCAGCTACAACACCCAATACCGCTTTACTTCCTCAGGAGTGACAAACTACAAATTCTCAGTGAAATCCTCAATGTCTTGAATTGGTGTTTGTATTTGCAAAAAGCACAAACAAAGGCTCAACGATATTTGATGTTCGATTTTATTGTGTTCCTTGGTTTTGCTCTTAAAAAATCACACGGTAGCGTTCACACGAATGTTTATTTTTTCCACTTTAGTGTAATATACGATACCATTGACCCAAAAAGTGTACCAGGAAAAACGTGACACGTTGTAGACCGTTGTTATAGGTAAATCTCCTTTTTGTAAAACTTCAAGGAAATTACTATGCTGAATAAAGGATCGTGCAACCAGCCAATTTAACAGCTTCATTTCATATGGCTAGATTGATGACGGGAGGCTTTCATCACTATGACTTGACTTACTAACGCGTATGTTCGAATTAAATTAATTTTAAGGGCGAGAAAATCCAATATATCCTTTTTCATATAATATATACAAAAATAAAATAATTGTTGCTGGAAGTCTGTGATCTTATTCTTGAAGTATTCGAAACTCGAGTGTTCTTGATTTTATTCTTATTTCACCATTATTCATCCATAAATACAACCGCGTTCTATAAATTGATTCCAAGTCCACTAAAAATAGTTTTTACAGAAATCTGAGTAGCACGGTACTCTGAGTACCCTCTGTTTTGATAACAGGAGAGAAAATGTTCAAAGTTTTTTCTTCAAATTTTTAATTTTAGCTGGGCATGTCCTTACGTTGTTCGGGCCAGTAGTTCAGGCCAGGGACGCCGGAATGACCAGCTTCCTCTAATTCCTTCTACTAACTACAATTTTACTTTTATTATCTGTAGGTATCTTGAAAATGGCTAATTTTGGCATAAGGAATTATCTCACAAGTTTTGAGAATTGTCGTCATGAATTAAGCTCTACAATCAAAATTTTATATGAATCTCTCTGGTTATTTCAATCAGCCAGTTTCAAGGGCACTTTAATGAAAAGGGCCCGCTGGCCCTCGCTGGCCCCTCTTGCCCCTCCTTTCAAAAGGCAAAATGGGTGTTTGACCCCAACACCCCATTTTCCGGCGTCCCTAGTTCTCACTCCAGGTCACTCGAGTTCAATGACAAGGGAAACCAATTTGTGATGCAATCCGATGCCTCTGTGTTACAGGTTGTTCCATTGTTGCTTCAACTAGTATTTTACCTTTCTCAGAAATGATACTGTTTGTGTTGTACCAGCAATACGTGGAAGCTGCCCCCGAGGGGTCTAGCCCAAAACAGTAGGGGCTTTCATCCAAACCAAGCTTAGTACATTAGGTGGGCCCAAAAGGTTTTGGGCTTAATGATTTTGCCCCAAGCATGTTACTCAACCCGAGGGGCAATTCACTCTTGCAAATAGCGTACGATATTTTCCCTAAAACAAAATGATTTCCAGAATTTTCATATACGCCAATAGGATTTTCACAAAAAGTGTACTAGATTTTCTTGGAGTGATTTGCCCCTCGACTCAACCCCTCCTTCTGCCCATATATTTGACCGGCACATTTGTCACAAAATATGATTGGGAAGTGACCAATGATATTGAATATTTCTTTTGTACATTGTTTTAACAATCGACAACGTAAACCAATCAGATCTCTTTATTACGAATGACTATTTTGATCGAACGCATGGTCACACAGACAGGACAAGGTGAAGAACGTTCGGTAGTAAAGTTTGGAAGCAAGAAAGTGGAAAGCTGTGAAGAAGTAAATTAGGTAATCTCTAAAGCCTGGTTGCCCTCTGGAGTACTGTTTGGTTATAGATTAGATTCTAGGCCGATTTTGCACCTCAGTTTTTGCTTAAGTAGCTCTTTATAATCTAAATTTCGTTGATTTTAATTGAAGTACCATGCGGAACGCCATTTTGTTTGTCACCGTAGGAGCATTCAAGGACAAAATGAAAATCAAAGTTTAAATTTGAATTATGTCTGCAGGTTACTAAATGTGATGCTGCAGTGAAATTGATCCTCTTTGGTTAATTACCTGATTATTGGCGAGGTGCACAAAAGCAAGCGCAAGAGCTCGTGCTACCCTTTCCCAGGGCCTGATGTTCAGCACAGTACTAGGGGTTTCCCCTGCATTTTTCAGAGTTTGTTTACGTTTTAGCTGAACCAGCATTGTCTTTTACTGCTCTTTACTGTTGTCTTTCTCGTTAAAGAGATTCGAAAGCACGTTTATTCAAAGAAGTTGCAAATTCCTGTTTTTTCTTATTTTTGGAATTGGCGAGTTCCCGCCTGTCATGTTGACCATCACCTCTGCCTTCGGCTTAGATGATGCCCCTCTCTGATAACATTTTTAACGCTTACGAAAAAATAATTTGTTTTATGGTCTTGCATGTTTCATGCTTGTTTTACGACTTGTTTTCCTGGATTTGTCTAGTGTTTAGAAACTAACCAAAGCTTATTTTTTTTTCTTGAGGAATCATCGCTTTTTACAAACAAGGAACCCTTTTAACAATGGAACCCTTTACTCCAGTGTAAATAGATAACGACGTGTACATACAAACCAACGTATTCAGGCAGACGACTTGTGCCAACAAATTTTGTTATTAATTATTGTTTGTTAAAGAAAGTGCAAATACGGAATGGACGTTTTAATGAGTCTTTGATGCTTTGGTCATTTACTTTACTTCCAGTGTTTTATAGCATCCGAAGCTTACCAACCTATCGCCCTTAACCAAGTGTTACCAGAAAATCCTCATCATATGCATCAATACTACTGTGTTTCTAATATTTAAATGCCATGGTAAAGGTTTCCATATTTCAGTAATCTAATGCGTTTGAATGAAAACATGCAAATTTTTTTTCGAAATTGATACCAATATTTCATTATGAAAACTTTCAAAATCATTTAAATTACCAGCTTTTTTGTAATAAAAATTTGTAATAATGCAAGCCTCTAAAGTTGTCAAAAGTTAAGTGTGCATATATGCCTTTCAACTATGTTAATTGTCTATCAATATCTGACCACCAACAGAGGAAAGAAGAAACCTGAAATTCAGTGACCTGAGGGACATAAACATGCCCAGGTTATTCAAATGGCAAAGAGGATTACATTTCATTTGCAATTCTCAATGATGTTGAAGCTCAAATTATTCAAAAGCGTTTCAACCAAATTAAAATAAAAACAAATATCTTAAACTATAATGTTGTTTGAAAAAGCTCTCTAAATTCTGTAACTCACACCCCAATAGTTTAAGAACAAATGAAAACAATCAAGTCTCACTAGTTGTAGAAAAATTGGGAAAAGCCAGCCTGAAACTCAGTTTACTGCTTTTTATGAAAAAAGTTTGAAGTCAAATTGAAAAGAAGAGCTAAAGATCATGGTTTAGATCTATCATTTAGATTTAAATTTCCAAAGTTATCCCAAACAATGACTAGAAATCCTAAATTTCTTGAAAAGTCATTTTGCTCTAAAACTGATTTCTAAAATATATTTTTAAAAACAAGTTGTAGTAAGTTTCTTTAAGTTATGGAATAATTGAATAATGACAAAAAACATCAAGTAAATAGAATTTTTTTTCAAAAAGCATGCCTTTCCAATGAACTGTATCGAACTGGGTTGAGGAATCACCAAAGCAATATGATATTGTTCTTAGTTGAATGCCAACCAATGTCAGATAGGTGTGCCACAGAGATAGGTTAAAAACAGCTATTATTGTTTTGATTGTAACAATTACTTCCAAATATGGGTGGACAACTGCCCCATTTGACCACCCTCTCAATATAATTACCAAAATGCCTTGAATAAGTGCCCAGGCGTTATTTAATTTTTGAGGCTCCAGGGTGGGCGCTTATTCGAGGGAGGCGCTTAATCAAGGAAGGGGCTTATTTAAAAAATAGATTTGGAAGTGACTGAAAAATGAATGTGTTTTCAATTGAAGCATGTTATTATAATGGAAATGCAAAAATGAGAATGAAAACTAAAACAAACTGTGTTGGTCATTCAATCTTTCTTGGTGTATTGCCTTCCAATTATGTTGTCGCTGAAAATTCGAAAAAGCGCCTGTTTCTGAAGGTTGAAGGGTGGGGGGGGGGGGGGCTTGGGGGCTTGGACATGGTTTTGTGTTCTTTTGTTGTAAAACAATGGGAAAATCTGAAATCATGTTGATAAAACAATAGGCTTGCCCCCACCCCAAATTTGACCAAGTGTCTGCCCCTGGGTTCAACATTACAAAGATCTTATAATTTTGAGTGGCAAAGAAGACAGTTTCTTATTTTTTATGGACAGAAATAAGTGGAAGGGCTCAACTCTAGATTTAGGAAAGCTTGCAGGCACAATTGGCTCTTGCAGGCAGGTATATAATGGATGTTCTTGTTCCTTGTTTAAAAAAGCCCAAGCTTTAGAAACCAATGAGATCCAAAAAAGTAACCCCAGATTCCTAAAAGTTTTGAAATTTAGTGCAAACTTAAGTCCTTTATCCCAGTTGTTTATTAATAAAGATATATAGATGCTAAGCGGCTTGCCTTTTCAAGTTGCGATGCTTTTTTCTTACAGGAGCAACCCCTATCGTTAATAAATAGAGACCTTAGAAAAGTGCTAAAAAATAGACCTAGAAAAGTATGTGTAATGGGATTAGTTTAGGTATCTGTATTTGTAAAGTTGTACACTTGCCCAATGGTGGCATTAACATTGAAACTCAGAGCTAGGACTTAGCATTGCCTTGTTTAGCTGCCAAAAGCCTGTTTAGCTCTATGAGCACTAAATGCCAGGCTGATATGGCAGTACTTTAGGTTTTCTTGATAAAATTGACTGGTCACATCTCAATAAATTTGTAGCTTCGGATCACTATGACTGGAAGAGCAAGAGGTAGATCAAGAGGAAGGGCGCGTGCTGTGCAGGCAGAACCTGCACCTGTGCCAGGGGCTCCATCCTCCCTTGAAGAAGCACCACAGGTACCAACCCAGAAAGTTGCAAGAGGAAGAGGCCGTGCACCTACACAAGCACCACCAGCAGCAACACCTCAGCCGTCAGAACTGAAGAGACTTGGTGAACAGGTTGCAGAAATGAAAGTGAGTGGAGGAGCATCAGCTGAGGAACGTCCATATCGTGGTGGTGATGATGGAGGCCTTGTTACCAGACCAAGTAACATAAGTGAGACAACTGGTTCTTTTGGAAGGCCAATAAGTCTGAAAACAAATTATTTTGTTCTTGGTACTGGAAGCAAATTTACAGGTTTTTTTCAATACATGGTTTCGTACAACCCTCCAATTGAAAGCAGGAACCTGAAGTTTATGTTGTTGAAGGATCACAGTGAACTTCTTGGCACAGTGCGAGCATTTGATGGCATGATTTTGTATCTGCCAAAGAAGCTGCCTGATTTGGAGACCAAGCTAATGTCAACAAGAAGATCTGATGGTTCTTCAGTTGAAATCACTATCAAGTTTACTAATGAATTCCCATTCTCATCACCACGCACAATTCAGTTGCTGAACATTATTTTCAGAAGGTACAGTGCAATTTGTGCATTTAAACCATTGCATTGCAGCAGTAGTCTACACTTTCTAATAAGTCTTCGCTAAACTCATATGATATAAAAGTGATGACATGAATAACTAACATGTAGACAAAGGTTGTCTGACATGCAGTGACAGTACATGCAGACCTTAATGGATTGTGGTAATAGCATCTGAGGGGTGCTCTTTCTTTCCTCAAAATCTTAGCTTTTATGAATTTTTAATACGTAATTTTTGTTGCATTGAAAAGCAAACCATATGAAATGAAGAGTGTATCCACACAGTTCTTACAACACTATACATTAAAAGCATAATACTCCTGTTGATGAAGTTTTAATCTTTACTAGTAAAGAGACATTTCCAGAGGAAGTTCATTCTGTATATATCATCTTTCTTGCATGCCTATTGACCTAAATTTGAGTCCTGTTTACAGAAAGCTTTTTTCTTTTGTTGTTGTAGAATTTTGAAAATAATGGAAATGCAACAGATTGGCAGGTCATTCTTCAGCCCAAAAAGAAATATTGATTTGGATCAGCACAGGTATTTACCTAACATACATATTCAACATTTACAATCGTGATAGGGGAACTTCTCATCTGTGGGAGACACCTGGAGGGAGAGGGAGTGGTTGAAGGGGGGCAGTTGCACAACATATTTCAGAAGGCAATCGTTCTAAAAGAATGAACAAATGTGATATCATTTTATCAAAGCAATAGGCTTGCCCCCCAAATTTGAGTGCCTGACACTGCTACAAATGATATCATGCTTTTCTATTTAGGATGAATCACTTCATTCCATTGATGACAAGTATATATATATATCAATATTTTTACTCCATTTTCTTTTTGTTCTTTGTATGATTTATAATTTGGTTGAATGATTTCAAATTTTCTAAGTAAAGTTGCAAATGAACTGAAGTTGAACATTTCAGTTCCTTTAAGTTACCCCCTCAAATCAGCTCCCATCCACAAACTTCCTTAACTATTAAGCCCTAATAGGGCTAATTTTTGAGATTCACAATATTTATTGAATTATTTTTCTTTCAAAGGCTGCAGCTTTGGCCTGGCTACAATACAAGCATTCTTCGTTTTGATGCTGGAGTTCTTTTGAACATTGATGTCTCTCACAAAGTTATGCGTCTTGACACAGTGCTTGATATTTTGACTGAGTTATACAGTCAAGTTGGAGAGAGCAGGTTCCATAACATTGCAACTAAGAAGCTGGTTGGGGAGACAGTTTTGACCAGGTTTGAAATCACATTATTGTCTTTTTATAACTTCTATATGTAACTCCTTTTTCTATATTATGCTTTTACTTTCCCCTTTTAGTTACCATGTTTTTCATAAAATAATCCTGAAAGGTTTTTGTGATGGAGTTTTCATATATATTTATTTTTTTGCATATTTATTTTTAATGATTGGAGTTTCAGCACACATGCCAAATTTCAGAAAAGTCTACATGTAGCATCTTAAGTAAAATTAGGAAAATGCTACAAGGCCTCAATTAAAAGTTCAATGTATCCTGAAAGTTTCATGACACAGTGATTTTTTTCACTGAGATATGGCACATTTAAATCTTTTTGTTTTTGCATTAACTTTATGGTGGTTGGCCAAAACTTCCATTATATAAACACTTGTTGAACAAAAGTATTGCACTAGTTGTAACACAAATGGCAGCTCTGCATGAAATGTTCTTGGCAATCTAGCCATGACATTTGAAGTATATACCTGTAAAACCTTTGCAATAGAAAAGTGTTTTTGGCACCAATTATTTGTGATATCTTTTACAATGAACTCGGGGGGTACTTACTTAATGCTTGGATGTCTAGAACTGCTCATTTTCCTCACTGTTGTTGGAGATTATGCTAAACGTTTGGTGAGAAATTTTTGAAACTGCTTCAGGCTCTATGGCAGCAACCACTTTGTGAAATGTTACAGCAGAACTCAGCAGATAAAAAGTGTAGAAAATCATAAAAAATATTTAATCTTTTCCAACCAATTGTGATGTTGTTAAGGGAATGAGTGATGCTGCAAATTGCTGCATTTTTCTCTGCCAAAGACAAAAATTCCTGTGATAAACAGGTACACTCAAGTGCCTCAATACCTGTGCAATACAAGTGTATTTATTTATACATTTTAACAAAATATAAATTTATATATGTTTGTATTAGCAAAAAATATTAATGCAAAAATCTCTACATTTCAACAAAACTATGTTTTTACATTGAAACCTATAATTTTTTTCGCCTTTCTACTAAACTACAAAGAACCTAATTTGCTAAGCCAATAGAACCAACTTTATCAGTTTCTGGTTCCCTGCAAGTTCATATTTTGTGGTCTGTGCTAGGACAATAATTGTTTAAAAATTTTGTCCGTTAGCTGTGTCTACATAGTACCATTCCTGCCTAAAACTATACAGGAAAAATCAAATGTTTTAAGATACATTGATGAGGGTCTTTAATATTTTAGTGCTACAGGCAGCTAGACAAAAAATGTTATGGGTAAATTGATGCTTGTGTCTGGAATCCTGGACACTAGAAAGTAAGGTTTATATAAAGGAAGGCCAACACATGTTTAATAGTTTACTTGCATTTCTTATAGTTTATGAAGGTAATTTTATTTTGTGATTTAATTTTTCAGATACAACAACAAAACATACAAGATTGATGATATTGCTTGGGATAAAAATCTGTCTCATTCTTTTGCCAAAAGAGATGGTTCAAAAATCACCATGAGACAATATTATAAGGAAGCATATGATAAGGATCTGACCAATGATCAACAGCCATTGTTGGTCAGTAATCCTAAGAAAAGGGTATGTCGTATTGTTTATATAGTATAGTATAGTAATCAAGATTATTTTGAAATATATATAATTAAAATATTTATATATAACAGAGTAATACTTCATTTATATACATTTGCTGTTTCCTAAAACCATTCAAGTCAAAGGAATTATCAGCCATTTTGAAGGAAATTTCACAAAAACAAGCCATAAATATTTTTTTAAGGCTTTTTCTTTTATTAGACAGAAACCATGTCTTTGTCTTTTTATTCTCTTATTTTTTTGGCATTAACAATTATTTCATCTTTCTGTCTTTCTTCTTTTATTGTATATATTATATAATGTTTTTCATGCCTCTTAGACAAAGTCTTTAAAGCGAAAATCCTTCATGGTCATTGAATGATTGGAAATATTTTGTATATATATAAGTTTTATTTGTAGGGAGCCCTCACTCTTATTAAGTAAATCTGGAAACTTGGGGTTATGAAATATATCTGGGAACACCTAAATCCACCATACTTTAGTACAATATAGAGACTGCATCATTTAACTGCTTATAAAGAATTTATTTATTAATATCAAACCACAACAGAACAGTAATTTGCTACCACCCTAGGACTTACCACAGCTGGTTTTTTATTGTCAACAGTTTTCATGGTAAGACACTGAAAGAAATGTTCATTAACATTCCATTAACATTATTCCAAAAGCCATCAGTTAGGTCTGTTTTCTAGGCAATTTATATTTTCTTTGCTTTAGCTTATTAGTTTGCAACTTGTGATGTAGTTTGCATTTCATTGTTGTTTACCATCATAGGACATACGCAGAGGACAAACAGAGCCCATTCTACTTGTGCCAGAGCTTTGTTATATCACAGGTAAGTTGGACTTCAATACAGATTTCCAAATGGGCCAGCAATGCCAATTTCCCCCATTTATTTTACATTGTCATGTCTTGTTAATTATTATGTACTTTTGTCATACCTACAATGAAAACAGATTACTTAGGAATAGTATATATTTGTTGAGGAGATGAACCTGTGTTTGTTCCAACGCCCCTAATGGCCAGAAAGTCAGTATCAAATCAACAAGAAACCATAGTTGTAAGTTTTCAAAAAGGGTTGTTTTCCAACATTTTGTGAAATGAAAAGCTTTCTAGCACAGGCTTCGACACAGGTTGTGAAGTGGAGAAAAGGGAGGGGGCAAAAGAAAATTCACAACATAAGATTTTGAAAATGGCTTTGAAAAAAGCAAACATTTTACGACATACTAAAAGCTTTTTCGTCTGACACTCCTCAGAGCATAAAATTTCAGAATAAGGTTCCGAAAGAACACGATGGAAAATATATACCAAGTTGTGGATTGAAATAGGCCAATCAGAAAAACGCAAGCACAAGACCGGTATAGTTGACCAATCAGTGCCACGAGCCTAAATAAAAATTACCAATGGAGTCCAAGAGAAAAACGGATTCCTTAGTTGGAGACCCTCTAGCACAAAAATTTCCCAAGGAAAAGCCCCATGACCCCCACCTTCAACCAAGGCTCCACTCCCCCTTCCCCCTTCCAATCTTGCTTTATTGGCTTTGTAACTATTTCTTGGGTTTGCGATTTTTGAAGAAGGCCCGTATCCATGAAACTCTCTCTAAGATTGAAGATAGCAAGTTGCCTTTCTCTTATAGAACAATCTTTGCTATTCGACCAGTCAATGCTATTCAATCAGTCACGGCTATTCGATCAGTCACGGCTATTCGATCAGTCACGGTTATTCAAATAAAAAACGCTATTCGATCAGTCAGGGTTATTTGAATAGTCACAGCTATTCGATCAGTCACAGTTATTGAATAGTCAACGCTATTTGATGTGTCACAGCTATCAAACAACCATTGTGGACCCCCAACAGTGAGGTTATTCGCACTATTCGTCTTCAACCGAATAACTAAAACTTGTTAAAAATGTTAGATATATATAGACAATATCTCATAATTTTTTGTTAGGGCTCTCTGATGACATTCGCCAGAACTTCCAAATTATGAAAGAATTGGCAGTTCATACCAGAATGGGTCCTGAGCCTCGTGCAAAGCAGTTGAAAGCATTTATGGATGAATTAAACAGGTATATATTGACAAAAAAGGAAAAATCTATACTTAACACAAAGTTTGCTACAGAAAACTGTTAAAATTTCATGTATATATATCTTGTAAATCCTTTTCTAATTTTGATCTTGAATGGTAATGTATGGTGATAAAGTTTATAAATACATCAAAGGTGTTTTTATATTTTAGATAATTTGTTTATAGTTATTTATTATTTATCTTCTGTTGGTTGTAGAAATGCTGAAGCCTCCAAGCAACTGACAGACTGGAATCTGGGAGTATGAACATTCATATTTTCAATATATATACACACAATAGCTATTCATTAAAAAGTATTTTGTGATGGTATTTTTAGTTAATCAAACCCTCTCCCTGATGATTATCAGTGTGGAGCTGTTTACTAAAGTTACTGTCAATCTGAGGTGCCCTCTTCTGTTTATAAACTACAGATCATGAGACACTTGGAAACCCAGATATTACAAATTGTGTTCTGACCAATAAATTTTGACCCCATTCACACTCATCATTTTGCATAACATGTTCAAATGGGTATGTGTTTGACTGTGTTAACATCAGTTCATGATCAATTTTTAATGAAAAGGCTGGCACATGATCCTCAAATCATTATATATATACTATTTAAATCGCAATTATACCTTTAAAATGCTTCAGACATTTCTATATTTAAGTATATATATATGCAAGTAATAGCATACAAAAGGACAATTGTTTTTATTCAAGTGTATGCATGAATAGAATGTAGTATTGAAATATTCAAAATTCATTTGTAGTTTGGAAATGATTTGCATTCAATCAAGGCAAGGAATATTCCTCCTGAAACCATTGCCCAAAAGAGCAAACAAGTAAGTTGAATACCTCAGTTTAAGTTATTTACAAGAGTTAAATTTATTTTACAAGTACCTGTTCAGAAAGCGCCTCTAAGCTTCCTTTAACTCATTCACTACCGTAAAGTTTACGCGCCAAATGGCCTTCGATCCCAGGCTACGAATTTGTTTACAATCGCTTCTGTCCCAAAGCAAAATGGCAGAAATCAGAAAAGAAAGTGCACCAAAGTTTTTCTCAAATAACTTTTTACGATGGCTTCGAACAAAAAAATATTTAATGTAAAAGTTACTCTACATACATTGAAAAAACGGCTTATCTAATTTAAAACAATGTAAAAAATAATGCGTCTCTCGTATTTTAAACTTTACCAACCTAGATGTTTGGCATTGTCATTGTATGGTATTCTTCGAAGCATTCTGGACACAAATGGATCCTTTCGTTGTTTTTTGCCAATGCTGTACATGCTCCACAAATGTATCTAGGTTCACGGCGAATTCCCTTTTTATGGCAGTTTCTACAACGACCTTTTTTGTCCTTCAAAAATTTAGGCCAATGCCCAGTGGCTGCCACCTCTCCACCAAGGCTGGCTGACCCACGCTTCCTTTTTCTCGAAATCTTCTGGCCAATAAGCTGCTTTGTTAGAGCCATTCTAAATTTCAATTGTGTTTTGCCTTCATCTTTCCCAGACTTGTTTTTCGTTTTGTGGTTTGGCGATTCTTTAAAGAGGAGAAATGAATTTGCCACACTTAAATCAAATAGGAACCAGAAAATATATGTCCACCAACGGTTGCAGCGACGATAGGTCATATACTGTGTCCTTATCTGGTCATTGCGATCTACAGCATTCATAAATTTGTTGTAGTTTGAAACTTGGATTGGACACATAACTGGAACTCTTGTTCCATCTCTCTGCTTTCGAGCAACAGATGAAATTTCGGCAGACGGGTTGACGTTGGCCGAGAGAATCCTCACTGGCTTTCGAGACTTTTTCTCTCGCCATGCCACGGCTGACAAAGCCGATCCCCCTTTCTGAAACTGGATGTAAGATCCAGCTTCCTTGCATATTTTCTTTCCTTTTATTTCTTGTGGGAGTCCTTTGGCATTAGACTTGATCGTGCCACACAAGTAAACTCCTTTTTCGAAACGTTCCTCTACACCCGCAACAGTGGTGAAATAGTTATCGGTGTAACCGTGGTGTCCCTTGTTTTCAATATTTTCAGTCAGCTGCTTCACCACTTTTTGACCTAGATTTTTCTCTGGCTCTTTGCCTGTGGGTTTTCCTGTGTAAACAAAAAATTCGTTACAGAACCCATTCAGTGAGTCTGCCCTCATCCACACTTTGATGCCGTATTTTGTTGGTTTGGCAGGCAAATGCTGCTTCAAGCTGGAACGCCCTCTAAACTTTATCATGGCCTCATCAATAGCAAAACATTTATGAGGGTTATATGCTTTCAAGCAATTTTTACGAACAGCATCAAGGACAGGTCTCACTAAAAAGAGTTTATCAAAGTGTGGCGAACTTTTGGGAGGCATTGTTGTCCGATCAGCAACATGAAAATATTCGTTAATTTTTTGGAATCTATTCCTCGACATCAGATTTGAAATAAAAGAATTTCCAAATACTGAATCTTTGCTCCAATATTGCGCAAATGACGGAAAGTTCAAAATACTCATATAAACTCTGATTCCCAGATAAAGTTTGATTTCTTCGACAGTTGTTGGATACCAATCGTTGTCTGGAACCAATGGAGGATGGCGTTTGTGGAGAGCATACTTGTTCGTCTCAGTGCTAATGTGGGCGTACAGTTCCTTCGGAAAGAGAAGTTCAAAAAAGTCAATTTCACTTGCATCTTCACCCAGAGATTTTGTTGGACCAACTGGTGAAGTAAACTCAACAAAATTGTCGAAGTCTTTCAAATTCTTTGTCCAATTGCCCTCTTCTGTGATGATTTCCTCATCGGGCTCTCCCCTCTCACTATCTTCCGTGTCGCTTAGGCCTAGCGAATCAGCTGATGAACCATCGATGTCTATATCGCTCTCTTCTTCGACATCAACGCCCCTCCGTCTCTCCACCAGTTCGAAATTCAGTTCTTCATCTAAGAAGCCATAAAATGGTTCTTCGTCGCTATCAGAGGATGAAAAATAGTTTGCCATACTTCGTTTCTAGAAAGTTTGATCGAGGCAAGTATGGCAGCGAACGCAAAAGTCAACCATCAAACCTTTGAACACGTTTTTAAAGTTTTTTTGGTATGGGCACCTATTGTTTTTATTGTTTTAAAACAATGCTTCAACATGTGCCTAACTGACTATAAAGTTTGAATTGGCCAATCAAATACGGTTTTCGTAAAAATACCATTGTTTTTCAATGACGACTGTAGTCGCTATTGTAATACTACTGAAGAAAATGCGTGACGACTACAGGCGCTATTGTTTGCAAATTGTTAGCAGGGGATGACGACTATAGTGGCTATGGGAGTGAATGAGTTAAACATTAATATCTGCAAGAGATTGGCATCTTTTTGTACTGTGTAGATTTGCTTTAGGTAATAACTTCTATTCTCAATAAGATAGTTAGTCTGTTTGGTCAAAGGAAAAATGAATTCCCACAGGATGTGCAAGAGATATATATATTTGCCAAAATAAAATTATATATTATGTCTCTGGTCCCAGCAAGTTAATGAGTGAGGATGGCAGGAAAGTTTTGCTGTCAAATATTGCTAAAATATGCTTGAGTCCTTGTTGATTGGCTTGGACAAATCAGTAAGCCTTTTGTCTGGATCAATAACGGTGAAAATGATTCTGAACTGGTACAATCCCATTACACTGGTACCTCAACATTTTCATATTTTATTTATCTGTCCTACTTAGCAGGAGATTTGCTCATTAGAACTTTCTCTATACAGGACAGTTTTTTGTCTCCATGAGTTCCCACTTGATTGATGTATACTGTATATCATTATGAATGTTAGTTTTTACTTATGAGTGTTAATATATATAATGCCAAAATCTTTCCCTTTTTCAGTTCTCATACAAAGCTGAGGATGCAGACTGGTCAAGGGATATGCGTGGAGCAAATCTTATTTCCACAATTAATTTGAACAAATGGATGATCCTGTTTTCATCTAGGGACAAAGGCATTGCCCAAGACTTCTATCAGACTCTGCAGAAAGTCAACCCACCAATGGGCATTGAAGTCAACAAGCCAGAAATGTGAGTTCATGTGTTTCTGTTAATTTGTAAGCACCTTTATTCTTGAAATACATTAGATAAATTAATGCCATTAGATAATCAGAAGTATATAAATGCCTGTAGCGTTGAAGTTTGAATGAATTCAGCTTTGAGAAAGATTGATTACTTCAACCAGCTGTTAATAAATTTCTATGTACCTTTTGAACTGTAAGAGACAGGAGAACATCAATCAAATATGTGTTTCATTTATTGATAAGTTATATTTTTATAGGATTATGCTTAAAGATGACAGGGCAGATAGTTACATAACAGCTATCAGGGAGCAGAAGCAACCAGATACACAACTGGTAATACTTTTATTTTGAATCATTAATGTTTATGTGACTAGATAATTAAATATCTTCTTATATTTAAAAATTTTTCAGAAACCCCAATATAACAGATGATTACACTTGTCCTAACATTGTCCGTTTTATGGAGGCTTTGACCCTATATATAACAAGCAATAATATATAAATGTTCTACTTTATTGCTTAGCCTTCATAATGTTTCCACACAACTCCTAAAAGATTATTGATAACCTAGGCTAGTGCAAGCAAATATTTTTATTTAAAGCTTAATCCTCTAGAACAAATATAAATACTCAATAATTAGACTTCATATTTATTAAGGTGGTAGTGAACAATTCATTGGGTGATAGTCAAAAGTAAACATTCTGTTTTGCTGTAATTGATTCCAATTTTGTAGAATTTTTTCGCATTTTAGGTGTTGTGCATTGTACCCAATAATCGCAAAGACAGGTATGATGCCATCAAGAAGTATTGCTGTGTTGATTATGCAGGTAAAGCAATAGAAAGTTTCACAATATTTCTTGCAACATCATTTAAAAGCAATTTTCTATCTTCTTTCTTATTTGTTATGTAGAAGGGCACAGATGATCATTCTGTACCAAGATTCTCCATCTTGACATGTTTGAATGAGTTGCATTAGTCCCATTTGTTGTGTTGGTCCATTCTTTGATGTTGTTCAAACCAATCTCATCCTGTCTGCCTCTTGCTGTTGTACCCAGCCCTTGTAATGTTAGTATGGCATCTCATGCAAATACCTTGTAAACAGCACCATGTTTGTTTTGACTGATTATTCTTCTTTCTCTTACGTTTCATTTAATTTCTACTTAATTTTTCTCCAAAGTAGTTTTTTAATTTCTTTTGTGTGAGTAACAGTGTTCGTTGTATCAAGCGTGTGATTGCATGCACACACATCAGCACACACATCAGCACACACATGGCACCAATAATGCGAGCAATTGATTGCAGCCATGAGTTGAATATTTTACCGTTGTTTTCTGCAACGAAATATTGGAAGTTTTGTTTTTCATAAGCTGAGCAACATTGTCTTACTCTCTAAATAGTGCCTATTTTGCTCCCTATTGTGGTTAATCGCTTTGCTTTGTTCACATTCTCCTGGAAACATGTTGGTCATCAGGTAGTCCAAAACTTTTACCTTCCTGTTTTCGCAATTATCAGGGTAAATATTGATAAATTGCTCAAAGGAAGATTGGCTTTTTTTGTCAATGATATATATATATATATCAACAGACTTGTTATAAAATTCCATAAACATTATTTTTATAGTTTGTCTATAAAAACCTCATACTCTTTTTCAAACAGTACATTTCAAAGGCTTTCAGGTTTTCATTACAATTGTGGAATCTCTGTTTTATGGATTGCAAGCTTTAATTGTACACTGGAACAGTGATAATGTTGTCGCTAAATGAATATTTCTAACCTGTCAAAGTCCTATTTCATGTGCACAGAATATGGAGCCAGAGAAGAGACGATATGCCTATATCGTGTCTTGATTCTAACTGAACTAAGATTGCTTATATCTTAACATACTTGTATGCAGAAATGAATATCTAAAATTAGTACGAATCATATGAGAAAAACGAATGATCAGAAGGGCAAATCAAGATGATGATAGATTGAATAGCATGGCAAAAATAAAGTAAACAAAATGGATTACTGAATGCAAGAAATGAGAATGACACAGAGGATGTCTGTGCTGTGATGTGAGAATATGATTGAATGAATGAAAAGGAAAATTAATGTAGTACAGTCACTACAATTTATTCTGCACCATCATGTCAAGAAATTTCAGACAACCATGACTTTTTACCTTCTAATTTCTGTTAGCAGTGGATATGTCATAGCTAAGCTGATCTTATTCTAAGCTGTTTTTATTCCATCGATTAACTGTTTTTAATTAATTTATTTTTCATCTTTTCTGTAGCTTTCCTCTTTTCTTTCAAAGTCAGCATTTGGTGATGTTGTCCTTGACAGTAGCTGTAGAGCCTGTATCAATTTTATTAATTGTTTCTTACGATTTCTGAACTGTTTGATCCTATGAAAAACTCCTCAGGTCTACCATTATTGGAATTACTACGGACAAAATAAATGATGAACTGTGAAAGTGATTCAATTTTTCTGTTAACTCTTTTTCAAATTTTGTATTTTACCTGAGACTGAAAAATTCTTCAGTGGACGAGAGTCTTAATTGAACCCTTCAGTATATCTTTTCACTGCAGCATGTTTTGTATTTTGTTCATAGTCCCAAGTCAAGTTGTGGTTAGCAGAACCCTGTCCAAGAAACAGATGTTGATGTCAGTTTCTACCAAAATCGGGATTCAGTTGAATTGCAAGCTAGGTGGAGAGGTCTGGGCTGTGGATGTACCAGTCAAGAATATGATGGTGGTTGGGATTGATGTTTACCATGACTCTTTGACAAAAGGAAAGTCAATTGGTGGTTTTGTTGCCAGCACCAATCAGTCATTGACAAGGTGACTCATTTGTCTTGAAATGCTATGTTGTTCTATGAAATGGCGATGTTTTATCAAGTTGCATAGGAGACACCTTGTTATGGAAGATAAATATATTTCCAAGATCAGACAAGATGAGCACAAACATATATATATATAATATATATATAATAATAATAATATATATATATAATAAAACGAATATTTCAACAGGAAAAAGCTTCAACAAAAATATTGCTGGTTTCAATGCCTGTCCTGCTTAAAAGAAAAGAAAAGAAATGTTAAAAAGCTAACTTACAATTTTAAAACTATGAAAAAAATATTACGTTAAAAGTCCTTGATTATTATTAAAAAGCCTCATTTATCACAACTATTTAAAAATGTCATATTTGGTTTAACTTGCCCCTGTATAATAATGTTTCCATTGCATAGGCTGAAAATTTGCCAGAAAATAAGAAAAAAGAAATTAAAACAATGCCAATTGTTTTGAAAAAAACCTGTCACCCTAAATTCTAGTAAAAATTGCATCCTAAACAAAAAATCTGCACTTATTTCCCCTAGATATCACCTACCTGCATTGAAGTTCTAAATTCCTCCAGGGACCTAACAACTAAATATAATAACACTCATAGAGAATTGTCTATACAGTTGCCTTTTGATCACATTAAGCATGAAACACTGAGTAGCAACTTAGAATCATCTTGTTCTATACATACACCAAAAGCATATCTTTGTATTCTGACTTCTGACCTTAAATGCACCGAGAAACATCATCAGAGAGTTACTACCTAGTATGTTGTTTGGCTTATATATAAATTGTGTTAAAATTTTACCTTAGATACTACTCAAGAATCACCCAGCAACAGACAGGTCTTGAGTTTGTTGACGGATTGAAGACATGCATGACTGGTGAGTATATTTCATTTTTCCACTTAAAATGATGCAGCCTCTGGTTTGTGCAAATACTAAAGAGAAATTTAAACATGTTTATATTCTTAATGTTTTCCAGTTTGATGTAGATGGGATTTTTCACAGATAAGCAACAAAATGAGACTATATTTTCAATATTTTAGCTGCACTGAGAAAGTTTAATGAGATAAACAAGGTTTTGCCAGACAGAATAATTGTTTACCGTGATGGTGTTGGTGATGGCCAGGTATGTTTAATAAGTTAGTTTCTACTTTTCAGAAATTCTTGACTGTATGATATTAGCAGTTTAGTCTTTATCCACCCCATAGTTGCTTACATACATATAATCCCAATGTATATATATTTATTAATTATCATATTGCTGTCTAGAGTGCTCAACTTACCGGAGCGATTAGATAGACTAAAATAAACAGACTATTGTGACACAACTCTGAGTTTCATGTGTAAACAATCATCAGGTGTATATATCCCAATGTATATATACTGGTTTCAATTGAAAATAGCATAGTTTAAATACACCACAACGAGAGGCAGGTCTTGGTTACACTGCATGTTAACTTAACAAACCATGCACAAAACAAAGAATATTTGTGGACAATCCTTACATATTATTTATTAACAACAGGAAAATATAAATCCTTTCCAAACTCAATTGACAACCAGATTCAATAAACCCCATCTCTACCATTTCTCTTATGACTTTGCTTCATGATCTCAAAAAAGTCAGTTGAATATTACTGTTCCTGTACATGTTCCTGCTCAAATGTAAACTGATATCGATCTGTATTGATTTCTTGATTGTCTGTCATCAAATGATTGATGTGGTATTTACTGATAAAGCTGCATGCTTAATGCAATTATCAGGAAATTATTAAGATAGTGTATATTTTTATATATGTACCTTATACTTTTATGCCTATAGATAATTGTTTTAATGAAGTGCACAAAATTTTCAGATACCTATGGTATATGAACATGAAATGCCACAAATCCGCGAAGCAATTGCACAAATCAATCCTGGTTATAAGTATGCCAAAGTTTGTTTTTAACACACAATCTATTAGTAAGAACTCCTTATTTTGCCAATAACCCTTTAGGTTGCAATTACCTTACATATTCTCAAATATTTGATAGAGCCTTCATAACAGGGAAACATTAACATTATCACTAGCTTTACATAAAGCAATGCTATTCACAGCTAACATTGGTGTAAGTCATTTATAGCCTTGATGGTATGGTAATGAAAATGTTTATAGACATGAGAGAACAGCAAAATTAACTTTTAATCTTTAACATCACATTTCAAAGGTATACAGTTTTTTGTTGATGTGTTAAAAAGTATTGAGGAAATGTTGTATCAATTTTCACTGGAACCATCCACACTTTTCAGGTAAAACAGGTGAGGTACAAAGTAAATTCAAATCCCCCACTAGGTTTTGCAGGCCTTTTTGTTTGATGCAAGCAATCACTCACAATTGTATCAGCACTCATGCAGACCTAACCACACAAAGAGTTTGATCCCTCATGCAAAACTGTTAAGTGTGAGGAGTAATTGTTTCTTCAATAAACACAATTCCAGTCATCTTTTATGACTCAAGCAAGTGCATAGATGATGCAAAGTGGGTATATATAAACAGAGGAAACATAAATAAGCTGAATTAATCACATCTCAAGAAAAAATACAATTGAATTTTGAATCCACTGCAAATGTTTAGGAATACTATAGACATTTAATATCTGAACTTCATTACCCCTGGGAACAATGCCTTTGTAGCTTAGTCCAAAGGTTTGGTACAACATTTTGCGATAATCTGAAGATAACACCTATATGCCCTTGTGATGTACATGAAATTTATAAATGAAGCACATTTATATTGGGTATTAAATCTTTCTTGGGTGCATTAAAGGTAATGATAACAATTTTTGTGGTACAGAACCTTAAAAATGGGTTAAGAAAATATATTCCCAATTGTGGATCAAAATAGGCCAATCAGAAAATTGCAAGAAGAAGACTGACCAGGATAGTTATGGAATTAGTGCTGCGTGCCTAAAGAAAATTACCACTGGAGTCAAAGAGAGAAAATGAACTCCTCCTGTCTAGAAAAAAGCAATGTTTTCGTGTGTATTTAGATTGATTCCAAAACTGCTAGATAGAAAGACGGCCGGGCACTGCCAATTATCTGAAACATGTTGTCATTATAGAGTTTTGCACAATCTGGGTTATCGAAAAGATGTTGACCAAAGGCAGTTTTGTTTCTCCTTTTGACGCAATCCTTTTCAATGGGTGTAAGGGTTCTCCTAGTGCTGTAAACAGTATGAGGACAGCAAAGGAACATTTTGCGATGGCTTGTTTAAAGGACAAGTGACACGCTTTTGGTGCCAAATTTTTTTCTTTTTTTAACTTAAAGTAAAATGCTGTATGAGAGTGTTGTTGAAATATTTTTCCTTTCTGATTTCATTTTCCCACTTAAAAACCCTTTTCAAATTATGGCGGGAAATGAATCACGTGACACCGTGACGTAGATTGTGATAATTTGTTATTGCTGCTATACAGTGCAGGGCCGTAAATCTGTCATGTGAATTGGGGGGGGGGGGGGGGGGGGGTGTCAGCAGAGCGAATGAATATAAAGTATGCAGTGGGTCATGGCACCACAAGGGATTTATGGTATGTGTTATGGAAACAGTTGAGGGGCAAATTACTTTAAAAACAAAAGTCATTATTTTTGGATTTCTCAAGACTTTCTGATCTGTAGAAGGTATTTACAGATAAGCCTTAATACATTGACTTGTGTGTATGATTGGATGGATAACATTTTTCAGAGACGGCCCCAAGATATTGAAACTTGGGAGCTAAAAATCAAGAAATTTACCCTCGTAGGAGGACCCACCATGGTTGGGTCCGACGCAGAAAATTTTTTTTGAAATTTTACCTTCTAGAAAGGCTAAGAAAGCATCCCCCAGACTAAATTTAATAAAATACTAGAATCGCTCAAGATATAAAATTTGGCGTTTCTCAGAAGAACACAGATTATTGTTTATTGGGTGAAATTTTGGAGGGGAAGAGTCATGCTTAAACCTTAGTGACAGACTTTGGGGAAATATGGGACACTGTTGTATTGATTGGTAGAAATTTACTTAATGAACAGAAATGTGCGTCTTCCTTATTTTGACTGATTTCAGTAGGCCATGTTTACACATAAAAAATGAATACATTTTAATGATACAAAAAGTGATTTACTAAATAAAAGTAAATAATAGAAAAATATTAGAAAAGTACGTTTGCTCTCTTTTTATTTCATACTCTGTTTTCAAAGATAAAACGGTAGAAAACAGTAGAAAACGGTAAAAAACGGTAGAAAACGGTAAGTTTTCATATTGTGAAAATTATAAAAACAATTCTGCTTACAAAAATAGCACATAACACAGAAAACGTAGTTTGGTTCTAACCCGGCTACCAGGGATTTCTTTCTTCCAAGAAAAATAATGGTAATTTCTCCAAAAAAAACGTTTTGCTCCAGATTTTTGGGGGGGTCCAGTCCCCCCCGTCCCCCCGGGATTTACGGCCCTGATACAGTGCAATCACGCTTCTAAACGAATTCAGTTCGTCTGGAACTGTCGCATTGTGTTTCATAAACTCTCTATTAATGACAGGAAAATTCCGAGTTATCACAATGTACGTCATAGGGTCACGTGATAAAAAGCAAAATTGCGCCCTTTGCGCCACCTGATTAGAATTTTTTGTTCTAAACCAGGGAAAACTTACTTCTAAATGATGATCTATAAGTTAATGAAAAGAAAAGATAGGGTGAAAAGTGTGTCACTTGTCCTTTAATCTAAATTTCAAATCACAAGGAAGTGTTACCAATCCAAGGTAGTTTCAGAAAAACTGGGCACTTCTGTAGACCAAACTTTATGGTAGCCGAAAAACTTGCAATATTTTCCTTAGTATAGTTTCCTTAGAAATGACATCTTCTGGATAGCCGCTGTCCAGAAAGATTGTTCCAAGTTTTTTCCAGCTCAGCATGCAGTTTAGATTTCAAGCAGACCATGAGTGCCCTATGCACTAAAGTTTTGACAAGGTTGACTTTGCGTTGTTTTGGGCAAAAAGAATTCCAGTGTGTGCACTGACCAATAAAAATTGGCTTACGATATACACTGGTAAGAAATACTGTAGGTTGTCACATAGGCCATTTTTTACAACAACCTGGTTTTGCACCAACAAGACCTGGTTTTGAACAGAGGAGTTTAAATCAAAGAAATAATAAATGAAACAGCTGTTTAAAAATTCAAATATTCAGCAAATTTGGACAATTTTTCAGATAAATCTAGAAAAAGCCAAATTTTCGGAAAATTCAAATAATTTTCAAACCCAAACCCAAGTTTTCATAAATCCAAATTTGTGATTTTTTGTAACTGATTTTCAAGGATTACCCTGGAGACTCCACTTTATCTGAATTCTGGAATAAATTGGGGTTTGGAATGACAAGCCTTGGGTCATGGCCAAGCCCCTGTCTTAATTGATGGGAAGAACAACATCCAAAAAATTTAAATAATAATCTTCAATCTTCTTCAATAGTTAACTCCTAAAGGCTTTACAACCAATCTATAGTAAGTGCAGGCTTCCCCCATTGTGATTCACAGAGCATTCTTATCTATTGAACATGGGAATTTTATATAGAAGGAAGGGGGGGGGGGGTGCTTCCAAAATCACAGAAATGTAAATGGGGGTCCATGTATACCATGTCTTCTTCCAAAATTTTTGCATCAATGTTCTTTTATCACTAAAGATGTCATTGCTGTCAATGTTCTAAACAAGTTGTCATTGTTTGTTTTACCATTGATCCCAAAAGCTGTTCTTCTAGTATTTGTTCTTTTTTGTGACTTAGAATGTTTTGTATTTTCTTGGATTGGATGTCACCTGCCAATTTCTTAATATTGTTCAATTTTTCTGATTTTAGTCCAAAATTTGCATGGGTTATAGTCAGCAAGAGAATAAATGCAAAGTTTTTCCTGGAGGCAGGAAGAAATTTGGCAAATCCTCCACCTGGTACAATAGTTGATATTGATGTGACAAGATCATCTGAGTGAGTTATGTTGAGTCTTAAATGAAATCTTGTAATAAACATTATACTTGTAATTCTTGATTTTAAATAGTTGAACGAAGAAGGCAATAAAGAGGAAGGTAATTTTCGTCAGGGAAACATAACCTCACAATTTCAAATTATTTTTAAATCGGTTGAGACAGGATGTTGGCAGGAAAAGGATAAAACACCCTGATATTCTCACTTCTGTTGCTTACTGATAATACTGTTGTCTTTTGCCACATAGGGCAGACATGTTTTTATTCAAGCCCATTTCTCATACCTAGGCCACACACATTATGAAAATGAACAGTAGCAAAAAGGCACTACCTCCCACATGCATTGCAATTGACAGTCTAATTGCTGACCCTTGGTCAGCATTGGGTCCTCATTCAGTCTAGCTGTACTGATGAGCCCTGATATGGGATGAAACTAGTCTACAGCCAACTGTTTGAGGTTTCAGTGGCTTTCTTTACTCCACACTATGTATCATTAACTATAGACTGCACAACATTTCACTACAGAGGCTACATTTTGATTGGAGTTTTGATATTCTACATATAGATTTTTGGAATTGGTGACTAAATGTCAAATTGTCTAATGATTAGAATAATTGCTCTAGGTACTCAAGAATTTGAGAGTACATAAATGTGTATATATTTTCATATATCTTTGTATTTTTTCTTTGCAAATGAAGGAAGCAATAATATTTTATGAAATATCAGTGGTTTTGATATATCCATTATCTATGTTTTATAGGAAGTATGATTTCTTCTTGGTTTCCCAATCTGTCAGACAAGGAACTGTGAGCCCCACTCACTATAACATTATTTACGACACATCTGGCTTGAAACCGGATCACATCCAGAGACTGACATACAAGTTGACTCACTTGTATTACAACTGGCAGGTTTGTCCTTCTTCACACTTCTTGGCTTCAGTTTTCTGTTGTTCCAAAGAATTAACATTTCTTATATATATATATAATTTTAACGGTAACTTTCAGCCTAATCCTACACTTTTGTAGAAAGGATATAATCATATTTGATAGTTGATAGTCATTTCTAAAAAACTTCATTATATATTACATAACCTAGTTATTACTAAAGGAAAAAGAATCAGTGTTGAAGATTTGAATAACAAAGGGTCAGCTTGCTAAATTAGGAAGTTTATCAAATGTTTAAAACATCCAGTGGCATCCTGTTGTCCCCAAAAAATACACAAGCTGAACAAGCAACCACATGCAAATTCTCACAACTGATGCTTGTAAGCTTTTATCAGGCCTTTTGGTTTGAAGCGATTGATCGCTTGTGCAAAACGGTAAATTGTAAGGAATAATGTCTCATCAATTAACATAATTCTAGTCACCTTTTGTGAACCAAGCATCAAAACACAGGAAATAAGTATGTTGACTTAACTACACCTCAACGAAAGAATGCATTTGAAAATCATTCCACCGCAAATGTTTATGAATACCTTAAGGTAGTATTTGAACTATATTAGCACTTGAAACAATTTCTGGACAGTTAAAGCGTTTTTAAAAGGTATGGGACAACATTTTGCAATCATCAGGGAATAACATCTTTGTGACCTTCGTGATGTACATAAAGTTTATAAACGAAGCACACTTCTAAGGAGGATTTAGTCTTTCTTGGAATGCATTACAAATCACCGCAACCATTCATTTTCATTTGATATTACCTAAGACAAAGGTACCTTATAGCAGGAATAATTCTTTCACTATCAGAGCAATCGCTCGCGCAAGAGAAAACATACGAGCGATGGGCCATGCACGTGGGCTATTTCTTACGAAAAGGCCTGTTTAATGTTAGCTTGCCCAGACCCCTGACACAAGACACATTTAATATCCGTTGTGCATCTGTTATAAATCTAGTGCATGTTTTTTCTATCTGGTTGTGTTGAACAACATTTGTATTTTTGTATAATAATGTAAGTTTTGTCATTCATATTCTTGATCACTTTTGCAGGGCACAATCCGTGTACCAGCACCATGCCAGTATGCCCACAAACTTGCCTTTTTGGTAGGCCAGTCTGTACACAAAGAGCCAGACCTAGCTTTGGCTGACCGCCTGTACTATCTGTAAGAAGGCTGTTGGTGACAAGAAAGGTGTTATTGCATCTTTGAAGGAAAGAGACCCATCTATATGACTTGCATTGTTTTGTTCTCTTTGGCCAGCTGTTCAAATTTAAGTGCCAAATATATTTTGGTTCATAGTATTATAACTTAAATTTTGGTGGTATATAAGTGATGGGTTTGTAAGGTTTGGTCAGAATTTTCTTGCTAATCATTGAAATTGCAGGATGCATACTTCGAGGGAGCTAGCCTGTGCTCTTTCTGCCAAAAGGGTGATTTTGAGTCAAATAATGCTGAAGTCAATTGTTCACAGTTCAAGAGAAGTTTTCAGTATTGATACGGAAAAACAAAGAAACTTCAAGATTCTTGACAGATTCAATTTTGGTTACATTTGGATTTGATTATATAAACATATGTTTTGTTGTGCTGTTACTTTCATATGCTGGGATGGCTGATCAGCATCTTCATCTACATTCACATATTATCCACAAGATTGATATTTTTGTATTTCTTATAATCCTTGGTTGAAGTGATGTTTCTCTTTTTATGTTTTAGAATGTAGTTGGATTTTTAGACTATTTGTCTCTGGCTATTTGTTGTTTTAGTTAATGTATGGCTATCTTGAAATGCCAGAAGTGTTCATTTGGCAGTCACTTGGATTTAACAAAATGCTGAGCTGGTCTCGTTGGTATAATTTGTAAATTTCTCCTTTTCTTCTGGGGTGATCATTTTTCTAGCATAGTCTTTATATAACTAAGTTTAATATCCAAGTGAGCTTCAACGTGGACACTCCTGACTGCTTTTTACTGTAGTTTTGTTACTGTTTGTCAAGATGAGGATATATGTTTATAAAAACCTCTCAAAAATGCCTGTTTTTTCCTGCCATCTTGTTTGGAAGTATTTTTCCAGCAAAATTTGAAGCAAATAATAATGTTTGGTCAGTATTAATGTGAATTAAAAGATCAAACTCATGCTAGTGTAGAACTAGTAAACAGATATATCAAATACATAAGTATATACATAGCTTACTTTTTGTACATATTCAAAAATCTTTTAATAATCAATTAAAGAAAACAAGCTATGATTCCATATAAGGTGATTCCATTAATCTGTTGAATTTAGGGTATTTTTAGTCAAGTGAAAACCCACATTAAAGAAACAACATACAAAAAGCACCCTGATTGATTTTTGCCAATTCAACAGCTCTGAAAGCAGAACAACTATGTTAAATTATATGAACCGTTTCAGATTGTTACAGAAAAAAACAGGATGGTTATTTTGAGGTTTTCTCTGTACAATAAAAACTCCCCATGTACACAATAAATGTAAAAATCACTGGAAATTTGAGACAAGGGAAGTATTGGACCAAGAAATGTACTTTGCTTAATTTGCAAGGGAACTGAGAACTAAATGATACAACAAAAATGATGAGTGATAAAACTTGTCTACCATGGAAATGATTTAATGGTTAACTCTCTGATAAAATCAATAATATCAAAATGATTGAATAAATGACTAACGTTCAGTTGCTCAGTTACATGCCAGGAAAGAAAGATTTTTTTAAAATTAAAGCTATGTAGAACAGGATCTGTTTGAAAGATCTGAGTCAAAATTTATAGATAACTGCTACATAATATAAATACATGTTTGTTTTTCAAACTTGATAGTACATAAGGGAAGTAAGTGTTGTATAGCCAGGGGGACTAGGGTATTGTATACAAATTGTTGATTATATACACCTAGCAAAGAGAAGCTTGTAATTTGTCTCTGTCACTCTACTGCCTGGAGCTTTTGTCAACTTCAAGTAGGCATTCTCTTACCAATGTACGAGCATGCATTATTCCTATAATTGAAAATTTTTGATTGTAATGAAATGTTTCAAAAGTGAAAAAAGGAATTGGTTTTGCCAACATGAAAACATCTACAGATACATATAAATGACAGTAAATTTTGAATCAAGGCCAAAAATTTTCTTGATATGATTATAAGGTTTGAAATAATGATATTATTATGTTTGAATAACTATATTTCCATTTGGGACTAACTTTTAATAAAGATGATCTGCAAAAATATTTCACCAAAACAAGAATGTAAGAAAAACCTGAACCCATGCTGAGCACTAACAAGCTTCCAAATCTTTATACATATCTTGAAAGACTAAAATGTAATAAGCAGTAAGCTAATCAAACAATTTTTATCATCATACCTTTTTTTAATCTTTCCTGTGCCATTTTACTTCCAGCATAAGTTGGCTTTATTTCTCTTCCAAGATCTTCAATTACATTTAATAGTTCACCATATTTTGATTGATATGTTTGCAATGGAACAGATCGACCTATAGATTGATAATGCATCACAATGGTGTTAAACTTTACTTTGATAAGGTTGTGCTAAACTAATCTGAATTTCCAATATCTTTTTCATTCGATATGATCAAGGTTTCAAAATTTCTTATATATTTGAAAAAAGGCGATTAAAAATATGTGTTCAAATTCAGAATGAAAGGTAGCTGTGATGTTCATGATAAACCTAAAAAATGATACACATTTACACTATTTCAATCAACTTACACCGTCTTTGTAATATGAGGTGTGCCTCCACACGCCAAAATTGTCCAAGGCGTGCAAATTGTCACAGGTGCAAAACAAAGAATTTTTCATAAGACTTATAAAATTGCCGATGTTTCGGAGATTTCTAAAGCAGCAGTTATTCAAAGATGTTAAATTCAGAGGCAGTTCTCTCGTTTTCCGAAGTCTTGTTAAAGTATTCCCATATGGGATTTAGAAATGGCACCAGGAAGTAGTTACGAAAAGATGGCTTAACATTACAGTTTTTAATCAAGGAGGAGTAATCTGCAATCAACACCAAGGTGCTTTATTAAATTTCAAAACTCTGCGATTTAGAGTTTGGATCCAAGAGTTGTCTTCACTGTTCATCTGATTATTCTGTTCTGTGGTGATCATGGTGAAATGAAACAAAGTGGAGCTGGTGACTTTAATTGGTTGGGGAAAGAACAGAATTATCGTAAGACTACGAATATCATACTTACAGTGTTATGGAGATGCAACTTCATATTGCAACAATGATAGTATATGGACTGACGGGAAAGATAAAATATCTTGAAAAGGGCAACGGTGCTCTATCTTTCCAAGAGCAGAAAGAGAAAGCTTGATAATGGCATCAGTAAATCAAAGAAACCTAAGCTAGAGAAAGGAGGAAACTGAAGAAAGCTCTGAGGAAAAAGAGACAATGACTGTATGGTTTTTTTATTATTTTAAACTGTCATCGAACAATTTTCAAGATTAAGAGCTGTAAAAACTTGTTTTTGAGATAAAAGGAAATGTATTTATTTCAACCTTTGTGTCAGTTCTTTACCCATTCCTTCTCATTTGATCATTTGCTCAACTCAATATTATCATGAAAGGAACACCAATCAAATGATAAGACATTTTTTAAGAATATCAGCTATGATACCCGCTACATACATACTGAAGTCAGTGATGCTGCATGGTAATTTGTCAACAATGCATCATGACAATTTCTACAATCAATTGAAATTTTTTAAAACGAGATTTCTTTAAATTATTACATAAAAATTCCAAAATTACTTCCTAGAAAATTTATTAACTAATTGTTTTAACATCTATAAAGATGAACAAGAACAGTTTCTCTATCGATTTCCTTGGTTTCTGTTAAGTTTGTAACGCAAATGGTATCCTTGAAAGTAGCAATCTATAGTTCTTGACAACAGGAATGAGAAACGACCGATAAAAAAGTGGTCCATATCGCACACCATCGCACGCGCAAAGTATTGCACACGCAAAGTATTCAAGACATGTGAAAGGCCGATTTTCATATTACAAAGACTGCTTACAGTGTATTTACATCACTACAAGTTATAGAATGTTCTAGTATAAGTCTCACTGAAGTTATTTCCAATCTTCATTTTTCCTTAACTTATAAGTTTTTTAAGAGAATCAACAGACATAAGAATGGCCAAATTACGAATATATAAAGTTAGTTAGGTGTACTTAAATTCTTTATTTTAGTTTATGTCTGAATTTAAAAAAGAATAACTAGGCCCTCTTTTTTAAATTCTTGACCTAAAATAACATGACAGTCAGATACAAATTTTATATACTACATTGGCATATTCCTAATAATCAAGAGCCATGTATTCAAAAAAGAAATTGAAGATTAATACTTGGTAAAGGTGCTGGTGATGCCTTTTGGATAACAGCAGTTGTTTGGCCAACTTTTATTCCTGGAGCTGTTTGCCTGTGCTGAATAGTTGGTGATGAAACTTGACCATGGTTACCTGTATAGGGCACATGGACAGTCACTGAGGATGAAGGGTATATAGGCAAAGAACCAGGCTTAGCATGACTACTCGTATCCATTGATGAACCTGATGCCATCATTTCCTGTTTAAATTAGCAGAGAATAAGAATTAATGTCTAACTAAAAGGTCAAAGTTTAATATCAACATAATATTTGCTTTTACAAATTATAAATTGAAATTGGAAGAAATTACAAGAAAAATGCCAAATTTATGGAGGAAAACTTATAAATGAGGAGTTCAACTATTAGATAAACTAAGCAGAAGAAAGTACAACCCCATGTGTAATTTTGGGATTCATGCCCCAGTTATTTGCTTTAATCTATTCACAATACTTGCTGGCCATTTTTTTGTAGCTGAGACTTTGAGCACCAAAAGCAGGCTCATGCTTCTGCTCAAACTACAAGAAAGCCTTGCAGCCAAGGATGTAAGGTTGCATAGGATTTGGTAAGTTAGAGGACATTGCTACTTTTAATAGAGAAAACAGATAATATTGGTTGTTATATACAAAGTTGTTTTGTATGAATATCTACGCAATGTTACACTAACATGTAACAAAACTTAAGTAAAGAAAATTTTCTTGATCCAAGCTAAAATTGCTGACCAGTAATAATTTATGACTACGTTATTGATGCTCTGTTGCCCCAACTTAAAAGGATAGCTGCTCCAGATTTTTACATTAAAAATGATTTTTATAACATGTGCATGCTCTTTCTATCATTTCAATTTTATCGAGCACTCATGCTTATTATAGTAGGAAGAATCTGTCAAATGAAAGGGGTTCTAATACTAATAGGGAATGATCTCAATCGATAAATTTTTACTTTGAAAGAATACTGGAATTTCGATATCATATTTCACATAAAAACCGCATAATGATGACTCATTTTTTTAACAATGGAACATTCCAAACAACTAACACGTGTTCTTTTTCGAAATATTCGTATTTGGATGATTATGACATTTTTACAAGGCTGACTGGGAAAAAATTAGGCCATCAGTTTTTTGATGATTCGTTTGAAGATAAGTTTAACATTTTAGCAAGAATCGAGGCAAACGCAAATTTAATACCACTCAACAAGTAAGCTACTAGTATATGTAAAATTTGCCGATTTCCCACTTACTTTGATCACGAGTAACAAGATTTCTACAATGGCAAACAACCATCTGCACCGATCTTTTCATCAAAATGCAACTGAAATCGAGTTTAGGGTATTTTGTTTTTATTTAAAACGAGGCTATCTAATAACGGTTCGTAGAAATCGACCGAAGTTGAAGATTGTTATCTGTCAACACAAGTTGAGAGATATCTATAAAGTTAAATCAGAAATGCTGTGAAGTGTTTCAAGTCAGATCTATCTTAAGTTTGGTGGGGCTTCTTGTGACTGCTTCAGACAGAAGACCAGCTAAGTACCAAGGGAAAGAGATAAGATGAAAAATGGCCATTTATCTCTTGCTGGCCGGAATGATCCTGCTGTTGACATTCATAGGACTGCTGAGGTAGGCTGCATGTAATGTTTGATTTAGTGACCGAGTCTACTGTTTCAGCAGTAGAAGTTTCATGTTGCCTTTTAGAATAAATTAGCTTTTTATACTCCATTGCACATCTTTGACAAAAAGGACAGGGCGACTAAAGTAATTGGGTTAAAGAAAAATATTGCCACCCTCGATAATAACAGTAGAAAAAGTTGTTAAATAAGTGTTTATTTAATGATTGAGTCTAGTTAATGGCTGATAATTTACGTCACATGGTTACCGTCCGAATCAAAACAGTGATCTTGGAAAGCTGGAGGCAAATAATCTTAATTAAAGAAATGTCGATAAAAACTGCTGGAAGGTTCATGATTTGGTGCAAAATAGATCAAAAATAGACAGGTAAGCCTATTTAATTCTTTATATTTTATAGTAAAATTTCATCATCTTCAATTTTTTGGTCTTTAGAGCTAATTATAAAGTCTTGGACAAATGTCATTCACACGCAATAATTTTATAGACTTTTACACAAGGAAAACATTTGAATATTTATAAGGAATTAATCAGGTTGAGGTCAGGAGAGGATATCACTGAATATCCTCATTCTGCCTTAAGTAAAATAATGATAATATAATTCTGCTTCAAATAGAGTCCTTCAGATGCAAAGAGTGTATTGGAAGAATCTTTAGCCCATCAGTGAAATTGCTTATAGATAGGTAAATAGCATCTGAGTCGTTGAAGCAATTCATAATTTAGATTCCAGGCTAACAAGCTATCTTATTTACTTTCTTATTCCTTTCTTAGCCCTCCGTTTCTTAGGACTGGAGAGCTTTTTCTCAAGTGACAAATAAAGAAAGGCTATCTAAGCAACTGATGGCGAGGATATGTATGTCAAGTTAATCAAATTTTTTAAACCTCAGTCATTTTGGGAGAAGGGAATGAAAAGAAACACTGCTTTGTTCCACCAGGGAAGAAAGAATCAGTAATTAGCAATGAAAATAACTGGAATCAGACTGCAAAAACTCTACAGGTTTCTAGTGCTTCTGTCAAGATTATCAAATTTTATTGCACACAGAGAAAAGAGAAGAGTTGAAGCATAAACTGACAAACAAGTTTTTGCCACAATACCTTCAAATCACAACAGACTATAAGTTTGTGGCTCAACTACAGATTAAAATGAGTGTATGCAAGATCAAGAAGAGGTTTATTGACTGGATTGGCTTAATTTCAGAGAGGCTTGTAACAAAAAGAATCAATTTGAAGCAATGGAATTGAAACTCAAGTCTTTTGTTTTCACCTTTTTTATGAAGCTTTCAATTAAAAGCCTTTCTTCACTAGAAACTGCAACTTGAGAAAACCTCTGGCTGATAAAATCTAGCAAACGAACAAGTATCTTAAATTTATGGAACCAGAACCACAAAGAATATGATTTTATGAGCTCTTCCCTCTTTCTAAGGTACATGACCAGACAATTATCATTTCAAATGAATTGTCACATTCTGTACTGCTTCTTCTGTGGATATATTGCCAACGGTTTTCAAATTTGCTGGATTCTCAATGAATTTTTTGAATGGACTACACAATTCTATTTAGTCGGTATTGAAGGGTTTTTTTTGGCAAGGATGGCCCACGAAAAATTGAAAATTGGGAAAGAGCCTGTTTTGACCTTCTCCTTTTTCCAGGAAAAAGACATGATTACATTTCTAGCATCTCAATACCCAGTCAAGTCCCCTAGTAGCATGTAATATTTTTCACAAGCAACTAATTGAGCCTCTGCAGAGAAAGATGGTTCTCTAACCCCCTGGGCTCCTTAACACTGGTGCATTTAGTTACCTACCTGTTGTTGGAGACAGCTATTCTTGGTATCAGCTTGTTTGGTGTCACTTTCATCCTTCACATTAACTGTCTTTTCCTTAACCATCTTATTGTCTCTGTCTGGCTCTTGAAGCGTCTTTGAGACAAAGTCATCAACCTGAGCAGTTTGATGGTCGGTTTTTGCAGCAAGCTTAATCTTAGCATGCTTTCGCTTTCTAGAGTCAATCTCTTTTTGCTGGAATATAGTTGGTACAAAGTCTTTGTTGCATGGATACTAAGTTAGATGGTGCATAGCTGCAAATGAAGAGAGGTAAAGATTTCCAAGAAAATTATGTCATATTACTATCTAACAATAAGACTTCAACACCTATTAGTTCTACAGGACTGCTCAATTGAAACTATTATAAACATTTGTCCTGTTATTTTTCATCTGCTCAATCAACACTGTTAATTGGTTGAATAATATATTTTTCGACACAAGTAGACCATGTATAAAGTCTACTTCCTAGAGAGCACATAAACAAAGAATTTTGATGCTGTTTCGATACAATTGAAACCCCAGGCATTTTTTACAAATTTCTCGCTTCTAGAGGGGGGGGCTATATATGGAGATTGCCTTTTATTTTTTTAGAAGATGGTTTTTTTGAAAGGAAAGGATATTTAATACTCAATTCAGTGATATTGCAACTGAATAAAAAATCTAATCAAATTTTAAAAACACTGAATCAAATCAATCAACGCAGTGAACTGAATTCTATCCATAGAAAATGATGACCTTTTCAATTTCTTCTTACCTGCATGCAACAACTTCATTCTCTCTTTGAAAATGGAGGATGAGATATTTTGATACCATTAAAGGACAACGGACATGCGCAAATAAAATGCTTTTATGATCAACATTCTTTCATATAATGCTTATAAATAAAATAGGAGATTGCTCTTTTTTGATATTTCTAGTATAGCCCTGGTGTGTTAGATTCTAACAATTTTGGTATTTTTAGGGTGTACTAAGTTTAAAGGGAGCGATTATTAGAGGATAGAGGCGATTTAATCAGGATCAAATAATGGATAGTGAATTTTGAAAAGTTGAACAGAAATCTAGTTTACACGCTTCATTCTATAACATATTAGAAGCTGTCAATCTCCTAATGTTTTGAAGAGCAAAAATAAATCCAGAAAACTTTTATTTTATAAATTTTTAAATAAACTTTGACAAATATTAATTTTTATGATCTCTTTTTTATTTCAGTCTCATAGGCTCATTTGTGTAGAGGGTAACCGAAGTCAAAACACCCATGACCATTGCAAATTTTGGTTTATTTTAAGCTTTGTGGTCATTCTTGTATGTAAGTCTTATTGCATTCCGTTAATGTAACCTTTCATAAGGTAAAAAAGCCTCTTTTAGAAAGTGGAGTTGAGAATGGACATATGAGTTGTAGAGATGCTCCCCTTTTTAAACGTTATGGATCTTCTAGGATAAAAATGATTTGACGCCTTCGAACGAGTAGCTGAGTCGAATTAGGAAAGGGACAAGTAACAAGTCATTCAGAGATTTAAGATTGTGTGGAATTAATATCGCATATATCATCTGTACCAGCCAGCGATATATCAACATGATGATTCACGTTCAATCTTTCATATAAATTTCTCATTCTCCTTCTTCTGACAGTAAAAATCTATAGTTAACTTACTTGAGCATCTTGGTCACATTGTTTGTGCACGAACTGTGGATGGTAGTTAGGATCAGAGGGTTTCGTGAATTTTGGATAAATGTCTTATGTGGCATACCTAACAATAAACAATATAAAGAATAAATAGCCAACTATTATAAAGTAGAAGTTTGTCCATGAGCAATATTATATCCAAACCATTATAAAGGAACTGATGTCATCAAACAGTCAATGGCTAATACAAATACAATTACTTTTTGTATTAGATACAGGAAGGACTACGGGTAGAGTTGAATTGTCAAGACCTAAAAATATAAGTGTAACAGAAATGAAAGTCATGAAGCATGAAGAAATTCCACAACAAACTTTTGTTAGTATGAGAATTGCGGAAGCGCAATTGCCCTATGTTTTTCGCCTATCTGCCTGGTCGGTCATATTAACTTTACTCATACTGTATATCTTTGATATATAATTAAAACTAGGTATGTCGAGTATTTTCAAAATTATGAAGAAACAAAATACAAGAATAAGAATTAAACAATAAATTCGTACCAATCTTTGTTTAATTCTCAAGCATCTTCACTAATAATAACAATTGAGCTACAAATTTCGTAAATAAGACACCAGAGAAAGGTAAATTACATTAATAATGTGTGAATTACAGTATAATTAAGAGAGTTCCCATAGGATATTATATAAGCAGCATAATGCTTAGTTGTGAAACTTATTATACTATATATATGAAAGTTACAATTCTCTACAGGAAATCCTCAGAAAAGACTACCTACCAGTGACAAAATGACGTCCACAGATGTAAATTTTTTTTCTTTTTGGGTTCCATCGGCTTCCATCGGGGTATCTCCGTTTGCAGGCATTTACCCATTATTTGCGCGAAACCGGGTTATTGTTTGGAAATCTATAGAATCCTGGTTTTTCATCCATCATGTTATGGCTAGAGCAACGGTAAGCAGCACAACTGAGAGGCATATCCTCATTTGGTTTTCACAGGCGACGGGACACGTGGAAATGGCAGTGCACTGGCCTAAGTTACAGATTGTTTTCACTGCAGTCTGTTGCTAAGCACTGTAATAACGTCACACCAGAGAGTCTTGTAGAAATTTGCTTATGATATTAATTCCATAGTGCACTTACCTGAAATGAAGTGTGCTGAGCATATATAAACATAGTTGCTTTTAGGGAACCATGCGCTGCCGTCTTCGTTCATACGTTTCATTGCATGCACCCACTTCTCCCATTTTTCCTTCTTCTTTATTCTATCTGGAAAAATGTGAAACGTCAAGCCTGTTTTCTGCATCATATTATGGTTTGTGCAACCCACAGCGACACAGCTTTTCGGCATAGTTTTTTCTTTTGGACTACTTTCTTTGCTGCCTGGTGAACCACAAGGCCCTTTGAGTTCGTTGTTTTCACCCACCTATTGTTGCTAGGTAATGTTGCTAAGGGAAACTGAATCTATGTAGCGTTTAAGACAGGTGACATTCGAAGAAAGTTGATCTCAACTGGACTTAACTGTTTTAGATCTCAACAGAGTTAGTCATTCTAGGAAAACAAAATTCTTTGATCACTTTGTTACTTTATCCCTGAATATGAGTGAACAATTTACTTCACCTTAAAAGCACGTATAAACAATTCATTACCTAAGGAATTTAAGAAACATGTAAGAAATTTGATAGCAAAATGGCCAGAAGATTTAAAAAACTGCCTACCAGCACTGGACCTTAGTTTCTTATAAAAAATAATACGTGTATATCAAAGTTTATCAATAGACAGATAAATGGAGAAGGTAACTAGAATTGCGAAATAGAAAATTTGCCACGGAAAACGATCAATGGCGGCGCCAGCCATCAACAAGTGGGGAAATGATGGGGCTTATTTATAGGTTGATATATACAGAGGCGGATCCAGAGTGAGTTCCTTGGTGCACAGAACTCAGTCAGTTTTTCAATATACAGCTTAAAATAAGTAACCTAAAAATTCTAAGTTTTATCATAGTCTCTTCAAAAGCTTAAAATTGCCAGTTTGATGTAATCGGTTCTCCCTTTTACTTCCTTCTCTGTCGGTCGTGATTTGGAAACGATTTTCCAGACGCTGTGGAGGACAACAGCGGTCAATCCTAGAACTCCGAAATAAACGTTTTATGCCTCGGAAGTGAATTGAAACAATGAAATTTTTGTTTGGAACACGGATGGAACTCAGTCAAAACAGCATCTGGAACTCGGAAATGATATCATATTTGTAAGAGAGCTGTACAATAGCCAGTAGTTGATTTGCTACCTATTGTTTCTGATTCGTGGAACTGCAAAACATTGAATTCGAAATGGCGACTGCAGATATCTTATTTTCACGACCCTCGCAGAATTCTAGCAGATTACTAAGCGTTTGAGATAAACCAGGAAATTTCATTAATTTTCCAGGATTATCATCTACTTTTTCTTTAAATTGCAGTCTTTGATGGCACGGAGTACCTATGTTCAAACGGAACACCATATTTTGATGAATAGGCTGGTGTCTACGGAGGCAAAACAACAAATTTCGAGCAAAACAAAAAGGGAAAAACTTTGCTGTGGCATCCAAGACAAACAAGAGGGTATTTAGAAAGGGAGGGGGTTGCAACAATTTTCACAGAGGCACTGTTTTTGTCGGAAGAAATCTAGAATCTAGAGTTAGAGAGTGGATAGTGCATACCCTTCCCCCTCAATGGTACCAAAATGCATAAATATGAATAAAAATGTTGTCTTAGGCACAGTTATCAATGTATTATCTGAATGTCCCTAGCCTTGGCCTTGTATTCAGTCAGGTTTTTTGCTGGATCCGCCCCTGATATAGGTTTGTTTTGGACCACTCCCGCTCTTCCCATGAGATGCATTATTTCACAAAGGAAATACCCTTTTTGTCCAAGAAATGTCCTTTAATATTCCTTTAATGTTAATAGAAATAAAAACAATAAACATGCTGCTCATAGAACCAGGATAAAATATTTTCGACTATATATTGTAACATAATAATTATACCGACAAATCTCATTAAGCGTTTATAAGTCTGTATACAGTAGCTTTTCTGAGGATCTAGATATAATACACATCCTCCTTTCTCATCTTTCTGAGAGGTTGGGGCAAATAGTCCTCCCCCCCCCAATCCTCCTTGGCTCTACTACCCGAAAGTGATAGGATGTGTTGCAAAACTCTTTTATACACTAATCCTCATTTCTTCACTCTTTTTTATAAGAACCAGAAAATTTAAGTTCAGGCTGACTGTTCTAAATTTTTTCGAAAGTCTGAGGCTAGGTTGTTCTTAATTTGCTCTTAAGTTAATAGGGCGTAAGCAGTGTGATTATTAGCTTTTTCGCTCTAGGGAGGTGTTCAGGCATCACTTGCCAACAAAGTGGGTGAGACAGCCTTCATTTGCTGACAGGTTTGAATATTCATCGAAAAATCTCCAACACATGGCTAAAAACCCTCGCTTTTGAGATGCAACGTTGTTCAAAATTGCTTTTTTTAGTAGCGCAGTCTCGGCTTGTTCTTAATTTATTCTTAACTTTTGACTAATTTTGAGGCCCGTGTTCTATGCCCATTCTATGAACATAATGTTTCTAGCAAATATAATCAGAACAAATCAAAAATGTTCATTGTTACCAGATTCAGATTATCGACAGGAATGTTTTTTTCATCTAAATACCCAGGGCGCCGGAGAGGAAGGAACAGGGGGCCGCCCCACGTCCAGAGTCCCCATGCTATTTTTTTATTCCTATGCGAGACGAGGTACTGTCACAGTATAGCCGGGGTAAGACGAGGTACGATCACTTGTACCGAATAGGGACGGCAAGAATCTTTTAAAACATGTTCATATTTCAGGAACCATCCTTGACTGAAGTCTCCAAAGCATCAAGTCTTTGAAGTTTTCGAATAGTAAAGTTTAAAATGTAATATGGTTAATATAGAGAGGGAGGGCAACAATTGCCTAAGATTTGCTCTTGCAAATCATTACACAACATGAGGAATGGTTTTCACTGCACTTGATATGCAAAATCTGATTAAAAAATGTCCTTTGCACCCAGTAACAATTTGCCAGACAAAATTTTTTTATTATCCTTCCATACCCACTTCTTTGTCCTCTTGGTTTACTGTACTTGCACCAGTAGGCTTGTCCACTTAGTTTAGTTCTTTAGAAGATACGCAACCTTGCTGGGAATAATTTTTGCGAAATGGTCACGAAAAATTTCTTCGCCAGGTGCCTATACACCGCTTTTACTCTGTTAATAGACAGCAAGTGTCTTCCACTGACAAACCAGAAGGCGTAATTCTACATTTTCGCAATATATCTTCAGTTAAACCGTGATCTGGATCGCATCTAGCAAAAAATTCAGCCTTATTGTCAAGTTGAATTTTGTTACGAAATGTTGAAAAGGGTTTAATATTGTAGACTGTTTCAAAGAAAAATTTGGATCAAATTGATTAACTGCATTTGTATGTTTATAATTTATTAACGTGTAAATGTGTTTCTAATAATTATTTTTTAAACTCGATAATGGTAGAAAGTTACTTATTTATGATTTGTCTCATAACGCAGGGGATCTCATCAAATGATAGGCCCAGAATACCAGTGACCAAAAAACTTGATTCATATGGCTTATTGTCTACATCAGGTTAATGTTCACTCTCAAAATACTACCCTATATTTCATTACAGTCTAAAAAAGGATTGTTGTTTGGTAAAGTCGATGTTAAGATGCATTTTGTAAGGTTTTGTGTATTTCTCTTCCAGATTGTCTGTTCGCTTCATATCAAATAAACTGAAGAAGAGATATGGTATCGAGTTTGGAATTGATTCAGTTGGCTTTTTGGTTTTCAAAGATATTTGGATAAATTACAAGGATGTAGCAAAGATTGTGAGTTATTTATATTTAGAATTGTCTATCTCACCCAGAATATAGCTGGGTTCGTAGCAGTTTAAGGCATTGATTCATAGTAAAAGCAGATGGTGTAGCCAAATACGCCGGCCATGATTATTGTGCACCAACACTATTAGTGACCCAAGTAAGACTGTTCACATGCGTCTTAGTTGATTTTAAAATCTCATCCTGATTTTAAAATATAGTGTCGTCACTGCATCCTACAACATTTTTTAGCATAGAATCTGATTTTTCTTTCTACATTTTGACCGAAAAATTAGCGTCATGAAAATTTGCAAGCGTACTGAGGTCCTGGTACTCCATCAGAATCTGAAGTCAAAAATTTAGTATTATCTGAAGCACTTTAGTACATCACCGACCTGCCATACATTTTAGTGAAAAATTTTGAGGTTTTAATTGCTATGTCCAAATACGTCATTTGTCATAAAACATTGCGATCTAGCCTGATATTAGGATGTTTTTTGTTTCATTAAATCAGCATATCGAATTGAAATAGGAATGTCTGTTCATCTCAAATATTTATATTTTTTTAATCGATATATGATGAAGATATACAAGGATTTATTAGATCTCTGACAATGTATTTGAAGATATATTCATGATAATTGTTCAGTACGTATAGTAAAGGCCAGAGAGGTGGTACTGCTTTCCATGCCATTATTTTTATATCAAATTGTAAAGTTGTTTTTAAAATATTATAAAACTCCCGTAATTTATTTTCTAGCTTTGCCTATAAATACTTTGTTTAATCAAATTCAACATTATACTCTAACTTTTCTCTTTTGTAGAAAATAAAAGCTATTGCACTGGTTTCCAGTTTGTTCCAGTGGCAGTACTCGTGAGCATGTTTCGATTATTTTCTTTGATACTACGTGCAGCAAAAATGCCACAAAAAGTATAACTTTGACTTTTCAGCAGAAGTAGTAATGAAATATTAATTTTCATGAAACCACTAATTTCAGGGCTAAATCAACTCTTGCAGAAGATTTTCTTCAAGAATCAAAATTAAATGAGCTCTTTTTGAAATATTTTGTGGCAAATGTGAGAAACCTGGCTCTTTGATTGACGGGCCGGTTTCTCTTCATTCCCAACTTGGTTCACTTCACCAAAATCAAATTTTCCTAACTTGGTTTGAAGCGGTATGCAACCGTTTTGTTTCAAAACCGGACTTTTATACAGTTAGTACCGCCAAAAGTTAGGCCAAAATTCCAATATTCGTTGTCGCCTAAAGTATATGTACTTATAGAGCAGATGTAAAAACGTTATATGTCAAAGCAAAGACATGAGCTCGGAACAACAAAGCTAAAAAAATGATTTTCTGCTTAAAGGTGTCTCCCCTATTTCTTGATGGAATATCTCCAAGAGCTAAACAATATTTTATGAATCTTTTGTGCTTAAAATTGAACCTTTATCCTTCGTTTGCTGTAATAAAGTTTCGCTAAACATTCGTCTAACAAATTTTGAAGTAGAGTTGTTTTTGTTCATCATTTCCCGTCGTCGAAGCTTTTTTGAAACCGTTGGGCTATCTTGATGATATTCGGTTCCGGTCGCTGGATCCCGTCTTGAAAGTTAGGGGTCTGGAGCACGAATTTGCTTGTAGCATCTTTTATTTTGCTTTTGTTAGTTTTTCAATAGATCCTTTTTGACTTTTAGAAAACCAGTGAATATTGTCATAGGAAATGTTGAGATTGTCGTGCATGAAAAAGAGACGACGACGGATGCTTCAAAATCGAAACAAAAATCTCAGCCAAATATCGGTATGAGTAAATCTCATTTTGTTGCATTTAGAAGTGAACATTCCAAATAATTAGTTATATTTTGCTTTTTGCGTACTTTCATGGTATTTTTATAGCAAACCCAGTTTGGATTTATAGTTCTACGATACAGGTAATGTGACATATGAATTTAACTTTTAATTTTTTATCAGCCTTTAATTCTTTTTTATTTCATGCTATTACAAATCATTTGTTTTCAGAGATGAATATATTGATGTTAACCTACTGTTATTTTTGCCAAAAAATGTTTCTTACGTATTTGAAGATTAAAGTTAATTTCATTCTTTTTTGTTTTTGCTAGGTAAAAAAACAGGAAAGAGCAATGGCTTGCTGTATCAAATTCTGCTATATACCCTCCAGGTTAATCAGAATATTGGTATTTTTGCCGGGAATAAGCATTGGTTCTTATTTAGGGCATTTTAAATCCATAATATGTGGTTTGAGAGACTGGCAATGAATTTTGCCTCCTAAATCTTAGCTAAGTCAATAAGAAGGAGCAGCATTCCAAAATGTTTTAACGACCTTGATCCTAATAGCACACTTTCAAAATTTTCTAGAAATAATGAAATTTGCAGGGAGATCTCAGAATCTAAGTGAATTAAATCGATAGCTTAGCAACAGTAGCATTTAACCGCAGTGGGTTTTTCGTAGTATCCATTTAACACCATTACCAATATATCAACTTTGAGAATCTATTGGAATCATTTGAATGGCCTGAGAATGTCATAACTTTTGTTCAGTTGTGTTATTTATTAATTTAAGCATCATCTCTTCTTATACTGAATTTTCCCCATCGTTTTGCAGTTTTCATGTTTTCTGTTTTATGAATCCTTACTTAGTTGTTCGTTGAAACAAACATTCAACATAGTGCAACGACATTCATTATGTGCATGGCCTCTGCATTGGACGTTTATACCTTGAATGTTTTAATTTTCCATTATGATTTCAGTACGTTGGAATCGAAGTCCCAGAAATCAATGTGCTTGCCACAAAAGGAGACCTGAAAATGATTTGGAGATCCAAACTACGATTCCTAGTTGGAAGACATGGATCCGAGTAAGATCAATGTATTTTTTTCTTATTTCTTATTTATTAAAATGATCCAAATTAAGCTCAGCAAGAATATTTTATTTTCTTTATCCTTAATCTATACTTATATAACTAACTTAGCCTTTGGTGCCATAAAATTTGAAACCAACAGTAAACGCGAAAGGTAACGCACTAAAGTACTTTCCGTCTAACACTTCTCAAGGCATAGACGTGAGATAAAAGTTATTTTCTTATCAAAATTTCTGTATATTTATTTATACCACAGGCATATGTAGACTATCTGTATAATGCGTGTATAGATTGTTTTGAATGGCAATCTAGTACTAACCTCAAATCTTAAGATCAATTTATTTGGGCATCTTTGTATATAGTTATTGCTTTTCTTCAGCTTCGGACTAAGCCGTTCAACAATGATTGCAACCATGGTATATCTATTTAAAACTAAATCAGAAGTCTACAGATAAACTTGAACAAAAATATCAAAGATTCCAAAATTTGCGACGATAATGAGCTAAAAGCTAAGGAATAATTAAATGCATTTTTAAATTATTACAAATTGTTATTAAGTTTTTTGTTCGCTACTCAATGTCTTCAACTGTAAGTGTGCCACAGCCTTCTCCCTCCTTGTTGCCTAGGAAAAAATATTTGCGATTCATAGGCATTTGCTTTGGAAGTTGGCCAACGGAACCTTGCAGATTTGTTGTTACTTTCAAAGATATTGGAAGACTGAATTGAAAAATTGAATAAGTCTTAGATAAATCCTGTCGATTGAGCTGTAGCTGGATTAAAATTGTTTTTGTAATAGATTTTAGCGAAAGGTCTATCTTTAAATTTTTCACATGGCTAGCGACCTACCGTTTTGAATTGTCATGCAGTAAGAGCTGCTTCGAAATTCTAACACGATGTTACTGGACTGGCTTTCCAACAGGTCTTCTGATTCAGTACTGGCTAGTGAATGTCGGTTGTCTAAAGATTTCATTCTTGTGACTTGTTCATCATTTCCTTCAATTTTCTTCTCATTTGGCGTGTCTCTTGGATATTCTTTAGCGAATCCTGTGATGATATTACAGAGCTTTGTCTGGTCTTCCATTTGTTTTTATTTGTAAATGCTTACAAAACCCATCTGGTCTTCCTTTGTTTTTATTTATAAATGCTTACAAAACCCGCTGTTGATTAAAATTACCAAAGTAGAAGATTCAAAGCATACGTTGTACTAGATCTACGATGATCACTTTTTAGTAAAGGCACCCCGATGTAGACAAAATTGAAAAGTTATTGTCAAAAGAGCTCTAGTTATTTTTTCAATAATTTAGCCAATGATGAGGACCTACAATCCTGGCCTGTAAAGTCGGGACACCGAAACAAAATCTTCAAAGTTACTTCTACTCCAACCAATTAGAATTTTGCTTGATATCAATATTTTATGACTTTTAGTGATCGTAAAAAGAATTAGATGCATAAGCACTTCTTTTGAAGTAATAAACATTTCAAAAACACTCTGCTTCCCGCTTTCACATTCCTCCATTTGGGAGCGCAGTTTTTAATTAATCCATATTTTCAGAAACTTCAAGTTTGACATATTTAGAAAAACTGTATAAGATCTGTTTTATGACTGGCTATTGACGTGAAAACGAAATTCTCATTGAAACTGTTTAGAAATTTGTTCAGTTTTTTGCCATCCGAATAGCGTCACTACATATTTATTCAGATAGAACGCTCCTGTCTCCATACACAACTTGTTTCATTTCTAAATGCCAACACCTAATGACGTTTAATTTTGCTTGATTTATCTGGACACCGCTTTTCCAAGCAGGTCTTGTGATTTTGACCCGGCCTAATCTTCTTACCCGGTTCTCCTTGGCAAGGGGCCACGTACAAGGTTCTTGGAAACATCTCTTGCTCAACATCTTCGTATTCTTCGTCATTTACTACCCTACATTGATCTGCAACCTGCAACTCTTCAACAGGGTCTTCTGTTTGTCTAGGGTCTTCAACAGGTCCTTCATCGCTTGCTCTAAACATTTCAAAGTAATGCTCTTTACTATATCGTCGTACACCATATGGATCCTTTTGGCCACTCTCCGTCGGATCTTTAGGGCTGTATTTTCCTCTATTTTTATGACCTCTTGGTATTCTCCAAGCATCTTTTGCTTTGAACTGCATCGAACTGCCTCTTTCCTCATTGTCGTTGCCCAACTCTTTGATCTCTGATTTTTCTTTTCTTCTTGCTCCATCTCGCAATTTTCCTGTACGCATTCTTTTTATTGAAAATAAAGATGAATTTTCTTTTGGAAGCTGTCAATAAGAATATCAAACAATATACTTATTAAGGCGCTCTTTTTGTCAAGGTTGTAAAACCATTTCATATTTTCATCATCAAATGTCTTACACATTCAGAATTAGCACATTCATTTCCAGAAGTAAGTTGCGATGGCGCATGTTAGGATATTTAGCTTCCATGATTTAGTATCATCATATTAATATTTCATTTCCATAATTCAATTTGCATTCCTTCAGTCGGTAGAAGTTTTTTACCACCTGTATAATATTTTTCAATTCATTCTCTGTCCACGAAATATTAATGTTTTTTTCGTGATAAACTCTTAAGCCATACCACATGAATTCAATTAATAAGATTTGCAGCGACAATAAATATGCATAAACTTATGTTTGCTTTGAAATGAAAGCAAGGAGGAGTATTTTACTATCTTCCGTGCTCAGCTAATGAAGCGTTGAAAAAAACTTTGTTCAGCTTTGGAAAATGAGCAAAATGTGAATGCAGAATGACAACTGTAGGACGTTTACCAATTCTACCTTGTTCTTTTGATCACTCTTGGCACATATGCCATGCTTGGCATTTTCAGCACTAAACACCTTATTTCCGTTGCTGGTCAAAATGTCGTCACTCGAAATATCCATGTAGCTAAAAGCATAATTCATGTTGCTAGAGGCAGTGACACCCATAACTGCGTCGCACGATCAGCCGCTTTTTAAGCAAGTGTTAGTACTTAGATCACGATGTTCGGCGAAAAACTGTGCTACTTTTCTTTGTTATTAGATTATTACGTCAGATAACATCGTGTAATTATTCAGGCTTTTAGCCAATCACATGTTAAGCCCTGGATAAATTGAAAGTTAATCAGGCTTCTCTTGATAGAACGGAGACTATAAAACAGAACGAGGCTATGCGGGAAGATTTTTTGTTCTTGTTTCCTAAACACACGAAATTGAATTTCCATGACGGACGGACAAACGAAACTTTCATAAGGTATCAAAAATTAGCGGATGATTCCTGAATTCTCTCCTTTTTGGTCATAAAAGAACCTACAAGAAGGTGTAGATTAGTTGAAGCAATCACTTATAGAATAAGCACATCGCCTCAAAAGGATACAAATTTCTATCGTGACGGACAGACGAGATAGAAAACACTGAAAAAACTAATTTCACGCGTTCAAATATTCTATCTAAGCAACCAAACTAGAGATAGATTTTGAATATTTTTAACAATGAAACACCAATAAGAAACATCATCAAACAATTTAAACAATTTTTTCTTCTCAACATTCGGAACTTTTAAGGTCGAAAGTAAACCAATGGATCACCGTGACGGACGGACTGGAAAAAGTCGCTCTAGATTAATATTGTTAGAATGCACATTCTTTGTCATCAACAATAGTAGAAGTGAATGAATAATGGTTGGTGTCAATCGTTTATTTGGTAGTTCAAACCCAATATGTTCAGTTATTGTACAATTTTCGAATTGTCCGTCCGTCACAATTTTTTTATAAATCATTTCCTCCCTCTTAATAACGACAAAAAGTGTTCTTTTGCTCTACCTATGATATGATATGGTACCTCAATCACTATTAATGTTGATTTTTTTTAAGGGAATTTACGATTGTCCGTCCGTCACGAAATTGTGGTGAACATGTCTATGGTGAAGAAATATGATGGAAAAGTCTTAAACAATAATAAAAACACTTATGTATCTATTGAGGTTAATTTTGTCTCTTGAAGTGATAATTTCAAACGTTTCAATCACTCAAAGGAGCATTTCTTATGAAACCACAATACACGTAGAAATGCACATATTATTTGAAAATTTGGAAATTTGAAAAAATTATTTGTCCGTCTATCACAATCATTTTCATACTTAGCTTCTACATCTGCTTGACTATGTGCTAAGAGAACTATGTGCTAAAATTGAGAAAAATATTTTTCATCAATTTAGCTATCTAGTTCTGGGATAAGATAAAATTTTCCATAATATCATGTTGTTCGGATTTTTCTAGAAACGCAATGAATTTCGTAATAGCCCCTGTTGAACTTTGACTAGTTCTACTAGCAGGTTGTACTTGGTTTTCAGGTCTTGATTGTCTTCATTCTGGTCTTCACTTTAAAAATTGTATTTTTTGAATCACATTTTTCTTTTTACCTAGAAAATTCAATTTATCGATCGAAATCCACGATACGACAGTTAAGCTACTTGAAGAGTGTCAACCAATCATGGAGTGCTGTTTGTTTTCCCAAATCAGTGCCAACGTCACACCAGCACGCATCACCAGACCATCTGTAAGTACATAAATATGCATTTGTTGAGAAAATTTGATCCATTCGTACCGTATCGTTGTGAAATTTCCGTGGCTGTCCACACCGCAAAACCACACCGTGCAATGCATACCATAATTTATTGAATGCACAGTCTCAGCGCAGTGTTAGAATACAGTTTTCGGAGCGACATAGTTTCGTGTTCCTACGCTCAAAGAGGTCAAAAAATTATGCGTTGCTTCGTTGCCTAGTGACTGCCTACCTGGTATAAAATGCAGTCCGATGCAATATTACCAGCCAGGCAAAGATAATGGGGAAAAAACTACCATAAAAGTTTGCGAATCTGTCTACAGGCCCCCTACTCCAAAATGTGCACCGGCATCCCTGACTTCTCCGATAACCTGTTTAATTTTTCTTTCAGGTTAAAAGGTTTGAACTTTCTGATTCTTAAGTATTCGTTAATTTTTTAGGAAATCAAAGTGAAGTTATCCAGGGTCACTTTATCATGTAGAGAAGGTAGATGTTCTAATTGTAAGATTTTCGATTTTTCCCTAAAAGCTTCATTGTCAATAAAAAAGATTATTTAATCCTTTGCTTTATGAGTTTGATTGTTATTTGTATATCTGGCATTTGATTGTTATTTGTATATCTGGCCATAAACATTGTGGTTTTGAGATTTTTATATCACTTAAAAATGTTTTATAGGTTTGTTAAAAAGAGTTGGAAAGCCGCGAATTAACAGGAGAGACGATTCTCAAGATATTGACAGCAGAGGTACCTTTATTTCATTCACTGACAGCGATTTTTGCCCTGGAACTATTGTTGATATTTTTAATTGCACCCGGTTGCTCTTGAAATAGTTATACCATATCAGCAATTTTTTCTGCAAATATTATTACCCAATATTCATAAAAAGATTGACCATTTCGACTCTTGTATTCAGCTTCATTCGCATATGTTGTCAAGACCACAAAAAGTTTGAAATGTATTGATTTTCCCAGCCTCTCATTCGGCTGATACAAAGACAGACAATTTTATTAGGATGTCAGAATTGATGTTCCAAGCAACACCAGCTCACGATTTATCACTTGAGTTGTTTAAGTCAAAAACACTTCGCAGTAAAAATGCTGGAACACTTCCGTTGTGACAGTGGGAATAAATTACTTATCCAGCACTTGGTGACAATTTAACAAAAGTTTTCTGTAACTAATGATATGAGGCAGCATCAAACTTGATTTATAAATTTTCAATAAGATTGAGATTTTGAAGCCGATTTGCCTCTCTCTTAATTTTGAGAAACATCTGTTTTTTAAGTGCTTCAACAGTGATTAAGGGATCTCTAAAAATGGAAATTTTTACAAATAAGCCTGGAACATGTTTCTTTCTTTCTTTTGCCCATTTTTCTTCCCCCTCTTCTTTTCTTACATAACTTTCTTTGTCTTTCCTACAATTTCTTTTTCTTTCCCTACCTTTTAACTGTTGCCCTGTTCCAGTCTTTAACTGTCCTCATCCCGGTTTTGAGGTAGCTACAGTAAAAATATATACCTCTGCTAGTGTTGGCAGTAACTGCGACAGAGCGACTCGTCTGCAGTTCCATATTCAAAAAGAGAATCTAGCGTCTTGCACAATATTATGACAGTTTTTGTCTATTACTTCCTTTGATTACTGACTTTATGCATCTGTGTACAAATAACAAAGGCCTTTTAGACATAACTTGGTGTGAGTTCTTATTATTCATATGAGACATAAGCCAAGGTTGATATCAGTTTTTCGCTTGCAGAGCCAGTTGATACTGAATCTTCATCTGAGCTGCCTCTTCTACAGAAAATGGACCAGTTACCTTTGGTAATTCTTGCTGCTATTTATATTCTTAATCATGAATTCAATTTTAAAGTAATTATCTTGCAATGTATAAGGTATGAAAAGTAGCAAACTAAGAAAGATGCAAAGACGGGTAAAGGTTTGTATTTACCTGGAACACTACGTCAAGGGTTTTGTGCAAGCAATGTTGCGTATAGAATTTTGCATTGTTTGATTTCATCATTGAAATGTGCTTTAACTGAGTTAATTTTTGCAAGACTAGTGATTCTGGATCAATCCATAACTCCGTGGAAACATTGATTTGCTCAGGCTGATCGCTTTCGACATGCAAGTAACAAAAGCAAAATTATCCAAGGAACATTTTCATACATTGTTATCAAGATTTCACCTTTTTATAAAATTTTCACAATGTTATTTAATTTTTAACTTGTATCAGATATTTCATCTTATATTTCTCATATAAAAAGCAGCTGGTACATTTCATCCCATATTTAAACCTTCCTTTCTGCTGTAGAGCTCAACTCTTGTGCTTGAAGATTGCAAAATCGTGTTCATCAGTTCACAGGGAAGGTAAATTGACACATTTAGTTAACTCGTTTTCCTTAGTGTTTTTTAATGTTATGTTTTCATGAATTAATTAATATTCACACTAATAGATATTTCTTCGTGTAAGACGAAGGCATATTTCTGGTATGTTATGCAAGAAGATCCTAATATTATTATTTGAAAAAAGCAAACATTTTACAACATACTAAAAGCATAAAACGTCAGAATAAGGTTCCGAAAGAACACGATGAAAAATATGTTTTTCAATCGTGTTTGCTTTTTTCAAAGCAATTTTCCAATTCTGTACCGCAAAAAAATTGTTCATAATATTATTCTAAGGAATGCCAATAAATTTCTGCAGGGTATGTAAGAATGATAAAGTTTTTGCTTTTCAAATCTAACTTTTGCGAATATGTGATTTTTTCTAGCAAAACGTTTCTAAGTGCTTTCCTCATGTATTGTTTTGCTGAATTTGTAAATGTTCTATTTATTCTAAAGAGAAATCTGTCTCAGTTGGCATTGCGAGCTTGCATTGAAACAGTTTCTTGATGATGCTGGAGATGGGGAAACAACTTCATATGGCCTTTCTCTTGACTTGACCGGTTCGTGTTTTTGTTTATGTATTCCAACGTTTATGTATTTATGTATTTAACCCGACGACCGTGAGGTGGGATTCTATCTGCCGCACCTACGCCGCACACCTTGTTTGCATTTTTCCTCTAAGGAATGTTTTCAAAATGAGACTGATTAGTCGGGTTAAAGCTAATCACCCTTGATAAGGAAAAGTCCAGATGCAAATTTTCTGAAAGTTTCTTCTTTTATATACCACCAAGTTTTTATTCATTATGTGTTTTTGTTATTTCAGCATACCTTTGTAAGTTCCTGTTGCCTGTCTGGTTTTAAGAACTTGTAGACAACTATGCTTTGCGATAAGAATTAAGGTCCGTCTTTCATTACTGTCTATCATATGTATGACGTAACTTCCTGCAATTTGACAATAACATACTATTTGGCTACACAAAGTTTTTGACGTCATATGTAGTTTTATTTCCTTGCCAAAAGTTCATCTTACTTAAGAGAGGGATTAAGTTTTTCCCAGTTGCTAATGAGACTTATCTACAAAAATTATAATGTTCTTTTTAATATTTCCTAGGTCTCGTGCTTAATACCTCTCGCAACAAGCTTTTATTGAACAAACAAATTGAATGCAGTGTGAAGGTAATTCAATGTCTACTTTGCAAAACGTTCAGTGAAAGGCTAAAATTCTCCAAATAAGAGATTTGCCCGAGGTGTCTACAGTATCGTATTAATATAGAGGTCGTTTAGATTTGTACCTTTGAATTTTTCTGTATAAGATCTTTGCCTGAATGCTTTCAAACTGTAAATCTGTTTCAAAGCCTAATATAGCAGAGACTTTAATCTTTTTATCTAAAATAATGCCCTTTATTTCTTGCTTATGAATCTTTAGCTATTCGGATGATTATATCACCTTCGAAACTTTTTGCTTTGTGATGATCTTTTTGGAATATCAAAAGAGAAGCGTTTCTTTTTTGTAAATGTTCTGTAAACTGCATTTGACTCTGCTTGCAGCTTAATGCCATACCATTATAAACAAAAACTTACTTTACTCATCTCTGGCATTAAATACACTCTTTTTTGAAACAAATACTTTGTCTCTCTTTTTCCAGTTAACCACTGGTACTGATTTGTCACATGGAACTATCAATGCTAATTTTGATACATTTCACGCCAGTATGATTGAGGAGGAACTCAATTTTTGGATAGCAGAAAAACGAAAATGTACCCCTGAAGCAGAAGATAGTGGTCACGGCACCCCTGTTCCAAGGTAGCTAACACTTGTAAATTAATATCGAATTCGAAATCTACTCCAAGTTTGTAACAGTTTCTTCCACATTAAATATATAAAAATTTGACCTTGGTATCAACCTAGTGTGTTAACTGTTGAAAATGTCTCCATTCAAATGTCAAATACCCTCGTTGGTCTTTATTCAGATATGTTGCACTCCAAGGTGTATACGGACTGTTATTTGAACTTTACTGGGATGGAAATTCTTGTTCCGGAAACCGTATTTTCTTGCAATTTGAATTCAAACATTGCCATTTTGTGAATTATTTAATACCTGAATGCCTTTTATTTTGACAGGAAAAGGAGGAAAGAGAGCAATATTATCAAGTTTTTAAAGACACTGAATTGGTCTGTGAAAGCTGTTGTTCGGAATTGCTCTTGCGACATCATGGCCACTGCAAAAGAAACAGGCCAAAGCTACCCAATTTTAAACACATATCTTGGAGAATTCGAGTTGAATATTGCTTTTGAGAAGCAAGGTGACTTTAAATTCTGTCATTTTATTTAATAGTTTTAAGATTAAACTGCTGTGTATACAGGGGTTTAGTCATTTTGAACATGCAAGAGGAGTGCTGACAGAAAATTTTAAAATTTTTGTTCTGCCAATTGCCGCTCTCTAACTATTAATTTCTTTGAAGTTAAACTGTTTAAAGGATTATTCGACTAGCATGTAATATACTGATAGTATGATAGAATTCGAAAAATATTTAAAGTAAAAATAAGTGTTAGAGAAAGGCATCATGTCTCAGCCACAACCATTAAGGGATCAAGGCAATCTTCTAGGCTGTCGTAAAATCTGCCTTTGAATTAAAACCAGATTCAAACAATGAGTCCATATCATTTGTATGATTGATTATTAATCAACACTTATTTCTTAGTAAAAAGGCTTCCTCTGCTCTTTTTCGTAGATGGGAAAAACAATTTTTCGCTAAGGTAAGTTTTGCTGGGAACTTCAAGAAGCGAATTTCAATACTTCATTTTATACAACAATTTGCTTCTTTCAACTCTTTATATTACCTGTTATATTATGTTAATTTAATTTTCTGCTATGACTGATTTTATTAGTGTTATTTGCTACAAAAGTTTCAATGTCTTTTTTAAATTATATCACCAACAGCCTAGTCAATTCTCAGACATCTGGCAAAAGATAACTGAAATCCGTTACAAAAGACATAAACCAATGACGATTGGTCTAAGTTAATAAGATTTGCCCTTCGCAAGATTGCATGAAGCAGCTTTTTGAGTCCTTAGGTTGTGACAAGACAGCTTCATCATATACTTCCTTCTAAACTTTAAACCGTCACTTCTGCCTATTTTTTATTCAATTATCATCGTTGTAAGTAGATAATTGCCCCCTTGCCTCTTTCCCAGATACATGTGGTAATAAAACAGAATGTCAATGTTATAAATTATTTCATTTCGTCCTTAACAGGTCGAACATTGGGTTGAGTAATTTGTATTCTTACGTTTGTCAACTTGAATCAAGTCAAAAATTCCGGACTTGTGTAGACGGACCTGACAAACCAGCAATTCTACCGTCATCTGAAGTTCATGTATGGGGGAGAGGATTTGAACTTGGGAAAGCAACTTTAGAGGTAAACATTCATTTAGTTGTAAGCTCTTTTCTGTCAGAATAAGAAAAAACTCTTGGGCAGCATCTGCCTGTACAGTGTAAGCCTTGTTGTTGGCTAAAAAGTTTGCTAATACAGCCTCTTTCACTTTCAGGTACGTAGGTAACCACTGATCAGTGTAATTGTGGATGACTTATTCTTTTTTCCAACTGGTAGTAACGATTCCGTAGTGTAGCGGTTATCACGTGCGCCTAACACGCGCAAGGTCCCCGGTTCGAGCCCGGGCGGAATCACTCTTTTTCCTCTTTGCTATTTTGAGTTCCATTGGTTTTTTATACGTTAAGCAAGCAATATTTAGCCAGCTCGCTGTAAAACATGTTTTTTTCTCAGTTCACTACCTAGGATGGTGAATCATTAATTTCTGGCTCCCATGAATTTTTTAGCTTGAATCAATCTCTTATGATCTTTATATCAGAATATGAGAAATATGATTACACAAAATAATAATTCGTAATTCATTCACGTCTTTATATGAAACTGGTTTATAAGAAACTAGTATCACGATGCCTAAATATTCCATAAAATTTAGTACTAGGCTCAGAAAAAGAGTCCATTTTGTTTATTTTTCTTTGAAAAAGATAACATACTTCGGATTTTGGTCTGCGAAGGTTTTTTGGTGGCGATCTGCGTTTTCTATTGGTTCAAATACTCAACTTCAAAACAACGAGGCAATTTTAGGTCCCGAATTAAAAAAAACTACTGCCGTTCAGTACGCCTTCTCTCCTCAGAGGCAATCCCATTTGAAATATTAATTTCGCACATTACGATGAGAGCAAGATATTAATAAAGTAAAAAAATGATGTTTCAAAACAGTTGAAGAATTCTTACTTTCGATTTATATTTTTTTGTTACCAATTGTGTTTCGATGTTTCAAGATATCTAGTTTCTTAGAATGAAAATTCTCCATTGACTAACTCATTGCTATTTGAGACAAGCCTGTAGTCAAATATGCCTGGCCCACTTTAAGTATCAATATACCTTAAAGCCTGGTTTCCATATAGCCGTAAGGCTGCCAGCGGCTGCCTGCGACTGCTTTCTGCCATCTTCCATCATCCATCACTACGGTATCGCCGGCAGATAATTCTTTATGGAAACGCTTTCTAACGGTACCGCAGGCAGCTGTTTGAAGTGCCGTAAGACTGCCGGGAGAGCCGGGAGAAAGTTGAACGAGTTCAACTTTTCCCGGCTCTTACGGCAGCCTCCCGGTACCGCCGGCAGACAAATTACAAATGGAAACGCCTTGCCTGCGGCTGCCTGCGGCATTCTTTTGTTCAAGCGGATCATGTGATGTGCAAGAACCAATTGAAACAGGGCTTTGTTGTTGAATTTTGCCCGCCAGTTTTTCCCGCTCAAACTTTACCTAGTTACCGGCATAGTTACCGATACCGCAGGCAATTGAAAACAGAACGTTTCCATTTGCCGGCGATACTGTAAGGGTGGAAGATGGAAGATGGCAGAAAGCAGTCGCAGGCAGTCGCAGGCAGCCTTACGGCTATATGGAAACCAGGCTTAATGTAGTGATGCACCGTAGTGATAGCTGTAGCCTGCCTAATCTCATTCGATTAGGCAGGCTACAGCACCTGTCGTGGCTGATTTTATGGATTTATTACATTTTGCTTCATTTTTATGATATTCTTTAAAGACTATCTATTGTTGTTTTTATATATGATGAATAACATGAAATATTTCTTATTGCTGTGTGTAAAATGACAAGAACAACAAAAAAACCATTGTTAGTTTGAAATTTGTTTCTATTTTGAAATTTGTTTACATTTATTGTTTCTGCAATCAAATCGCTTTAATTCTGATTGTCTTTATTTACCATAATATTAGCCATTGGTAAATTATTTTGTTATGTTTTGTCCTAGACGAGGAACATTTTGATATCCCTTCTTCAGAGATAATGTTAGAACTCATATGTCTGAAACCGATGGTCTGAACCCACCGAGATTGAAATCACTATAATTTGCATGATTTTTCTTATAGTTTCTCGAAGTCTTGAGTATCAAATTCATATTTGTTAGCATAGCATGTCGAATATATTTTGTCTCCAAAAACTTTCAAGCAAATGGTTTTCAGTATCACTGAATATTGGGAACTATTCGAAAAAGTAATAATCATTTGAGTATTTTTAAATCAAAGATTATGAAATTACTACCACCAAGATAAAATGATAGTTCCTTATTTTATCTTGCTACCACCCGTCTCTGCCCATGTGATTCGTGGGACGTGAATCTTGGCTAAATTGAGTTCTCTTCATCTAAAACATGTCAATGTGACCAATTCTCTTTATATGTATCCTAATATCAGATTCTATCCATTGCATCTTCAAGGTTTCGTCTGAGCAAATTCTGATAGATTGCTCAATGCCAGTGATTCTAAAAGCATCCTGTCAGATTGCCAATGTCGCCAGTGAGCTGTCATTGCCAGTTGTCGCTGCAGCAAAAGATATAATTTTATTCATTGAAGGCTTGAAACTTCGAAGGAGCTCAGCAGTTTACGCTCAAAAGCCAAGTGAACCGAGAGGTATGCTCCCTTATTTTATATACAAAGATTTTCTTCATCTAAGTCACATAATTCGCTGAATTTTTTTACTGTCATTGAGTAACATAAATTAGTAATTTCTTGGTTCCCTTAGATAACTTTCACGGTAAGTAGTACATTCACGGTAAGTAATGCGTTTGAGCTGGGACTCGTTTTTCGTACAAATTGATACACAAACCAAAGAATTTTTTGAAAATCTGTATGCATCGTGACTAAAACGAAGCAATTATTTGATTTCTTTTTAAGGACAAAAAGAATAATTTTGCCTCCTTATATTTCAACTGAAGCCGGTTGAATGCTAGCTTTTCTTCCAGTATTATGGACGTGATACCTATCAAACGTTTATTTCTCTATACTGTATTTAAGTACATTTGATTTATATTGATCTGGAAACATTTGTTGTAAACTTTGCATTTTGACTGATCATTTGTGTTTTGTTGTTCTAGAAAAGGTCAAGATACACGTTGACGTTGATGTGCGAATAACGAGTGTCAATTTGTTCTTGTTGGGAGAACGATCAAGTAAATTTTACCTTTTTGCATTTCGAGGCAACATTTGACTAAATTTTGAAAAAATCCAGAAAGAAGTAATTCCTAACTTTCGAAACAGTGAAATCGCAATTCTTGGAAAATCTAAATGACAGAAATTTCAAGTTTCATATTCTCATCCATAATAATGTACCAATCAGATTGCATACTCGCTCACCAGTTGGTATCTTGCATACTCGTTACCTGGTGTTCTTGTCGATATTAATTTTGGAAATGATTAAAAGTAATAAGAAGCAGTTGAGTTTCCGAGTATGCACTAATCCAAAATTTCCTGATTTTCCATCGATGTAATTGACCGGTTAGCCTAAACTTTAACCGCAAAGCCACACAATTTTTCATTAGTTTCACAAATTCTACACAATCGACTTCAAAACTCTATTATCAACTGTCGTGAAATTAATGCTAAAATATGATTTTAGAACTTTCCCAGCTTTGAGAATTACAAATAACAACCAAAATATTGAATGCAGTGACATTTATAAACTCTTAACAAACGAGTTCTGACTTTTGCTGTAGCAATAATAAACCGTTGCACCCTGTGTCCACCCTTCTGTCTTATAGATAAAAATAAGACTATGATGCGATATTATTTTCCAATGGTCTTGTTTGTTTCGGTAAGAAAACTGTGAACCTTTGCTCTTTATCCATTGTCACGATTCCCTTTGATTTCCCTTATTTAGATATTGCCTTTTATTCTTTACGTTCAGCTTCTTTTCCTTTCACTAACTGAAGCCATCTTCATTGTGTTTTTGTGCAGATGGTGCGAATTCGTTGGTTATTAAAATTGATGGTGCGGATATAACTACGGGGTCGAAAGATGAACCGATATTATGGGAAGTGAATGAGCTAAAGCTGTGCAGATTGCGGGACATAGCGCAGGTATAACGACCTGATGTCAACTGTAAGAATGGCAAAGGTTTCCTATAATGCTAAGAATGAAACCTTAACTTTACTTCCGTTAGTACTGAACCGAGTTCAAGCCAGGCTGTCGTTTAAAGATACCAGCCTTTCTCGACTTCTAAAAATATCATTATAATATCATCCTTTTCTCTATTACTTTTTCTTATCGTGATAAGAATTGAAAAGGTATTCCTGAAATGCAGACGTTTGTTTATCTTAAACATTTATGTATTTATGTTTGAAATTAATATACTTAGCACCACTATTGATAATATCAAGAGTGCATCGATTTTTTGTCCTACTATCTTTTTTGGTTTTGTATTTAGTTAAATCTTAAGCAAAGCAATCGAATAGCTGCTGCATGACCAGAATTTTTGTTCTTAATTTTTATTCCTTTTAGAATCAACCCCACAAATGTCGTGATTCAAGCACTGTAGATCAATGTATCTTGTATTTTCCATCTGTTGCTACCTGCTTCTTTCGAAAGAAACAGCCGAAGGTAATATACGCCTGGAACAATTTTTCATAATTTACTTTTTTGCTCTTCAAGGACAAGTTCTTCGCTCACTATGAGCCAATTTTTGCAACCTCTTTTCCTTTAAGCATATTTAGCAATGGTTTAACAAGCTGAAGTAACAATTCTTGGTTTATTTTTGCTTTCTTCATTAACTTGTATTATCTCCCAATTTTGTCTCTCTTGATGAATTGATGAAAAAATTCCTTTTATTTCAGAGTTTGACCGTCAGCATCCAGGACTGCCTTTTTGACTGGGATACAGCAAAGCATATGGTTATCCATGAACAAATCAACAACTTGATCGAAGCTAAATCGCTTCTTGCAGGTGAGATTCTTGGCCGTTCTGTTGGCCCTGTTATCAGGTCTCCATCCTGGGCATTCTATTTTATAAATTACTGCCTTGCTGTCATTTTTTACGATTAATCCAAAGACATGATACATTCTACAACTTAAGACGTACAGGTTTAACCAGCATTTGTTTTTAACTGTACTTTCCTTTGTTTTACGTATATTAGTTAATACTATAAACTAGCAGAAAGTGTAATTTTTTTAAATTCACCTGTACTATGAATTTTCTGATTTCTAGGGTCTTTGTCAAATGGAAGTGGGTCGCCCAATGTCGAAAAATCGAGCAAAAATCAAATGGATGTTAAAATTGATATAATTTCTGCATGCATGAAAATGGCGACTTCAAATGAAAACAGGTTTAGTTGCATCAAGTTTTACCACAGTTCACTAGAAACTGGCAAAGCGTTTATATTGAATATAAAGATATAAAGTACCATTCTATATAATATTTTCTGATTTGATTTTTCATGTTTGTATTGCTGTCTTCTCATACCGCTTTTTTTGCACAAAAATGCGAGAATGACATTTTTAAGGCTATTGTATCAATCGCAAAATGTTAGGCAATTTTGGCATAACTAATGTTTAATTCTATGAAATAACTGATCTAATATATATAACGGACATTTCTTAACGTACTACATGGAACTAAATTATTATGAGTCATTTTCTAAGTTAGTTCTTCAATGCATCGCTAAAATTGCTGTTTGCTTTTTATCTACTAATTTTTTTTTTAGCTTTGGATTAAAGATGGAGAATCTCTCCTTGCAGTATAACGCAAATGAACAATCTGTCAAAGCTTCCGATGTCAGCGTTTTGTTTGACGAAAACCCTATTCTTAAATTTCAGGTAAGTTTAAGAACGTTGAGGCTATTTTTGTCGTTAAGAGCCTTGAGGGATGCTGAGTGACTTGTGGCCTCTTCCTAGACTGGCCTCCCTTGTAGCAAATCACCATGCCACTTTTTATGTATTTGACGTCGATTTTAGATTATAGCTTGCATCAACTCAGCCTATAATTTCAGCAGTATTAAGATTAAGTAGAAGTTTTAGCTTGCAAGGATTGCTGGGTAGACATCACAAAGGAGTGATTAGAGGTCCAAAAATATGCTTCACTAAGTTAATTGTGATCATATTTGTTGGCATTGTTTTCCTGATGCACAATTTCTAGGATACTCGAAATGGAGGATGCATCAGAATGTGTCTACTGCTTCATGTTATTTCGAAATTTTTCAGAATAGCTGTTTTTGGCCCTCTTAGATCGAAATATCATTTGCTGCAATTTTTTTAAGAAGAAAGAATTCATGTAGAGCCGGAAATATAACGAAATTGACAGTTCAGAAAGTAAGAAACAAGGGAAATCCTTCGGCGTCACGCTATTTCACTCTGTCTTTTTAGCATTAAAATTTGTTTTCTTATGACAGGAAATTGAACTGGGTAAAATTGAAAGTGAGGATTTACAAGAGAGTCGATCAAAATTTTCTGAGATATCAGCGAAGAATGACAGGGCCTTGTGAGTTTTTTTAGCAATATTCGTTTGTTTAACTTGCTGAAAATTCAAACTCTTTTTAGTTGCTATCGTCATCACTTAAATCGTTATCATTTCAAGCGATGAAAAGAGAAGATAGTATATAATTCCCAGGGGCACATTAGTCCACGAAATTCTCGTACGCCTTTGGCAACAATCCCGTTTTTTAGAAAAATCGGCTAAAAATCTTATTGTTCTGAAAACATCTGGTACGCTTTCTGGGAAAAGTGATACACCCCGCGTTTTATTCAATCTCTGTAAAAAAGTTAACTTTATCTAAAATTTTTAGCAGATAATTTTTAATGCTTCATAACTAAATTTTTTTGAATTTGGAATAAAGTTTTCAATATATGATAGAATAAGGAAATGCTTGTCACGACAATCGAATGTTATGTAACAAGTTTGATAGTAGAGTAGAGTAAACGCTCTTAATTGTCTTCCATGCTCCACAATGGCCAAAATGGAATGCAAACTGAGAAAATAATACCATTTCACGTTTTATCAGAAATGCTTGTACGTTGGGTACATAGCATCGGTTGAAGAGCATGTTAAGAGTTTATGATTTTTAAATATATGTTTTCATTTTTGAACTTGCAGCTTGCTTGTCATGGAGGCCTGCCGTATGACATTTCCATATAAGTTTGACTTTGCTACTTCTTTGGAAAAAGTAAGTTATTTAATTTTTAATCTTAGAAATCGTTATTTACCGGACATCAAATAAATATGCATTGTTGAAGTATTCGAAGCTTTAAACCAATCAAGCATTCCTCGTCAGCCTTCTAGTGAGGGGACCCGTAACACGAGGACAGTCAACCCAGGCTAAGTTACATGCCGAATAAAGTTTCACCCTCGGCCGAATTTCGAAACAAAAGTTAGATATTCTTTCTTTTTCGGATTACCTTTCACATGAGAAGATATCAATTTGGAGTGACTCCAACTTGCTTTCTCGTGTGAATAGAAAATTTTAATTTGCTTCCAACTGGGATACGATGACGGATTTGCGCTGATTTAAAAAAGAGAAGCGAAAAGCTCTGGGACCGAAAATTAGCATGGCTGCAACTCGTCTTGGGCTGAATACCTTGAACACTAAATAAATGTCAACGTGCGATGATACTCAACCCGGGTTGACTTTTTTTAGTCGATGGCCTCTTGGTCTGCAAGGTGAACGTGCCTGTCAATTCAATCAATGCCCGTTAGACGATTGTCAGTCAGAATGTTAACCAACTTTTCATTTCATAAAAAAACTCTTACCATCATTTTGACGTGTAGCCATTCGTTTTCTCGTGTACTGTGCAGTCAATCTGGTGGTTATTTTGCTTTTTGAATAGCGTTTGATATTATTTGTCGCAACGGCGATAGCTTTAATTGAAATGTTAGTTAACAATTTGCACTGCTCTGTTTTGCTCTAGCTACTCAACGTGTTCAAAATGCTGAAAGTTCTTCACAAGAAACCAAAAGCACCAGGTTACCAAGAACCTCTACCCCCAGATCTTCGCATATGTTGTTCGGTATGTGTTGTTTTGCTACCATTATTTAGAAAATATTTCATCAATTTAATCAAATGTTATTTGCGTTATAATTTAAGTTATATTTTGGTTATTATAGTGCCATCTCGAACTTGGAACGATCTAGGTAGTAGCCATCTTACTTTTTTGCGCGCGCTTATCATCACGTGACGTCCCTAAACACATTGCAATGATACATACGTCGCTAACGCAGTTATGTTTGTTATAGATCTAGTATGTGCTATTCACGCCGACTCTTTTCCTTTAAGATGTCGATTCAATTCAATGTTATTTTTAACTGCAGTTGTATAAATGATGATACTGTAATAAACACGAGCCTAGAAAAATATGGATTTATCTAGCTTGGACAATTTACAAAAAAGATATAATTGAGAATTTGATAATGCTAATGAAACAAGACTTATATTTTTTAAACCAATTATTATTCAATTTTTTTCAACTTATGTTTACAGCTGTTTGCTTTAAGATTGAGATTTATAATTTAAAATGTTTTAAGAGTATATAGAGCTCGTGACAACTTTTCTTTATCATGCGCCGTTTTTATGAAAAAGCTGAAAATTTTTTAGGTCATAAAGATGTAGTAATCTTAGAGAGTTCAATTTCTTGTGTGGGGCATAGGTCGAGGGGAAACGGTTATATGAGGCTTTGTAACATATTTTTTGCCATTGCCTAACAACATATATTTTTGCTTGCCACAGATACTAACATTCGAGTTGGAAGACGATCCATTTGAAGTCAGGCTAGAGCAAAATTATTTGGTATGTACAGGCATTATTTTGTACAGTTACGTAGAGGCATTTATGTTGTAGAATTTCTATATTGCCTCGCTACGTCATGAATTCTTTCTCTTTTCTAGCTCCGAATGGACGAGATGGAAGAGTGCCAGGAGCGAGAGAAAAAATTAAAAGAGCGATTGAAAGACATTCAAGGTGCTTTCGTTTCAAGTAAGTGCTTCGTCCTACTCTCCCTAAGTCAGCTGTTAAAACGCATTTTTATTTTTGTTAAAATAACCGGATGCCTATACTTTATGAAATACCGTTGCAACTTTAACATTCAAGGTAACAAAATGGAAGAAATAATGAACAGCCTCGCAGCGAAGAATTCGCAAATTTACATAAAAAGATCAAAGGTAACTACTCTTATCAAATGCTCCATTGGTGCCACTATTCTTTCGCATCATCTTTTTTCATTTAATTAAATATTCCGATGCATTTCCATCATGATTCCGAGAGAATAAGACGTTCAGTTATACCTTTTCAGAATTGAATTGTTTTATCTATAACTATATCGGAAAGTAATTGCTTGACGGGGGAAAAACCTTTTGACGTCACTCACTGATCACGATTGATTATTTGTTTACTTTTAGGCCATTTATCAAGACAATGAGGAGCGAAGTATTTTGTTCAAATACGCAGTTAGAGATTTCGACTTGAAAATTATGGCTGATAAGTGTTTTCATGGGAAAGATAATGTTTTGCAAAATATGAAGAAGATTGACAATGCGAGGTAGGTATGCAAGCAAATGATTGTCAATTTATAAGCTCTGCATAATTAGAATGCTTTATAGGTGCGAATAAGAAATATAAATAAAGGATAGGAGCTATAAGAATAAGTAGATCCGACAAAACTCGAGTCTACATCTCAAAACATGATAAATTACCTTTCTCAACTTTCAAAAACTATTTCTGATCTCAAAAAATTCTATTACATGATAAAGGCAAGAACGAAACAAGTTTATAGAGGAAAAGAAAAATTTAGAGAAAAGATTTATACTCAAGATTTATTAATTGTTTCTTTTACTCTTTCCAGTATCTTCTTCGTGTTTTTCATCATAGTTGGTCCTTTTCATTTATAATAGATTTATTTATATTAATTGATCTTAAAAACCCAGACTAGATTAACAATGCTACCTGTGGCTCTTGCAAATACTTAGACTTTTTACGTTTGTAACTCCTGAAAGTCAAATACTTTATGTTCAGTTCCTTTGAAATAAATTCTGTAAATGTTCATCGCATTAGACAAAACGGACTTCTTTTACATTCTTTCATTTTAGACAAATGCACATTTAAGAGACCCCTATTGAATAACATCACAATTGCCTTCTTGAGAAGCAGATATTTCTAGATACCGTGCAGGCATTGATGATACGCTTAACGCTGCTCAGATGATGATTTATGCTGAAGTTTTTTAATACTGATTTGGTTCAGTGTCAAACTTATATATGTTAGTCGGACGCCGCATTTTCGGGGCTATTTTGTCTAGTCTGAGATGATCCAACTAAAGCGAGTTTGACTGTGTTCGTAGCCTCTGTATTCTTAAAAAAAATGATTGAATTAAGATATCAAGTCTTTCGCAACTGAAGCGTTTCTAATTATTGATTATCGTAGTCAATGTTTGGATGCGTGGATAAGCAACTCAAGCATTTGTAAGACTTGCATAGCCTTTTTGTAGACCGTTTCCTTAAGTATCAGCTTTTTTCCTGTCTCTCCGTGTTTTATTATGGAGCTATTTGTTTAACAAATGTTTTGTATACCATTGCAACATCTTGCTGGTAGTATTTTCATGATTGAGAAATCGCCCTTCGGGGGCCTAGGCTGACCATAAAAACTTTTAAATCTTTGCAGCCTATTGCCAGATGATATTGAATTTAGTACTTTGTGGTGTAGAGCAGTTGAAGGGCAACTCAGATACATGACCGTAAGTCTATTAGGTATCCTAAGATACAGCTGCGTAATGTTTTATAATAGTTTTCAGTACCTTTTATGACAGGGTTTACAATTTGTGTGTCTCTAAATATATTCTTTGTGCTAACCAGTCTAGTGTTAAGAGACCAATAAATCGATGAAAAAGTTTAGTTGAAAAATCTATGGCTTAGTTCTGAGGAGGGTTAATGAAAATAGAAATAAAATGTTGTTTTGCAAGATGCAAAGATTAGATGATAGTGTATTTTGATCAGAGGTTTGAATTAAAAGAAATGACATGTGCAAGTATTTTTTCAAGGCTTCATGAACAGAAATATTTCTTTGTATAAGTCGGATGTATAATGCATAACCCTTTCTTGGTTCCCTGTAATTTGATATAAGAGAATGGTGACCATAGTGTCAGTTCTTTCTTCCACAGATGACAGTCAGAACGTACCAGACGCCACTTATTTCAATACAAAATTTTAGAATCAGCGGGAAGTTAGTTGGTGCGGAACAGACCGGCTCTCCCTTGTGTATGTTCATCTTTGCTTCTATTTGGCATTTAGCCGTGTTTTGAAAATATATCTGCTAGTAGGATTTATTTAGTGACTCCTAGCAGATGGTTCCAGTTGCGCTATAAATTATGTGTCCACTATAACTTTTTGGTTCCAGTTTCAATGAGAATGTGTCCACTATAACTTTTTGGTATTGGAGGGAGCAACAGCACTGATAACTCAGTTTGATATAGACAAGAAATGTTGTATTGTTTAACTGAATATTTATCTGTACTTGAGATGTGTTGTGTTATTTGCAATGTCTTGTTTTCTTGCAATAAAGCAACAAGAGATGCTGTAGTCAACATTGATGAACCATGGGGTGATTTGACCGTGAAGAAAAATATGCCTGCCTTAAAGTTTTACCATGACTTCAACTGGAGTGAGTGGCTAACTTTGTCTCTTTATCAAATAATATGTTTTATGGTTTGTGAGTAACATGTTATCAACAATAGACTGTACGTGATGATTTTTAATGGAAAAATACTGCTGTACGTGTTTATATATACTTTTAATCTCCAAAATATTTCACTGTAATATTAGTTTCAAATATGCCTCTGTGTATTCTTACTCTTGGGCGCATGAAACAGGACTGTTCTAAGTTGCTGCTCTGAGTTCCACGCTGTCATCAGACAACTGTTAAACGACTCTCACTGTGGGTGTTACTTGTTTGCCATGTCCCTGGAGGTATCGGGACCTGCTATTGCTGTATAGCTTTGTAAAATAATAGACATACTTTTAGAAAGTGGAACCAAGGCATGATGAATTATTCATTGTGTAAAACAGTGTTTTTTTAACCCTAGTACGAAGCCTGATATTATAATTTTTCGTTGTTTACGTACAGTTTTTCCCTTGCTTCAGAATTTATGTCAGGTGTGTTTCTTTGTCATATTTTATTTTTTTAATCTTTAGCTTGTCTATTTATTCCCTACCTGTTTTTTAGATATGGATTTCTTCGAAGTTGGTTGGGGTATCAATTTTGAACCTGCCTGGGCATCAGTAGCACTTGGTCTCGGTACGTTTAACCTTAAAGACAAGTAAACTGTATTATTTAAAATAGGTATCATGCTTACATTGCTCAATATGTGCTAATAACAGTCATTTTCTTGAATATTTTAAGCAAATTAGATAGGGCAAAACATAAACATGTTTTCTGCAACTTTTCATTCTCTGTTAGTGAACGAACATAAATATATGATAAATAATATGAAAATAGACATCAATATATGCAAAGGTGAATACCGTGAATATGGTAGCGGCAATTCCAGTATTGTATATCTACAGAGACAGAAATTGAGCCAAAATATTTCCAATAAGGTCCGTGGTAACCACTGGAAAAAAGCAAAAGAGAGGACCAGGGTCCCCTTTTGTGGGCAGGAAGCCAGCTACACCTGCCCTCCTTCAGATCAAAGTATTTGGTATTGAAGGTGAAGAAAATGTACCTGCCTTCACTTTTGGAAATACCTAATACGTAACAAAACGGTTGTTACTTAATATTTATGTCTGTCTTTACGGCGACCGTTTGAAAACCGTGTCACTCTTCGTTTTTCCCAAGTTGTTTCTGTTTATTGCGCTGATCTCTTCAAAGCAATGGTGAAATGTTTTTTTCTCTGCAGCTGTACTTTTTCCGTTTTTTCTTCTGTCGATTGATGTATAAATTCTTTTTTTACAGATCTGCTATCAAAACCTAGTATTGACCCAAGCAAACCACTTCCATTTTGGGATAAGGTTCGCTTCCATTTCTTTTCAGTTTATTTATCTTCAGGCTCAAACATAATCTTTAAAATAAGTAATCCTTTGTCCTAAGTGGCTGATTCTCAGTAGACCTTCTTTTAAAAGACAAAACTATAAAAGCAATTTTAATATTGGCTTAAAGATAAAAAACTAAAACAGTTTGTAAAAATTCATCCAGGAAGTAATGAAAAAGCTGTGTGAGGAAAGATCAGCATTTTTTTGTTCCTATCCTGAACTTTGTATACATTGTCAGTAAAACACTTGTTTTACAAATACTCGTCTGAGGCAAATACAAATTGTTGTGAATAAATGCCTTCTGTTTCAAGATTGAAATAAATTCCAAATGCCACTTGCTTAGTATCTTTTTCTTTTACCAGATCCGCCTTCTCTTGCATGGTCGACTTAATCTAAATGCCCAGTCAGTAAGCATTGTTTTAAGTGCGTCACGTGATCCTAATAATACAACGGAGAAAATGGTTATAGTTTGGGAAAATTTTGAACTTGATTGGACTAACGGTATGTGATGTTATTGAAGTATACTTACCTTTTTGAAGTATACTTACCTGTGTCAAGTTTTTAAAGAACAAAATATTTACTGAGTAACTAGAAAAGATTTAAAAAAATTCAAAGATTTTTCTGAGTAACTGTTGCAATGCTGTTTTTGATTGGAATTTTTCTTCCAATTTTATTGCCATTAGTTACAGTGGCGTTGCATATTTTGAATAGAAAGTCTACTTTCACATCAGTTTCCTTAGGGCTACCTATTGAGAACATAACTGCATTGTCAAGAAAACAATATGCTTGCTAATGAGATTTTTATTTAGATAATAATATAATAAGTAATAATTATAAAGGGAGTTTCGAATCCTTAAAAACTTTTTGTCACAGCTACTTGTGTGCTCTTTTGAATCTAACTGAACCAGGTTTTCATCAGCAATACTTCTGGGTAGTCTAATAGGGCTATATATATTTTTTTCAATACATTATCAAGGAAAGGGGTCCCTCGTCTTCTCAGAGCCATTGGCCTTTGTTCTTTCAAATATTTCGTATTTAAGCGGAATGTAATTACTTGATAGTTGTCTTGGTTTAATTTCACAGCTTGCGTCGTCATTGAGGGTGATTTTGACCTACACATAAGAACTGCTTCAAAGTACGATGACAGTCGTGTTCTGCATTTCCCAAAATTTAAAATGCGGTAAGACACTTACACTTATTAGCGAGTTGCTGCTATAAAATTTAAGAAGATATCCATTTATTTAGACTGACATCTAAAATTGCTTTTTAGTAACGGCTCTATGAATAAATTAATGAATCAGGCTCTTATATACTATATTTCCTAAACGGGGTTCTTTTGCCTTAATTTCATTATAAAATATAGAACGACAACTCTAAAGATGAGACAGATATTTCTTGCAACAGGAAACTGTGTGGGCAGGGTATTGCTACTATGTTAATGCAGCATTGCTATAAAAAAGAACAGAGACTCCTTCTTGACTTAGCATAAGCAAATTAAAATGGTTTTTTCTTTTATCTTCCGCAGATTTGATTTGGAATGGCTGTGTAAGGGTGATCCTAACGACCATCATCGAGCTGTTCCCTGTAACCCTAACAAGGTTGAGGACATTGAGGTTAGGGCTGTCGAATTTTATTATTTGTTTCTAGAACCTGTAAGTTTTGTCTAGCACAGTTCTGAAAAGTACATAGATCCTCACAGTTCGCTGTGTCTTGTTGTGATTAATTGAGCATAAACATGAAATCGAATCCTTTTCATTTTGATTGTGTTGGCATTCTTAGAAAGTACATAAGTAGTTGGTTTGAAAAGGGGGGCCCCCGTATAATAAAGGCTAAAGGGTCCCCAATCTGATCCTGCAGGAGCCTTTATCTTGTATTCTGTGTGTTTTGTTATTTATGAGTAACATGATCCTCTAAACTGTTTCTTAAAAAAAGTTTTTATGTTCTTTTAGTCTTTATATGTGATTTTTTAATCTTAAAAGTGTAACCCGAGAGATTTTTCAGAATTTTTCATTTATATAACCACCCTAGGAACGTAATTGATGGCAAGTGTGATCTTTATTTAGTGTTGATGATTGTTCCGCTTGCGTGTTAAACAGATTTAATTAATTGTATTTCGTAGAATCACGATTCGTACAGAGAATTTAGATCTGAGAACCTGAACATGTGTATTGGTTTTGAAACTGGGAAGACAATGTCTAAGGTATGTTTTGTGGCCAGTTGTATTGACCAATTTGTCCGATTGACCATGAAAATTTTTATGGTAGCTAATTTAGCATGATTGTTCTACTTCTGAAATTTCATGCTTTTTTCACTAGGAGGAGATGAAAGCCACTCCGCCAACTATATTTTTGTATGCAAGCACTTTGCGGTGGTTCCAGAAGTACCAGGCATGTTTTCTTTCTAATAATTCTATTTGTTCTACAGTCAGTCCTCTAGCATAGATAAACCTTTGGACGAGAAAAAAACGGTCAAATAAAATGCCGAAGCAGAATTTTAAAGTAAGTTTGGAGTGTAAATTGTCTGATCTTTCATTTTTTCGTTCTGTGAAATTTTATATAAAAATTGTCATTTACTTTATAAAAAGATTAGAGGATACTATTGCAGTTCACTACCAGTTTACATCTTTTTGATTGTCTTTATATACTTATTTGATCTTTCTGAACCATGAGTGAAATTTTGTTTGAATTTGTGCTATTTGTAGTGCTGTCTTTATTGCAGTATGAAAACGTGTTTCGCAGCAATGGCGCCCGTCTAAAAAAACAATAAATTAAAGCAACGAACTGTTTTGTAAAAATATAAAATGAAACTAGATTGAACATTTAAGACTTCATTTTGTAGGCTGTTGTTTTAAACAACGTGTCAAGGCCAATAAAGAGAGGATCACATTTTGGTAACATCAAACCAAGGAAGCCAACTTTAGGAAGACACTATAAGTAAGCCCTTTGTCGATATACTTTTGAATCACTTTTATAGTACTTAATCCTTGCCAGCTTTCAAGACTGAACTGACTTCAGTATCGACAATGTGGTTTGTTTTCATTCCAGTGTAAATTAATACTTTACATGAGTTTGTGAAACTTCAGTCTCTTTCTTAAATTTTCAATAGCTTGTCGAAAAATTGGGAAGTTATCAGGCTTCAGGAAGGATGTTATAAATTGTACACTAACACTGACCGTTAATGGAGGGCTCTTCCCATTTACATAAGATACCACCTTGAATTCTTCGTCAAGCGTCGATAGAAGATATACTGTAGTCCCAATTATGTTTTTCCTGTTCAGAAGATCCTTATTAGTGTAACTGATCTATTTCGTAAATAGATCGAAAGTCCAAGAAACTGGTTCATATTTGCGCAAACCTCTCTTTTAGCCAAAAGCTTCTTTCCGTTTGCTGATATGTTAAATCATTTGTTTATTTTGTTGCAATATATGCATTTTTGTTGGGACCTCTATCTTTAGATAATCCTAAAGAAAGTGTACTGCATCACATTGCGAATGTTTTATTGAATGTGTGTTTGTTTAAGACAATTTCTGACCCCTGCTTGAGAGCAAATAATGCAATCCTATCATTTGTTGCAGGTTCCTCAACTTTGATTTTTGTTTCAATCGTTTGCGTATCAATTACTTTGGATCCTTTACACAAGAAGCTGGCTTTGAAATGAATGTGTCATCAGGGAGTTTTGGCGCCAACTATCAAGTTGATGTTCAAGAGGTCCTTGACGACATGCATCTAACCCGAAGGCCAATTGCAAATTGGATAATACGTGGTTTGCATAGTGAGCTCGATAAAGTCTCAACTGACCTGATCAGCAATTTACCTGAAACAGAGGACTTGGTTTTTGGGGAAATCGAGGACGATATCATCAACATAGAAAAACATCCAAAAACATATTTCCTTTTTAGTGTAAAGCGGTAAAATGTTTTGATTTTATATTTGAAAATCAATTTTCCCTAGTTCTTCGCTGACCGAGAGAATATCCAAACGATATATTTATTCCCAAAAACAGCTCTATGAAACATAGGAGCTAGTAGATATGTTATGTCTGAGGTCCTCTAAGTTCATTCTAAATAGGTTTGGATCATTCTAGCTCTTTTCAAATTTCATGCTTATATTTTTTGTCTAGAAAATTACACTCAATAGAAATAAATAACGCAAGAAATACCCAAGAAAGCAACATTAAATGTGGAAATTAAGAATAATTTTGGATAGAAAAAGGAAAAATGTTCCTCTCTGGGATAACAGCATCGAATTCGGCCAAGTTTCACATAATGTCCTAAGATTACTTTCAATCTTAGCAGCCAGTTGACGAAGCTAGTGAACCGTGGAGTAGCTTTTTGTCATTTATTACACATAGAAATTCTGACCAGCTTATAATCAACAATAGAACACCCCTATAAGCGATATTTTATCATGGCATATTTTATCATCGAAAAGCTCATTTTGCCTATAGTTGTTATGCTTCTATTCAGAGTTGAATACAACCGTCAGTCTCCAGGCTCCGATATGTCTTCATTCACCCACAAAGTGGAACTGAATGATTTCAAAGGAGCATGGACAGCTTTTAACAGAAAGATTACATTTGAGCTGTTTGAGGCATATGAAAACGTGCAGGTAAGAGCTGTTCACTTTCGCCTACTGACCTACCGCCTGCTTGCTAATTTCTGCCTACTGACCTACTGCATAGTTCGTGACATACGATCTTCTTTTTTATTTTAGCGGAATGACCTCTGTGATTACTTCGAAGAATCGATTTGTCCACAAAACTTTTCCTTGATATTTTCAACACTATTGTTTGAAAATTTATCCATATACTGTAAATGAGAGTCTGGCCAAAGAGCTAGATGAAACTGGACGCCTTGTACATGCTTTGAAAAAAAGAAAAAGCCTCTGGTTTATGTCTCCTTGCTCTAGCAAAAACAGCAGAAATTGTATGGCTTATGTTAGTTGCCTGTTTAAAAAAACCTGACACATTTGTCTCTAGTTGCTGAGCAAATAGAGACCGGCCTTTTTATCAAAATCATACAGAGATACCCCGAGAGTTGTTATTGAGAAACATATCCATATTAACTATTAAGTTTATACTCATAGACTATAGAATTTATCGACTGAAGATATAGTTTCGTTTATAGTTTCGTTTAACTGAATGAACGAAGAGAGTCCTCGTGTGCCATTCAACTGGAAGGAATTGCATTGCACGTTGTCTTCCCTTCCCATTTAGCCACATCTTTAATGGTTGAACTTGCTTTCTTGACAATATACATGAAGTATGTTGATAAAGTCTATCTCGATGATGCAGTGGTGAATACATTTGATTTGTCACTTTTAGATGCTTAAACGTGTCCTGTCCTCTGATGCAATGAAGCCTTCCAAAGATGCAAAATCACAAGACTTCAGAAGACAGCATGCCAACAGCTTTATCGATTTGTCAGCTGCTAATCACAAAGGAATGGTTGAGCATGATAATCGCCTCTTGCAGCAGTTAGTTTCAGAGCAAGAATCCAAATTTTTAGCACAGGTTGAAGAGGTTGGTAATTTTTGCGATTGAAAACATTTTTCTAAAAGACGGCAAATGAACAAAACCTGGCACGATTTCTGTTTTGAAAAACTTCTGTATCTGAGCTCATAACGTTTTTTGCCTATCCCTTGACGTAAATTGTTGTCTAGCAATATCTACAGCCCACAATATTTGACTTTCAGATCTTAGTTTTTCGCAATTTTCACGATCAAATCCCTGCCGATGGATTGGCCAAATGTCTGTTGACTGGTTTTTTTTTCGAATTTTCAACAGGTTTTGTAAAATTTATTGGCGTCCTTGCACAATCCAAAGGTTGACTGGAGTTTTAATGGAATAAAGAAATATAGGCATGTGATTTGAAAAAATCATGTAAAGAGATTTTTTGAACTTTCATGTCTGAGTTGCCAAAGATAATGGCAGGATTTTAAATGAATCAATCTGGTCTTCAACCTTGCGAGATCAGTGTTGTCTGAGCTGTGATGGATGGCCACGTTTCTGTACTTGATGTATGTGGCGTTTCCCTTCGTTTCAGGTCTTAAGTTTTCTGTTGTAGGGAGAAAACGAAGCAGAGGGGCAAGCGAAGAGTGCAGAAGAAGATGATATCATACAACTTAACTTGCACAGTAAGTTCCGTTCATGTTCTAACTCTCTTGTTTGTTTTCTAAAACAAAGTCAAATTAAGGCTAGCTACTAAATGTATTAGGAAATGGCTATCATAATGTGACATTTCAGCATAACAGTGATTTCTTGCTAGTTTCGCGGACTTTTCTTCAAAAATTTGTGGAAGCACTCCATCCTGGACAAACCAAACCTTTTTGTGACTAACTAGCTATGTGCTCGCTTGCCGTTGTGATGGTATGAATTGAGGTAAGAAAATATCCATTGACAAACCTATTACTTTCTCGCTGTTTTTCTGTAGTTGAATTGGTAAACTCTCAAGTAATGATGAAAGGCAGTGAGAGCAAAGGAGCACTCCTGATCACTGCTGCAAATGCGGATATCATGAAGAGGTTGCACAGGCCTGTTGCGGCATGCAATGACGGCATCATGAAACTGAATAAGGTCACGTGGGCTGGCAAGTTAAACAACCTACAGGTAGGTGATCTTATCGTGCATCATCCGCTTTAAATTTGAATGTGCTTGGAAGTATTTGTCTGTTAGATTGAGGATTAAAGGGCCTCTCCAGCCAAAAAAAATTTGTTTATCGACTAAAAGGTTAGCATCTGGTGCGTGTATTATGGCAAAGTCGTTGTTTTTGCAAAATTCCAATTAGTTTAGAAGTTATAAGGCTTTAAAGTTGCACCTTTTCGAGAGAAAAAACGACAAAAGCCGACTCAGTTTTGTGACATTCTGACGTCACAGTGTGCGGCTCTCGTTCGTCATTAATTTCTTATATCTTCCACCGAATCGTGAAGAAGTCATGGTCACGCGTTGATAACGGCATCTAAATCTACAGCAGGTGCTTTTTAGGATCGAAAAATATTAAATGTTTACAATTATTCTAAGTTTGCGGGTCGGAATGTGTCCATGCTGTGTCACGACTTTGTTTTGATCACCTGTGTAGGCCCACAAAGCTATGGCTTCCTGTTCCAGCTCTTCCCTGGCGTATAATTAATCGAAATTCATATTCATGTTGTTCTCCAGAAACAATGAACAACTAAAGGCTTCAGAATTTGTGTCATAAATGCTCAAACTAAAAGCCGGTGGAAAAGAACTGAGAGAACCATCACTTGCAGTGTTCAATTTGCGAATCGCCGTCGGTTCGGTTTGAGGCGAGACTAACGAAATACACTGTGACGTCAAAATTGCGTCACAGTGTCACCAAACCGAAAACTTATTGTCGGTTATTTCAATTCAATTATCGAAATGCAAGAGCTTATATCTCACAAACTGTAAAAAATATCGAAAAACAAATAATGAATTCGTGATCAGCAGTTTCAACTCCTTTAGATTAGCCAATAAAATGCAAGTTCAAAATTTGGCTGGAGAGGCTCTTTACGCAAAATTATATTTTGAAAAATTTTGATTTGCTAATGGTTTGAAATAACAATAGCTTGCTGGAAGATACTTGGAAACCATACGGTGGTACTGCAAGATCATTTCTTCGTCAGGCGCAATCATTAATGACTTTAATTGAGGTCTTCTTCTTTTTCACTACATGTGAGATCATCAACCGAAATTAAGAAGGTTTTAATAAACTGATTAAATTTTTAGCATCTTTTTAATTCATGTTTTTATTCATTTTATAAATATCCTTCGAGCTGCTCAGTCTCGATTTATTTGCTTTATAAGCTACCATGATTTTGGTTCGGCAAAATAAGCAATGTAAGTCTCAGGTTAAGAATCTGATTCTGTAGCTATGAATATTCTCCTAATAACCTAACTGACTAAATCGATCGCAAATTCTTTTTCTTTTCAGTATTTTGCAACATCTAAAGACCTGAGTGACCTGTCTTCCAGCTCTATTCCATGGATAAATGCTTCAGTGATAAGTGGTATGCCAGGCAAAAGCGACTCTGAAAATCAATCTAACGTTGCTTCTTTCATGAAATCCAGCAACTTTGCAGGCAGTATCGTTAATGTGTCATTTGGCGGCGTTACTACCGAAGTGCAGCGAATAGTGTCTCCGTGTCATTGCCAGTTTAAGTATGTCAGTCTTGACCCTGAGCTAGACCCATTTGCAGAGGAATTCGAGCCAACTCAGGATACAGTAAGTCATCAATTGCGTTTGTGAATAAAGAAAAGGCAACGATAGCAGGAGATCAATTACGTTGCCTATCCTCCTTTCCTCCTATCCTTGCTCTCTGTTCTATCAAATAAACACAGCAAGTATTGACAGGCAGCTTAAACGTTTCAGAATCGATATTACGATTATTTCCAGACCATGAAACCATTCTTGAATATCGGTTGTCTCCACTCTTTACCTTTTTTAACCCTTTTGCTTGAAAGCTCTGGCTAGAGACCGCTTTCAGGGTTTCAGTTTTAATAGTTAGAATATATTTTATAAGACCTTTTTTATAAGAATACTATTAATTTATTGGAGCCTCGATATTTTCAAGAAATTTTCGTTTCGAGCCTGAATATATTCTTAAAGTATTATTTCCTTTTTCAAATCTGATATAGTCTTAAGAACATCCCTTGCTCTTTAATAAAAACCACGCTTTTCAATAAACGGGATTTGTCAGTTCTGCGATTCCCTTTTATGAACATCGCAAAACATGCAACGTCTGGAAATGAGATACAAAGATGCTAGCTTAGGCTGAGCAATAATCTTATAATACTCTTAAAAATCTGATGAATCTGAGACTGAATATTTTTATAAAAAGTTTCCTTATAGTGTAGTTTCGCACACTCCTTGGATTTTTGTAATTATTTGCTTCAATTCCCTACTCAGTCACAAATTATACTAGTGAGTCTGCCATAAAACTACCGATAATTTTACTTAAATTCTTTCAGCTATACAATGCTCATACAATGCTATTTTCAACCTAGACATCTGGCTCGGCTTCTTACAGTGCGTCGTCAAATTTGGCAAATACATTGCTTATTCGACACCCGTCGTTGGAGATATCCACCAGCCCGGTGAGCTAACTTTCATTTTTTAATATTTAAATGAGGAAATTTCTTGATTGCAATCACTTCCATGTATTTTTCTGCTCATCCACGTGAAAGACGTTTTGTTGCAAAATCAAATTTTCTTACCAGTGTTTAAAGAAAACAAACATTTTGTGGGCAGTATATTCGTTGGGACCCCTTTAAGTCCAAATGAAAGGAAAATTGACCTGGTTAAAACTTTAGTACACAGAGCACTGATTTGTTCAAAGACTAAAATGGGCCAAGATCTTAACAAAGTCAAGGAAATTCTTGTGGTTAATTGCTTCCCCCAAGATGTCATTTTGACATGTTTTAAGCACAAATTCGCTAATTTTTCTGCAGGGAAAAGTTTGGTCTTGAAAAATGCCCTGTATAGTTAAAATATGCCCTTGATTGGCAACGTTTCATTAAAATCCGAATCAAATCAAATCAAATCAAAAAGGCCATTACCAAATGCTTTTCAACTGTGAAGCCTTTTGTGGTTCATAGCATCAAGGTCATGCTCCCATCGATTTAAAAGGATTGCGTTCCAACCCATCAGAAATGTTTAGCTATTTATGAATATTCGGACCGATGTAATCGATAGAATACTAGAATATCGATTACTAGCCAGCGAGTAATCGATATAATAAAACAGCATGTTCCCGCAAGAATTAGGCAAAACTGGTTCCAATAAGACGCGACGTTTTTGTAAAAAATGTCCAAATAAATATTGATTCGGCTATAGGTCAGCATTTGCTTAAGAATTCCAGAGTACGCCAAGACAAAGTGACGAAAATTTTAAGATCATTGGGCAAGCAATGTCGTCTGTTCATTTAAGATTTTGAAGTTTCTCTGCAACAAAGGATCCCGACTTTTGTAGACAGAAAGAGTTCATTTTCTCTCTTGGCCTCTTCAAATAGTTAAGAGATTAGCCGCTGCGATTCGTCAGAAACAAAGAACCATTCAAAGGCGCTATTCTTCCCCTCATGTTACTTTAGATCCACATCTGTATATAAATTGTCTACTTACTTTTGGACATTATCCGACGTTCATTGTCTGGTGAGTGGTGGACTAAAAGTAGCTTAGTATGACATGTTTCCGCTTTTCCGTGCTATTTTCAAGTCCTGCGGTACCAAACGCTTATTTGGTTCTTTATTTCTTCTGTTATTATGTTATATATCTCTACCCTTACTTATGTCTAAGATATTTTGTTTTGTTGCGCTGGAAAATTGGAATTGAATTTCGCGATTTTAAACAAAGTAATTCTTTCCTTTCTTTTGTTCTCTTCATCATCTTTCTTTTTTCTTTTTTGTTCTTCTCTATCGTGCTCAAATTTTTCTGTTTTCAATTTTGTCTTTTGTTCCGACTTTCACTTTCTCTCCGGTTTTCTTTTTTTTCTCTTTCTTCTTTCTCATTTTTCCTCTCAATTTCAGCTTTCTTTTCCCCTCATCTTTGACATCATTCTCTGCTTCTTCTAGGCAAAGACCCCCGAAAATGTTCAATTTATATTTTATAAAGAGTCCCTTGAAATAAATTACATTGGATTACTGCTATTTTCTGTGTGTCATGACTGTCAACATGGTTTTTGTTACTTCCTTCTCCAGAATCAGTTTGCAATGCTGTTGGAAATTTGCCAAACTTTATTGCTTTATACGGAACCTAAGAAAAGAGAAAAGCAAGATCGTTTTGAAAGAATGAAATTTCGAATGCAGCTGTCAACCGGGGAGGACACAAAGGGAGAGATCCAGGAACTGCAAGATTCTGTCAGGTTTATTTCCATTGGTCCTTAATTTTCCAGCTAAACATGTTCATTTGTCGACTGACGTATTAGTAGCTCTTTATAGACCTATCAAAGAAGCTGAACTATTTCTATTTGTACGATAAAACGAAGGAAGATTGCAATTGTAGCTGTGTAGAGCTCTAAAATTGTATCAAACATAAACACTTGAGGATGCCTTCAATTTAGTCACTGGTGGAAGTATTTCTGACAAAAGAAAAGCAGCTCTATTTTGTTCTCATGATCAAAACAGACTCGCAGTAATAGACATTTGATGTCTTAACTCAAAGAAGGAGAGTGACAGACCCATTCAACTCTCTGCAAATCTTTATCTATCTAGTGCATTTGCTTCTATTTTATTTGCAACATCACGGAAATATGCGATTGTAAAATTTTCAATCAGTTGCTGAGATTTTGCTTTTGTTTAAGCGCATCTTTGCAAGTTAGTGATATGTTTAAAAGTGCACTGAAAAATAGGTCAATTCCAGGATCATGGTTCTAAATAAGTTCACTTTCAAGAGGTGTAATCGTGAACTTGACTCCTCGATTATGGCTCCATTAAACAACTCTTCTTTTTAAGATTGGCACAAATGTCTATCTGTACACCTTCCCTTTTTATAGTTCCATTTGCCGGCTATGTGCCAATAAGCAAATTTAGTCAATTGACTTAATTCTAACAAATGTTGCAGTAGCTATGTTCTCAAAACCTTTTTCTATGATATCCGCAGGGACTCTTTGTCATACTTGCGACGCTGTGAGAGGCAATTATTCGAATACCACAGAGAAGCGAACAGTATATCTTGCATGGAAGACGACAGGTTACCCTTGTTCCTTTGTTTCTTATTAGCTTTCATTTTCTTGTTGGCTTTTCGATTTCCAAAACCCTCTTTAGTATGAAACAATTATTGTCATTTGGACTTACCTTTTATTAAAGACAACCTTTTTATCTGGGAACCCAAAATTAACAGCAACGTATATAATTTTTTCGTAACGCAAAAATTTGTCCACGGGTTATTCAGTCTTCAGGAGCATGTTTATCATAAAGTTAAAAAAATTGTTTATCTTTATGATGTTTTTGCAATACTTCTTCCTGCCTTGCAAAGTCATTGACGTCAAACAATTGTCTTCTTAAACGCTGTATAATCAAAACTCTTGTTTCGTAAGTTTTCCGGTTACCTTTTAGCTGCCTCGATATGGCATTGGAATTAAAGTCACTTATCGTGGATCTTCAAGAGCAGATCCAGGCTACAAAGGAACAACTTAGTGCCGATAGCGAAGAGCTGAAAATGATGATACTGTAATTTGCACAGCTATACAATTTTATCTTTAATCCAATTTTTGAATATTTATTAGAGACGACCCTTCTGATCTAATGTTTCACAGGGTGCCATGTTAAAAACTTGCATATTTTACTTTAATTTGAGGTGATTTTTAGCTTGAAATATAAGTGTTGCAAATAATTCGGAAATTAGGAACAGTTAACAGTTTTTTCCAGTTTTTTCCGCATGTTTTTTTCTGTAAGCAAAGGATTTTTCCAAACTCTTTCTCTCCATCGCAATACCGTATTCCTTTGGACCTCGGCTGTTAGAGAAAATCTGTTTGGCTTTCACTTTTTTTATTATCTTTTCAACGGGGACTTATGTCATCATGGTACGAGAAAGTCTTAGCCAATGGTCTTTCATCCGAGCTCACGTTCAGTGACATTTGAATGAAATTACCATTAAACTTCCTTTTTATAAAAATGATTAAACAAAATAAATCAAACAATATCTTAAAATGTGAATATTTATATTTTATAGGTTAGGTGAAGTATTTGTTTAACACAAGAAATTTCATTTTTATGCAGATTTTCACGAAATAGAATCATTGTCCGATGAAATTACACAACTATTTACCCGTTTTCTCTAATGGTTTATTCACTTATTGCAGGATCTATAAAGACTTTGCATTGTCTTCCGCCTCGCCTTCACCAAGCAAAGGTAACTTTTTTTTTCTCTAAAGCATGCCATGTTTATCTTCACATAATACCTCTACATTTTCTCTTTTTTTCATTCTAACTCTCGATTTATATTTGAATCCAAAACTGATTTGCATTGTCTCCCGCTAATTTCCTTTAACTACTATCCTTTTGCCTCGATCCAAATCTAGGTCGCAATAAAAACTACGTTGTCAAACAATCAGATATTATTTTTGATGACATGAGATGGAGGCTAGCTCAACAGGATGGACAGCTTGGAATAGCAGATGTCCAGTTCAAAAAATTCCAGTTAGTTTCAATTTGCTCTCTCTGTTGAAATTTTTGCTTTGAAAACTTATTTTGCCTGAAAAGTTAATTTTGATGCATAGAAATGAATTTAACGAAGATTAGATAAAGAAGGATGTCCCATTCTTTGATCATGTTTCAAATAGGCTTTTTCAGGTCTCCACTTAATCCATTCTCTGGTTTTCCGCAAGGGAGTTTCTAATATTTTCCTCTCTATCAATCGAATTTTGCTAAGACCTAAAACACTGCTGCTGTTTGTCGTTTCGTATAAATAGTAATGGAGTAGTCAGACAACATAGTAACTTCGTATGTACACTGTTGTCTGACTGATATTCTTTGATATGCACAAGTTACACTGAGGGAGACGAAGGGCGTCTGAGATTTAAAAGATTTAGGCTTTTTCGCCAAAAGATCTCTCCGCAATACTCTACATGCATGGGAAAACTATCATTTCGTGCATTGCCACGAGGAAAGGAGGGGGTTATAAAATCAGCAATAAACGACCTCATTCGATATGGCATGCATCTGTCCTAATTTCATGTTATCAATTCTTTTTCTTTTAAGCTATAACAAGTTGTCATTTGACGATAATGGGGTTGAACATCGACTTGAACTGGGCGGCTTCGCTGTTAACAACTTGATTCCAAACGAGCCTTACAAAGAGTTGCTGGTACCCCATGAAATCAACCTTCGTCGACACGTCGACAAATCCGTGTACGTTCGCGTGTATTGCCGTGTACAGTCACCAGTAGCGGGCATTAGTGTGAGGGAGCATTTTGAAGTGAACGTGTGTCCTATCGCTGTCAGATTAACCCATCGCTTCTATCATTATTTGGTATCGTTTTTCTTTTCACGCAAGTCAGAGAAAGTTGACCAGGCAGATACCACGGATTTTGAAATGGGAATTAAAGGTATCTTAGGCATTTTCCCCTGATTTTAATTGGATTCTAAACCCACATCGTTGCGAAACCACGATTGCCTACCACTTTGCCGCCATTCATCTCTTGATGCATCATCGTCAAACGTTTCAGTTTATTAAAAAAATTCTTCAGCTAGCAAAAGTATCTTCTCATTGGGATGTCCAATATTGAATTGTAAAGGCTGAGATCACTTTTGCAAAGACTTAACAAGCTTAGAGTTTATATTGTGTGTTCTTAGTGCTATAGCAGTTAGTGTTATTCTAATGTAATATCAGTAATGTGTTCTTTAGTTTTAAAATAATTTTGTTCTTTGACAATTCTTATAATTTCTACTGTGTTTGTACCTTGAAGCCAAGGATGAACCGGAGGATACCCAAACTGACCAAAGCCAGGTAAGTTTTCAACTTTGTTATCCTCTTCTTTTTCTAGTTTGTAAACAAATAATTTGTATATAAAATAATGATCATATTATTTATATTTTTCTGGACAATTTCAGGTTGTCTCTTCAACGTCTTTTAAGAAGCCAGCACCGCCAAGACCACCGCCTCCGAAGCTGCTACCATCATCAAAGCAGCCATCAAAGCAGCAGCTAGCCATGACGTCACCAATGAAACAAACCACTGTGCAGCCAACGTACTTAGATCTCCAAGCAGAGGAGCGACTCAAAAGGAAACCAGGGCTAACCTTAACACTGCCTGCTTCGAAGGAGGCTGTTTCCAGCCCTTCACCGTCTCCTTCGTCTTCTACAGGAACCCCAGTTAGAGTAAGTTATAAGTCACCCTAAATGATATTGAATAATATTGTGCATCAATTTATAGTGCTGTTTTTTGGAGATTCAAAGTAATTTAAAACAACGAGCCGAACAAAGAATCTAAAATTGAGTTCTGGAAATACTTTAGTGGTATCTTGAGGCTCATGTAATAAGCAGCAAAGTTATATCCACCTCACCATCATGCGTAAGTACCTTTGATTCAGTTTGAGATCCTTCTTCGAATGCGCATTTTATTGCTTTAAGGAGGATCTGATTCAAAGGGTACATAAAATGCTTCTCTAAAACATGCATTTTTAGATCATTATTCAGGTAGTATTGAAATTGATCTTTATGTACTTTGGGCCGAATTGCTATATAAAGGTCATCACTGTAGGCCTGTACAGTGAATATTTTGTTTAATCTTTTATTAAAAAAGTCTTTCATTTAGGTCAAATTTTGTTTTGATTGTCGCCAACATTTTTCAAGGAATTCTGTATTGAATGCATTTTTTCAATTGTTTGGTGCTTAATTTCTTGTTTCAAAAAATCGTTTGATACACAGCTTTGATGGTGGTCAGCTCTTCGTTGGGAACTTAAATAAAACACTGAAAAATTGCCGTATAACAAAGGTATTTGTTTTTCTGTTACAGACACCTTCGGTGAAGAAGGGATCCTTATTCTACAGCAGATTTTCAACCGATGAAAATGTTGATCGGATGAAGGAAAGAGCATCGAAGAATCAGACTTTCATATATATTAAGATCCCGAAAGTCCCAATTTGTTTCAGCTACAAGGTACCTTATTTAATCACCTTTTTGATTTTCACTCTCTTAAAGCCCTGTTTTCCGGCCTGATAATCGCCGACAATGCCCTTTTTAGCCTGTGACTATCCTATCATGCCCTGTTCACTTTGCTAGCAGCATTTGATAATGTAAACCAGGCTTATGAGAAGTTATCATATAAATATTTCTGTCGTTAGCAATTTTTTCATACAAAACATACGACAGATATAACAAAAATATACAACAGATCTAACAAAAACAACAGATACGACAAAAGTTGTTTTACTAAACACGCTAAACTTCTTTTATATCAACCATATTTTTATGATTATAATTAAGTGATCTAGTGTCTGATGGCATTAGGTCAAGCAACTACCCTCCTGTTTTTAGCTTATTTTTTGTTTTCTAGGGTGAGAAAGACAGAAACATTGAAGATGCACATGACTTTAATCTTTGCCTGCCGACTTTAGAGTATCATAACAAAACCTGGACCTGGCAGGATTTGTCAATGGCTCTTAAAAAAGATTATACACAAGTCTTAGTCCCTCAGGTTAGCCCCGTGTGCTTCCATATAATCAAAAATTATCGCTAATGAGCACACGATTTCTGTCATCTTTCGTTCCTGTTTCGTTGTCACCTTATTCTGCTTCAACATTATTTCAGATAATAAAAGAAAAACTCCACCTCAAAGGAGGCTGGGACAACAAGCAAAGTATGGAAAAAGTTGGGTTAGTATTGCCATCTCATATTTGCTTAACTCACATTCCAAGTCCCCAACTTGGTCTGTCAATATGCTTAAAATACAGCTTCAAGTAGACATAAGACGAGTCACATGTTTTTTCTTTTCTTTGCAAGCATTTATCTGTCTCAGTTCTAAAGGGCAGAAATCGATAAATCGATAATTGTATTCTTCTTTGATGGTTTTTTTAAAGCAGCCAGGTTTTTACAATGATATCATTCTTTTTAGTGGCAAGTCCAAGCGTCTTGAAAATGATACAATTTTTATAGTACCAAGCGCTTTGAAATTAAAACAATTTTTGTTTTTTGAGTCTTGGTAATAAGATCAAATTTTGTGTGAAGAGAAATCTAAAAACGTGAAGTTCTGAAGATGAAAGAAGGAATAAGAAATGATATTCCAGAGCATGGAACTGTATAAGCTATTTACTCGCTGTTTTAACCGTGTAAGGCCTTTATTATGATGAAAACGATAGAACTGAGGAAATGAATTAAGCTTCTTAATTCTTGTTGTTTGACCGTTTTGTAAGAAAGTTCTTCAATCACTAATGTTTATTATCCTTTTTGATATTATACATATTATTTCAAATTTTTTTATATCAAATTGAGTTTTCCGTTTATTGACGTTTTCATGTTTTGAGACGTCCGACAAAGAAGTTCCTTTGTGGCTTCAACAACTCCTGTAAACCAAGCAAAAGATTCTCCCTTTACGTTGTTTGGAGCTATCTAGCATAATTCCTATACATATTTCTGTACTCTAATCAGAAAACATCTTTTGCAGTGACGACGATAAAGCAAAACTTTTATTAGGAGAGGTACGGCGATGCTGACTTAGATTTTTGATAATTTTAACTTAAAACCTTTGTGTTAGATTTTGCAACAAAGTACGGCTAATTTAATATCAAATCTTATACTTAGTTCTTATTGCTAGACCTGACTGACATCCATTACACCTTTAGGAAATGTAAAATCCATCACCATTTCCCAACCTGATGCTATCTTCTGCTCCCAAATTACTCCCGAAAATCCTTTTCTCGTGCAGCTGTCAGTCTAATATTGTTTTTGGAGACATGCTGCTTGTTCTTGTCATCACGCTGTTAGACAATGGTTGAAAAATAAAACTTTTTTGGAAAATCTTTGCAAAAATTTTTCGCTGAATCGTGAGATCTTTGTAAGAGCATACTAAAGACTGTGTTTTGAACGGACGCTACCTCTCTTTAAAGCCCATACTACACAAGTGCTTTTGCAGTTGTAACCCGCAACTTTTTAGGCGATATGCTAAACCTCACTCACAAAATCATTTATTCCTCCAGCCAACTGGCCAAAGGTTTCAGAATCTTCATTAAAAGTGAACATTAAAAGTGAATCTTGGTATTGGTTTTGGATTAGCAATTATTTGTGCATAATGATCTTTGTTGGGATCGTGTGACTCTCACTGCTTTGTCCTTTTTGACACTCCAATGCAATGTGTTCATCCATTTTGTTGCAATAATTTATTGATAAAAATTATTTGAATGGTTTAAGTGGCACCTCTTTTGGGGTCTTGGAGATTAGCAGCTTGCAGGTTCAAATGTAAGCCAAACCATGTAGTCTTTCCGTTTTGCCTTTATAATTGCTGTAATTGATATGCTCTATTAAATACAAGCTATTTATGTTTATATATTATATATTTATGTTTATATATTAACGGAAAAATTTTCTTGGCATTCACTGAAGACAAACCGCGAGAATGCAGTGGAGTTCAATAATTTCGTAAAATATGTCAATTTTTGCTTTTCAGCTTCCAGGAACCCAGAAAAAGACAGGGAAAAAATTACTGTTCGGAAAACTGACGAATCTAATGTCAAAAGGAAATAGTGAGGCAAGCAAAAGAGCTGCTGAAAAAGGTATTCTGAATTCTTAGTAAATTTTATTTTTCCGAATCACTTAAACACGCCTTTAAGCATTTTTTAATTGGTCAGAAATAAATGAAAAGTATTCTTCCTGAGGAGGCTGCCGAAGAGCAGCGAAAATTCTAAGAACAATTGATCGTGTATGTGTGTTTTTAATTATGGTTTCTAAACACATTAAAGGTACCGAGTTACTTAAGTATAAACGAAAAGAAGGCGACGGAGTATGAATCGTTTTTGTGCCGATCTTGCCGCGCTTGCGTATCAAAAGGTTTATTTTCTGCAAACAGATATAGCATTACCGTGAAATTAACGAAGCTCATTACTAAAGCTATGAAACATGAACGATAGGAGAGATTGCGATCTTTGCCTATATATAATTATTTGGGGAACTTTATCTAACAATACCAGCAAGCGCCAATTGTCTGCCAGGATCTTCCTGGATTAAAATCTTCCGAGTTTCGAGCGTCTATTTGCAGATTATAACGGTTTTATCCAACGTTTCAAGTTTCTAAAATTTTGAAGCTTTTTGGCAATCCATGAAAAATCTAGGGGTCCAGGATGATTGGCCTGCTAGCACCAAGTATCTTGAAATAAATACCTTGGTGGATTGGGCTAATCAGTTTTCAGTTTTTGAGGAATGCGCATTTAGTAGTTGAAATATATCGGCAAGAATAAGATCAAAAGAATGTAGAGATTGCTAATTGTTTTGTAAATTTTTATGCAAAGTGCTTTAAGATGCGAAACATATATTCAACATCATAAGACCAATTATAGATACTTGCGGTACTTCAGTTACAAATGTTTGAAAAACTGCATGTATTGTTAAAACGAAGTTTTTAGTTTTGCAAAAAGCAGATTGCGTGGAATTTTTCGACAAAAAGTTTCGAACATGCCCTTATTTTCGCATCTAAAATATAGTTTTTATTAGTCCCTCTGGTATTTAGTCATTCACAGCAATAGATGATTGGGCCGTATGTTTTGCTATTGGCAAAGATGAAGAGGATTTTATCAAGATAGGGCTAATCTGGTTTTTAATTGGTTTTCGAACACTTTTGAAAAAGTATCAAGAGCAGTAAATGAACAAAGGTTTTTCTCTACTCTAGATTTGCCATTCTACGATATCCTAAAGGGCTAATTTTTTGTCGCGAATGCTACTAATAACAGCCTTTTTAAAATTTACAATTTTTCATTTTCTGTCAAAGAATTAGCTATTGGGAAAAATAAACCTATTTCTAATTCTCATCTGCTCTGCTTAAAAGGGCATGATATGCATGTTCATCTTTAGAATAATGTCGGGTGGTGTTTTCCACATTAATCTATCCAAATACGAGCAATTATAACGAAATAATATTGCAAATAGTCTATTTACGTAGATTCAAATTTGTTGTCAGTTTTAGGGCACAAAAGTAACTCTACTTGCTGAAAATGTTTAATCTTTCTTTTTTCAGAGGAGTCAGCTGTCCTTTCTGGAAAGGGTGTGGATCCCCTCGCATTAGAAGATGAGTTTAACAGATTGCGAACGGTTTCCACAGAACAGTCTGACAAGGATATTTGACGTTGCAACAGCACAAAGCAGACTGGGGGAAAAAAGTTGTTACGCTGATTCAACGTGTTTTTTCTAAGGATCCTAAAATGTCAGCGTGATTATCAATTAAATAGTAAATCACAGCTTATTGCGACACAAGAGACCTTCGGTAATTTGACTTGGTCGAGAACCAAGCAAATTTTGCCCCAGAAGTCTAAAAGGCGGAAGCCGAAATGATCGGATCAAACTTTTGTCATCAACCCTCTTGATGTTAATGGCATCTTTGCTTTTAATACTGGGTTTAAATCCAATGAAAATATATGCAAAATGAAATACATTTGGTTAGAAATGCTATCTATTACGTCACCACGACGTCAAAAGAGAGATTTTTCTTCTCTCCATTTGAACTGATTCTTAGTGCTCGTCATGATTTTGCAAAAGACTTTTGGAATATAAAAAAGCTCCTTTTGACAAATCTTAGAGATAGCAGATTTGAGCTTACCTACAATTTATTATTGATGTTTCAAATTCCCTCTATCCGCTGGTCCATTTGAAAGTTACAATAACAAAAGAGAGCGATCCGTGAAAAAACAATTTTTGCTACTTTACCATGATAGTATATTGTGACTCATTTACTGCAATAAGGATCATTTGCCTATCAAACTGAATATACTTATACTTTTCAACGTCTCTTTAATCACACGTGGTTAGTTTATAACTACAAAAAACCAAGCAGAAGTGCTACAATACAGTGGTTAAGTCATCATAGAAGGATTCTAACATTTCAACTAACAATGCAAAATCAATTAATCCATCTATGCAAAATCAAATATGGAAAACTGCAAATATCCAATTTCAAATCTTTGTTGCTTGACAATTTGCAGCATATTTAACACTGTTTTGCACTTTTAGAGGTATTCCCTTGCGTTTTTACAGGTAACATACTGTAATTCTCATTACTAGTGCGCTAAAAACATTGTTCTGAGATTTACTTCCATCCCAGTCAAATTCCAGAAGATCTTTTGAGTAGCAAATTGATTAATCGTACAACACAGTCTCAGATTGCCTGTTTACTAGCGATCGAAACAATGTACAACATTGGCTCCATTTATGAATAACTGGGTGATCTTGTTTTTTTTGACAACCAAATAATTAAAAATAATTACATTTAATGAGTTTTTTTGTCTTTCGGCTAGAGCGCCTTCTTTTTCATCACGTTCTTTGGAAATTTAGTGTTGAAGTGTTGAAGCATTCAGAAATTCCAGTTGAATTTTCTTAAACTACAGCATGTGATTTTCCAGTGATGTTTCTGCATGTGGTCACCCCTATTCATGCTCAGATTAACTCAGTATCTTTGGTGACGTCACAATACTATTTCATTTTTCACATGACTTTGGGTACCAGTGGGTACTACTCCTACTTGTGGGGCTTTCTAATCCTCTTTTATTAAAGAGCGCCAGTTTCCCTGTAGGTCGAATCTTGTTTTACATGTAATATGATGTAATGGCGTGTTTTTCATATATTGACTAGACTTTAATGTTCGATAAAGACACTTGCTTAAAAATAAATAGAAACAATTATATAAATTGTTATCAGAGCTTGCTGTACTTGAGTCTAATCAAGAACATAAGCCATGGCTTTGCTACTGATCGTAAGTCTGGCTTGCATACAACCTAAGGAGTTGTAAGTGAGTCTACCTCTGCCTGCCACCGAACGCTGGTACTTGCTCTTCCCGGCTCCTCCCGGCTCCTCCCGACTTCTACGTCACTACTATGTAAATTTTTAAATGACATATTTGGTACAGTCTAATCACAACGATCATTTTATTACCTTTTGATTCTCGCCATTTTCATATTAAAACATTGAAATTAACGGTCGCTTTTCATGTGGTTGCACCATGGGTATTATCCGTCCAGTTCGTCCCAGTTCGTCGCAGGTCGTTTCATGGCCCCTAACATTTCCTTAGAATTTTATGGAAAGACTTTGACCGGGAGGGTGCCGGCGATCGATCGCTGGCAGACGCAGGCTCCGTCCTTACGATTCTATAGAAACCTAGCCTGCGTAATAGACCAGAATCGGGGAGAAATGAGTCATGATCTCCAACCTCAGTTATGGTCTTGGAATTATATTTACTTCCGGTCAATATTTATATGTGACCCGTTAAGTAACATTGTGCTTACACCACGAATTCCACATCAACCATTTTGCAATGTTTTTTCTTCTTGATTATTCATTTTAATTTAATCTTTATTTGCTACTGAAAACGTTTGCAGCAGTCTGGGTATTTAGATTCACATTCATGTTTAAACCTTTTTCTTCCCGCTTCCCGCTTTGATTGTGTTTAAACTTGATTTCATGATTTCATGTTGATGAGAATCATTAATCGGTTGTAGGGAGTTTTAGCAATCTAGGATGGATTAGTGTAAGAAGAGTATTGTGAATTAACGTAATCGAACGCAAATGCCACAGTATTTTGAGCTCCTACTCTTTGGAAATTTTTGTTCTTATTTTCATCTCGTTATTAAACTTTTGAGGATGCTTTGCATTAAAAAGACATGGAAATATAGTTTCATGTTTTTAAATTATGGCAGAATGGTTTTTTGATTTATTGGTATCGGTGTGTTGGTTTTTTGAAATACATTTTTGGCAATTGAGAAGCCTCACTTTTTCGATCCTTTACTGTGCGATAAGCAGACGTGCTTCTTATTGCCTTACTTCTTGTCATTTTCTTGTTCATTAGACAACTAGTTTCATCCGAAAAATTCGCCAAATACCCTCACTTCACACAGTGTTAATGGCTCCGCTTTGTTTTGTTGTATATACAAGTATCTGCCATGAAGCCTGGGACGGCATGGAAACAGTTTTGTGCCACCTTGTGGGACACTTTGACTAGCTGCACACACTGTATTGCTGCCGCCATTGCCTTCAATACTGTTGCCAACTACAATGTTGAAGTTTGAGAGACGATATCCACAGCAATCACCTATAGAACAAATTCAAAAAACGTTTTCCAAAACTGATGAGATAAACGAAACAGGCATATCTTCTCACATAAAATGCTTTATTCAATGACTGACATGATTGAACATTATTTAATGACCCGTTAAATAAAATTTAATCAAAATTTCTCTTTGCTTCTTTACTTGAGCGCACCACATCCTGATCATTCTCTTCAAAAGGATATTTCTAAAAGATTACTTATTTGTAAAAGAATATTATCCGATGTTTTTTAAGAAGAAGCCTCTTCTAAGGCCACAAAAGCTACTGATGCAAATACTTTCAAAATCTTTTCTTGCAAATTACAAATTTTATTGTTCTGTCGAAAGTTTTCAAATTCATATTGCCCGTTTGCGATTTATACGAGGATTGCGTAAGGAAATGTCTGTGGCCCGCTTCTCTGTCTCCCGCTTCTCTGTCTCCCGCTTCTCTGTCTCCCGCTTCTCTGTCTCCCTCTTCTCTGTCTCCCGATATAAGGTCGTTCCTTTGGATACTAGGAGGATTTGAATCAGTATATTGTTTGGATGAAAGACTAGCTTGATATATGATTTTATTTCTATTTAGAATAACTAATATTCAGGGGGAAGTTAGCATGTTGAATGGAGGGTATTGGACAGAGACGAAAAAGTAGCCAAACGAAAAAGTCATCATCGTACATGTTTAATTTTGAAGTTTTATGACTTATTGGAGAGCGATTTATAAATCATTGATAACAGAGGACCAAGAAAAGAACCTTGAGGGACCTTGCAACTAACAGGATCAATTTGTTAAGTTTTTGCGCTCTGACAAGTATTAGTCTTAATGTATTCCCAATTTGAGAACCCCAAGTTGATAGATTTTCGATGTTTAAGTGCCAATCATTAGTGCATTGGGTAAGCATGCTATATCTGAATGCATAGAAATGCTCGAATCCTGGTCGCTTATTAAAGAAAAATTTGGGTTCATTCAGAGGTTGATATGACTGTTCATAGACAGGTTTTTTTGGAAAAACTTCACAGCAAATTCCAATACGGCGCCGGGATCCGCAATAATTTGAAAGACATGAATTCCGCCAACATTTGAATGTAAATATTAGTCGTTTTTGGTTTTTTGCCGAATGGAAAATTAATTGCGGCCCATTCATCATTGAGACCATGTACCCATGCGAGTAAATGCACAAAATCTTCCAAATTTCTTTGTATTTCTTAGAATTTTTATCCAGCACAAAATTCAGCATTTTGAGTATTGTTTTTTGCACCTAGGCATACATCCGTGCTAGGATCCAGATCAAAGAAACAGACAATCGATAACTTGACGGCAGGTGTTATGTTGTCCCTGGCAAACTTTTTCCTGCTTGCTAGGTTTCTTGTTTGTCGCTCCATTGAATTTTTCCGTCTCGCTTTCTACTTACCTACAATTTTTTAATATATCTCCGAATTTCATCCTCTTTCTGTGGATTTTCATGAAAGTTAGGCCCCAATATTATCCTATCGTGCCAGTGATTAAGCACAGAGTAATGTTATTTTAGTCACAAATCTGTTATAAGAAAGTTGGTTGTAAACAAAATAGAGGATGAAAGTGACATTAACTTAACTAGTATGATGGATGTCATCGGTGAAAGGAGCTCTTATCTTTATGACAATAGATGAATTTTTTTTGCATTTTCTTTATCTATAGTTAAGGCATTAAAACTATAGTCGGGTTGATTTCAGCCACGATTACCTTCAAAAGCTCTTCATAATGGCTGCGCACAGAGAAGCGATGATTTGCACGAGTGCGCGCAAAATGTTTAACTAGCAAAATAAGGGTATGGCGTCCTTTAACCTACATCTAGTTTTTTTGCCTTTTGAGTCAATGCTATGTTATTAATGTAATTCTAGCTTGGTAGATAGATTGATTAAATGAAATTTAATCACGTCTAATATGTCACAGTGTACGCCTTTTAGGGTCCCCTTTGGGCTTTTGTTTTTTTGGGCACAGATTGCACAATTGTGGAGTTTGTATTTATTGTAGCAATGCTCGAGTAGGCTTTACATTGTGTTTGTTAAATGGCTAAAGCAACTAGCGTGCAAGTGTGCATTGGCCTTGGGTATATAAACTTTGTCTTAGCACAGTTTCATTCTCACACGTTGCACGACAACTCGAAGTTGGACTTTGGAGAGGAAAGGTTCTTCCTTTGCAACCCTGCCCACCCAACCCATGTCTAGATATCTTTAGTGGTTTTTCTTTACATGCATGTTGACTTTCTACTCTTTTTTCGTGCATTAGTTAATGGCCGTATGGCTTGCGACTTTTTGCATGAACAAGGTGCTGCTAGTCGGCGGAAGAAGGCCATTGTTCTTTTTCTCAAACCCCCTCAAAAACGGTTGGGGTTTTATAAATGGCAGTCTTTGCGATTGGCGCACCGACAGCCTAAAAATAAATGGTTCAAAAGATGATAGAACGCCACCTTCAGTCTTATTATTTACAATGGTAAAACATTCTGAGGACCATCTTACCCTTATTTGCTAATGTTTTTTGTTTAGTAACCTGGAACAAATATTAATGTTGTCTTACCTCTGTTTGTAATTTTCACTGAATGGACGAAGGCGCTTCCACCGAAATCAACCCTCCACCAGTCTGGAGCAATACTACATGTATGGCTACAAGAAAACAAATCGTAGTTTGTTTGGTCATTACCATCCACAGCTCTGCTTGCCGCCCCTTCATAACAGGTGCTTGACTGGCTGGCCACTTTTCCCGACGCAATGTTTTCTGTATAATATTTAAAGTAATTTTGATTGTGCAATTGCAGGGATACAGAAATGTTGAATTGTCGGCATTTCATATAAGCAGCACAATTCAGTTTTTTATAACAAACAATTTTCTACAAATTATACTCCAGTTTCTTGACGCCAGGTCACATTTCAGTTTCAACTTTTTCTAAATTATACTGTTATAAAAATTTTAGAATTTGTGTTCCTGTAAGTAACTCTTTATCCGGGAATAAAATTTTCTATCTGAATTATATTGCATTGCTACAGATAAGATACTTTTTTATTTAATTGTGAAGAATCAGTGAGCCTTTTCATTGTTTTGAATGCGTGAAATATCAAAGTGCTGCCCCCCTCAAAATTCACTGTAAAGAAATTTCTAAACTTTTCCTGAACTTCAATAACTCGATTTTCATATATTACCTTCTTGTATTAAGTAAGCTAGAGGAGGTTTAGAAAGCGGAGTTTTCATAGGATATCGAGACCCATTCTCCTTGCATTCGATGCAGATAGTTCAAGCAGAAATCAGAACAATACCGCAAATACAACCTCGAGGTAAACAAAGCACCTACAAGCATACTAGTCATTAGCCTTAAAATACAGTTTTCTACCGATTGATGATGATGTATAACAGGTGCATTCGCGAAAACTTGGTTTTGGTTAACAACGCATGTTTCATTTGCCTTTATAGTCCTCTTTATGCAATCCGTCGGAGTGCCTAATGCGTACATTCCTTTTATCTCAATTTCCTTAAGTTTTAATGCAGCGTTGTTGCTTTTCCTGACTTGCGTGATGTAACATCCAAAATCATCCAGGCAGATTACAAAAAGTAAAATCATGTTACAGAGTTTTAGCTTTCTCAATGCAAATGCTAAAAAGGCCTTATTCCAACCAAAAGTATATACTAATTGCTAATGTTCTAATTGATTTGCAATTTACATGTGCAAACAACTCAGCTGTTTGGGATGAGTCATAAAAAATGAGCAGCTTTAGCAAATGTCTTCATCCATTCAATATAGCATATTTTTCTAAAATACGGTGATTATCAGCATTTACTTTGCCATAAGCATGTTGTTACTCTCGTAAAATCTGACATTTTCTTTATGGACCAAGAGACACAAAAACCATACAAACCAGGTTCGGAGGACGATTTTGGCCTCTGACGAAGGTTTTGTTGGCAATAGCAATACTCTCTATTTTGGTTTTCGTTCTTTCGATTGTGGAAAGTCAAACACCAAGAACAATTAGAGCCATTGAAAATAATATCAGCTGCATAATAATGTTGAGGTTATTCTTCAAATTAATTGATGTTGAAAATATAGGCTTGAATAGCCACTATGATAAAAGACAGAAAATCTTTGAGGGAATATTGATGTATGTCGGGAAAATCTAATCTTTAAAAGCTTGGTAAAACCTCAATGCTGCGCTAAGAAAGAAAAATGCTACAGAGCTTGTTTTTTAGGTTACATATTTCTTTCTGGTACAAAATGTTGCTCAGCTCTTTTTCGGTAATTTTACATTGTCTAAAAATGAGGTAGGATGCGGCTATGAATTGTAGGTTTGTCTGAAGTTCAACAACTTTTTGCGAATCGGTACGGACCTGGCAGAGTAATTTATAGAAAAATCACCTAAATTTTTGCATTTGTATCCACCAAGTGATGTTAAATCTTGTTCACAAACTTGTTCTGCATCACACAACTGCTCTTTATCGTATGCCTCACATCTTCCCTGCGAAGAAACAAAATATTCTCAAAAAATGATTTACAGGTTTGAATAATCGGTTCTTTTGCTGCGTACAAAGCGACTCTTCAATTTACTAAGCTTCTGAGGATATTGCATCTTTGTTTGAATACCAATAAAGATGGTACGAAAATGAAACAAAGCTTTTTTTTGAATTAGGCAAAGATGCAGAAAGCTGCTAAAAAATCCAAATAAGGATTCTCTTTAAAAATGGTCACTAGCCACCAGTGTTGTGCCACTCGGTTAGGCGTTTTTGGGTGCAATTATCCTCTTGTTTTGCAAAACCTTGACTAAAACATGTTTCTTGTGTTTCTGTTTCTTTCCTGAATTCAGAATAAACAGATGTCGGTATGTAGCTTTTATTGAAGAAGAATTCAAGGGATGACAATCGGTTAGAGTGTATACGAAATTCAATTGTTGCTTAGCTGCCTGTTGCTCTATTTAGCTTGTGTGTCAACTTGGAATTCATCCAGATTGTGAAAACCTTCCTTCTAATTAGCTAGAATTTCTGTCCCTTCCTTGGTTTATAAGATTTCTTAGCTTCATTTATAGGTTAAAAAAACATCCCTACATCAGTTTGATATTCAAAAAACCTTTTATCATTAAATACAAGTACATACAAATCAATAGTATTACTGATCTTTTTGGTAGCCCGGCAATGTCTACAATCCGCAACAAAAATTTGTTCTGTTTTGTTCTTTTGTTAGGACCTTTGTAGCATGGACAATTTTTAATTAAAAGCTAACGCAAAATATGTATCCATGAAGCTGGTTTTGTTTATTCAGCTGCATGCGACAAAGGAAGCTTTTATTTTATATTTAAGGATACAACTAACAAATTCTGAAGCTTCTAGCAATGAAATGAAATAATTAAATGCAATGTCTATCAAATTTTCAAATCTACTATTTTAGTTTAAGTTTCACCTCGTGCATAAGACGCAATTGCGATTAAAAAATAAAATTAGAAGTATCGACATTGAATACTTTCAGAATGATTGATGAATGAAGTAAAAACATTGTTATTATAATAGAAATCGTAGGTGAAAAAAGCAAATAAACAACTCTTTTTGGATTAAATTAAAATGGGATAGGGATAAAAAAAGCTGGAAGACCAAGACAATTCAAAATAAATAATTAAAATAGTGTTCTGCATGAATGCGGGCTATATGCCTTTGATGCAGAAAATGTTTATAAACAGAGAAAAAAGGCTCAAAAACTATGCAGTGATACGCAAAAGGTACATAAACTATGAAAAATCATTCAGAAAATCGCAACCAGCCAGAATATCTGTCCTGCATAGAGTTGCAGACGCGAAGAATCTTGACAAACGTAGGAAGATCTTGGACGATTGGTGTGAAAATTAAATCTAGATAGGCTGCTATTTGTGATGTTGGGGGGGGGGGAGGATTCAGATTCAAAGGATCAAACAATCTCACATTGAACATCAAACGACTTTACACATGCATTTCACACAACAATGGCCTACAAGCCTCATCAAAAGATACATCGATGACATCGTTGGAGCAAAATATCATCCTTTGCCTGATTTCCAATAATTAATTAGCTACACCAATAATTTTCACCCAGCCCTTACAGTTCACGCACCAATTACTGAAGAAAGCTTGCCTTTTTGGACATCTTTCTTAGTATCTCTGGCAAGGAAATCTCCACATCCATCTACTATAAGCCTACAAATGCTCATTGCCTGATTAACTACGACTCTATAGCCTACTATCAACTCCCCCGCATTTGTTGTAATGATGACGATTTGGTTTCAAAAGCAGACAAAATGTCTTCTTTTAAAAAAAATGATAACTTTGCTAACCACATTACCCAGACAGCATTCATTAAAGTTAAGCCCTGGTCAAACGATCCAGCATTTCACCCAACATTTCGCCCAACAATCATGTTGGATCGTTTGACCACCTCAGCAACATGGTTAGCTCTGCGCACGCGCAGTTGATTCAAGAGCGCCAAAATTCAATAATCGCATCGTTTTTGTTTTCTCGGCCTGTTTTCTCGGCATGAAGAGACTGTAACACAGAAGAGCGACAAGAAAGCGCAGAAGAAGGAATTTAGGCCACGGCCTTGATAAGGGATGCGACGCTCGTCCTGAAATACCGAGATGACAGTGAAAATATCTGAAGAGGAAATAAATAGAGAAGGCAGCGATTGCCCTTCGTTTTTTGGATCGAAATGTCGCGAAACTGTTGGGTGAAACTGTTGGGTGAAATGTTGGGTAAAATGTTGTGTGAAATGTTAGATCGTTTGACAACCAATGTTGGGTCACATTCCAACATAGAAGAAAAATGTTGGGCGAAATGTTGGGTGAAACGTTGGTTTGAGCAGGGCTTTAAATGAATTTCTCAAAATGATGCCCTTCTAAAACCCAACAAAGGAAAGAACAACAACAGCATTCTCTTCACCTTGACCGACCACCCTCTAAACAACAACATTAAGAAACATTTTTATAGCACTTTCAACATTTTTGTCAACGGCACAGAAACAAAGAACGTCTCCAATGCACCACCACAATAGGCTTTCCGCAGAGAGAAGTAATCAAAGGACAACCTGGTTAGGACGAACTTAAATGATACATCATAACAGCCTGGTACTTTCTCCTGCAAATATCACCTCTGTCGGACCTGCACACACATTAACCAATCGAAAACTATTACCAACCATATCCGACCACATTACCGACCCCCACACCTGTTATTCATTATTTGTGATTTAATGCATCATCTAAACCACTTGCCAAACATGTTATATCGGAGAAGCCTCCCGACAAATTAGCAACCCCTTTGGAGAAAATTTGAGTAATGTTAAAAACAAGAGAAACATCTTACAGAAAAACACCAAAGCAATGCACATCTGCAAATACCTTAACTGCTTATCCCTGGCTTATTGGATGCACCTCAGGTCTCCACCAAACGGATCACCATAGAGGAACGTTTAATTTTTAGCCTAAAAGCTTTTTATCCAAATGGACATTATAATTTTCTTCAATAGTTTCGTATCTACTCTATTTTCAACTCTATTCTTCAATTCCTCCTGTTTTTTTATATTTGTCGAACCTTGCCTTTTCTTTGCTTGGCTCGATTCTTTTTGAGTCACTTGATAACGAGTACAAACAGGTACAAGCTCAAAAAGTCGTTTTTTAACAAACATACCTTAACTTATTTCATTTTGTTTTTTGAATTCTTCACTCGTTATAATATCATTATTCGGATACAAATTTAATTAGATTTTTGAAGTATTCTCGGCCTTGTGCAATGATGAAAGTTCCTGAGAAAATTGTCTTCTCATCCAGACTCACTAAGCAACGCAAATCCAAAATCACACCCATCACATCACATCAAAATCACAATCACATCAATCAAACCAAAATCACATCAAATTCAGATTAAAAATTTGAATGCATTTTCTGCATCCAATTTTATCCAAACAGGGTCGTCGCTACCTATTGTGCTCAAGGGGTGTGCTCAGATCTCATTTGCAAACAAAGTTGGTTATCCAACCTTTACTTGCCGAAAAGCACCTCTAGATGGTGAAAAACTCCTTGTTTCCGCAATGGAATTTTTTCAAACGCTCAAAATGGATCGAAAATGATTGTAAAGCAAACATAAAAAAGCTGTTTAAATAAAAGGAAAAGAGCCATGTTTTACAGCTTGCCTCAGAGATGCCTCAATTTGTTGGCTATGCTATATGTCTTAAAAATAGTACTCCAATGAAAAAGGCTTTCAATTAAAATGTAAATCAAACCAAACAAAATTAAAATGTTTGAAGACAACCATCTGCCCGAAAAGACCCGATTAAACAAGATTTATCCTCAACAAACATCAAAACAAACTTCAATTCAAGCACTGCTGAAAAAGAATAAGAAAAAGACCTGACATTTTTTGCAGAAAAGATTGAAAACCAATTGTTAAAGATGTAATTGAAGAAAACCGCATATCTGGCTTTTTATTAAGCAACTGTCTTTATCATTCTTTATGTTCAATATCCAGTTTTTATACCATGACGCGTGCTTTCTTTACATTTTGCGGCACTAAAGCCTTATTGATGAAAGTGCAAGGTAGCGTACCCAGGGACGTAAATTGGGAGATGTTTTTTATGGGGGGGAGGGGGTGAAGGGCTTAAAATTTCAGACTGACAAAGGTCAATTCTAATTTTGCATGAGGACCTAAACTTTGATAGTTTTTTACCAACAAACCTTATAAATTGTCTCGTAAATAATTATTCAGCTGTACATAAAATTTCTAGATTTCGTAAATTTGGAAGATCGATCATAAAGACTGCTAGTTTAATTAGTGCATCAAAACATACGTAGTCCAAAAATCAGTTAATTTTTCTCCTTCTACAACTTGCCCATTGCTCCACTATCTAATCTAAATTTACGTTGTCCAAAATGTCTTTCTCGCAAGTAAGAATCATGAGGTTATTTTTTTAAGGTATGCTCTCATCACGTTTGATTATTTCAAATCTTAAGATTGAATTCATTACTTTCTGAGGCCCCATAGACCTCGGCGTATTCCTTGGAAATTAAGCAACTAAAGGATTTGTCGGATTATTCTTTTCTTTATATCTTTCCTTTACTCTTTTTATTTGCTTAAAAATACATTTTTGCAAAATAGTGGGGGGACTGAAGCCCCCCAGCTCTCAACCTGGCACCGCCTATGCTTCATCGGTCGATCTCGAACGGAGAAAGTTATTGACAAGTCATGGGAAAAGTACTGCACTTCTTTAAGCATTACTGTTAAATATTATTTAAAAAATTATATTTCGTATTCCATTTCTGGAAGCATTTTGATGGAATGATTATCACACTATCCCCATTGCGACGAATGTAGTTGAAAATACTTGAATTTTCATACAAAACTTTTCATACGTTTTCCCTGTACTGCGTCGCCTCTCATTCTTTTTAGGACTGCCTTTTACCAAACAACTATTTTCTTTTGAACTTATACCTATCTTATGCTTCTCTTTGAGCTACAGTTCACAAGGTCATTTGAGTCAAAACTTCAAACTTCACAAATGATTCAAATTGTTTCCGATTAAGGTAGCTTTCTACCAACAGCTTTAAATTTTCCGACTGTCCTCAAATTTTCCGAATGGATGAAAGATTGGAGGGTGTCACACCCCCCCCCCCCACAACCCCCCAGTATTTACGTGCCTGAGCGTACCAATACTCTTAGGTTTCCAAGAAGCAGAATAAGATTATACATGCAAAACGTCGTGTGGAATAAGGAATTAAGGAAGTCAAAAACTCTGTCCAGAAAAAGTGAAGTTCAATAAATGTAAGATTTGCTCCTTGAATGGAAGACTTCTTACCTCTTGCAAGGACTCGTAATGATCCCAACCAGCTTTATCTTCAAACAAATCTGTTCTGCTTTCCAAAGCATTTGCAGACAAAATTTCACATTCCATCGTAGAAGCTTTGTAGTTGATGCTTTTACAACTTTCGATTGCAAGGCAAAATTGTATACAATACAACAAAGTAGGAGATTTATTTTTAGAAATCGGACCAATGTTGAGTCTGGTGTTTTCCATGTACAAGTTGAACAGTCCAGTCCGTTGAAAAATGTTTCTTCTGATTGATCCATTTGTTGCAATAAAATTGTAGAATAAAATCGCTTGGTACAAAGTCTTCAGCCACATCTTTCAAATGGTAAATTAAGACCTCAGCCCTGCATCCTAACAGTTTCAAACGGTTATTCAAACTGCAGGTATCAATACAGATATAGTGGTGCTGTTGTTTTTGAAGTAAATTGAATTGAGTTTTGCTACACAAAACTAATCAATCATCAAAATTTATCTGAATTTTTCGTTATTGAGTTTCTCACCTGCTGTCCTGAAGCATGAATTATATTTTGGTTTCTAAGGCAACTTAAACTGTAAACTCTGCTTTTCATTCTTGCCAGGCGCGAATCCAGAAGATTTATCACTGGGTTTATCATATTTCAATGGGTTGTCCAGCGTAGTTTTCCCTGGGAAAGTTTAGTATGATCTTAGGTTTTTTGTCCCTAAATACCCACTCTCTTCCCTTCGCTATAAAAAGAATGTCCATTGCAACCGTTTATAACAATCAGCAGATTTTGCACAGCAGATTTTGAAGAAAGATTTTGTATAGCAAACAAAGGGATTTAAAGGGTGCCTTGGAGAAGGGGGGCTCTTGGGGCTCAGTCCCCTTTGTCAAAGTTTAGAGAGTTTTTTGGGGGGAGGGGGCTTACACTCACCTCAAAGAACATTGAACCATCTCGAAGAAGGGGAATGGCGCAAGAATTATCAAAAGCTATTGTTGTGCGAATTAATTGTGTTTTTAAGTGGCGAATAGGGTTTGATCCGGAAGTGGAACAAACATCGATGAAAACTTCAATCTCGTTAGAGAGTTTTTATGAAAAATAACAGTAAGAATCATCTTTTAACAGTTTCAAATTTAAATATTTGAGCCAATCTGGACTTGATTGACGCCATAGAAAAACTTGACTTCTTCTTGCTTGTAAATAAATCGTTGTAAATTTATTTTTTTTAATAAGTAATTTTTTATTTTTTATTTGTGTAAGCCATTCATTCTAATATGTTTGGAAGGATTTTGAGCTAAAAAATCTTGCTCAGCCTTGAGTTTCATGTCCTTTAGTGTTCCTAAGTGTAAACGCCGTGAAATGAAACAAACCAATTTTTTCTCCTTTAACATCAATTTTTTCACGTCCACTGCTCGGCTTCTTTGCTACTGAAACGCTCTCAAAAAAATTTCAAATTCTCACAGCTGTTGTGTGGCTGCATCTAAATTGTTGAATAATTTTTCGAAAATTGAAGTCCTCTTCCCGGTAAATATTATCGCGCCTATTCCACCCAATTCATGCATTCAAAGGTTTTGCATGGTTAAAATGTTGGCAAAAAGTGCCGCAATTTTTAACAAGGTGCTGCAATACAGTAGGTTCCCGCATATAAGAAACCCCCTTGTATAAAAAACCAGCCTCAAATTCTTTCCAATGGGCTCCTTTAATAAGAAACAATTTTAGGTCTGAAATTGAAATGTTTCTTATTTTCAGATCCGTCATACTTTATTCTACCTCTTGTCTCCACAGCGTATCTCACCGTATCCTAAAAACTACTTTATACTTATAAGGTGCACATTTATAAGAAATTTAAAACAACTTTTTAACAATTATTTCTTCCAGATGCAAGTTGATGTTTTCATCAAAGGTCATGGAAGGTATTAAAGTATATTTTGTCAGGCTGACTTTTTATCACAGAGGTAGTTAAAAATTAACGTTCTTTTCATTGTCAAGAGGCATCGTGGGAGAAAAAAAGGGCCAGATGCCGCCTGTCAGGAATTTGTTTTAGTTCATCGCGACAATAAACTCTCACAGGAAGGAACTCAAAGAATCAATCCGGTTGTGATTTATTCGCTATGATAGATTACTTCACTCTCGCTAGCTGATACTACTCTCTATAATGCTTATCAGCTTATATAATCTTGCTACAGAAAGAATTGCTGACTATTCATGACATATTATACGTAATACCCTATAATTTAACGACCAGATGAAAAACCACCTTGTGGAGATACTGGTCATGATTCATTACTATTATTACTATTATTATTATTATTATTATTATAATTTTTTACCCCTTAGAGAATGTTACCGGTAAACCCTCAAAGTTCTAGAAGATTGAAAACAAAATCGAGACTATGCTTACATAGAAAGCATGACTAGGCCTAAATGGAATTGTCTAGTTTCCATACTGCTCGACCTGATAGTCATAAATAAGCATGATTAATAGTCAAAAATTAGTATGATTCATTATTTCAAGTAAAGGGTTAGGTTTAGGTTTAGGGTTAGGGTAAGGGTAAGGGTTAGAGTTAGGTTTAGGGTTAGATTTAGGCTTAGGTTTAGGGTTAGGTTAAGGGTAAACTAATTACGTCATCAGGTTGAGCAGTATGGAAACTAGACGGCTCCGGTCTAAATAGCTAAGTGTGCAAATAAAGGAGAGGCCACGATAGCAGGCTGCTCGACGAGCTCCGGAGGAAATCCTGCGGCGAAAAATCGATAAAACGGTAGTGTGGGGGGTGTCACACCCCCCCCCAAATAGTACCTCGATAGGAAATTTCAGGTAAAATCCGCCCAGTGGAAGAAACGCTTTAGGTATTTCAGCGACGTTCATGTATTAATATCAATTGAGGATCAAGCAAAGATAGTTGTTCCTTTGGCTCAATATGATACTTCTTGATATGAAGGAAGTTAAAAAAACTAATGACTTGAAGATTGGAAAATTTCTTGTTGGCACAAAAGCTAAAAATCCAGTCACTCTTTAGGTAAAATTGTGTCTTGTATCCATTTCCTCTAAAAAGGCATGCTAAGATGGAAAGAGGGATCTAAATTGGCAACCAGTGCTGCTTGTTACCTAGCTTTAGAAGTAACTGACAACATGGAATTTTCAAGACCACGGGCGAAATTGTACCAGTTGTTTTTATCTGCTGTTCAATTTGAATGCAAAAATAAAAGAATTTTCGGTAGGATTAGGAGGATTGCTTTAGTAAAAATTACTTAAAAGAGTGCATTTTCCAGGGAACTGGAAGCATCAAAATTGGAAAGTTTTCTTCTCCTTCGGCGGCAACCATGGTGCCGCCTCGGGTAGTTGCCCCTCCAGGTATACAGATTTGGCAAAACCATTAGGAAAGTCGGTTATTATCATTTCAAAATGAATGTTGTGAATTATATACCACACAGTTAGATTGGCAAAATGTATTGCAGAGGTTTGTGACAGCAACTTAAAAATTTCAGGTAATTATTTTTTAATCAGGTAAATTTGTAGTCTACACCTCCCCAACAAGGCTTGCCTCGCGACGGACCTTGATGGTGGAGCCGGGTTGGTTGATATGGAATGGTGTGAATGCAGCCAAGCGGAAAGATAAATTGTAATAAATGTGGAAGAGGGAAGGGTGGCGAGTGCGTGAGTGTTGGTGGTGGTGATGAAATAAAAGTGTAATGAAAGTGGGTAGTGGTGATAAAAATGAAAAGTTCTGAAAGTATTAAATAATGATGATGATAGCAACAATGGTAGTAAAAAATGAAAAAAATTAATGAAATAGAGAAAAGAAAATGAGAACGGGAATGTAGAGAGTAATGATAATGATTGTAAAATAGTAATGTATGGGTAGTAGAAAAAGTGATGATGATGATGGTGGGTTGCTGTAAGATTAACAGTCAGTGGTTCGGTTCATGCCGATCGGTGTGGGAGTGTTTGCCAAGCCAATGAGGTATTGCTCTTTGGCTCGTCGAACACTCCCTCGTTTGTCGTTAAGTTACAGTAATGGTGTTCTTCTAGCTGCTAATGTACGGCGCGCATCGTATTATGGTACGACACCGTAATAACGAGGTGGCCGTATTAACAAAGTGGCCGTAACACGGGGTTCCACTTCATCAGAAGCACATCCATTGAGTTTGCCAAAACATTGACGTGGGTCATTACAGATTCTTGTTACGTTTGCATCTTATTTTGCTCTTTATCATTTTTTCCCATAGCTTGATAAAATATTTAAGTCGTTCTCTATCAAATGAGATATTTCATAATCATTCCCAATACCACAAGCCTGTGTAACAATTGGATACCTGTCCCCTATGAGAACCTACTGACCCGGGGCACCGCCGCAACGCCCACTGTTTTAGATAGGTCGTAGCGAAAAAATTACATCAAAATTCCTACAATCTTCCTCCCTAAAACGTGTTTCCGAATTGATTAAAAAAGTGGAACATGATTCTGGCACAATAAACCCTTTGCATGCCTTATCTCACTGTTTCTTTCAAGTTTCGAACCGGCTTTTTTATTTCAAAACAGCAAGTCCTCTCCAATCGATAGTTCTTCAGGATGCCGTTTGTAGGCTCGTACAAAGACATGCCTTACTGTCTGGAATGCATACGTCTCATTCTTGATATACAAAAAGTACACACGGAGGCTGAAAGAGCATTTGTGGCGCTTCTTTTTTATGAAAAAATTTCCGTCTTTGCGCGAAAAAAATTACCAGCATTTTCAGTCTAAAGTTTGAGAAATTTTCTCGACGGGATTGAGATCTATAATTCGCCCTCATAGAGGTGCAATAATTCAGAAGCTCGTTAATTTTTATTTCCATTTTCTTGCGGTTTCTCAGTTATAATTTGTCTAGCCGGCATAGCAAGTTATGTAATAATAATAATAATAATAAATAATAAAACGAATATTTTTACAGGATAAACACTTCAACAATTAGAACATCGCTGTTATTACTGTGAGTCCTGTGCCCTAGACCTTAAATGATATTGAGAGAAAATTTATTACATTAAAAACGTTGATAAAACTTAAAAGAATAGGATCTATAAAACCTAATAAAACCTAATTTCACATCGAAATAAAATAATGTTTGTCACTGTCCTGCAAAATGATTTTTGAGTTTTTTAACAAATTCTTTGTGTGTCCTTGTCCGACGTATGTCTATAGGTAGCTCATTGTACACATTAGAGCCCATATATTGAAACGATTTTCGTGCATATTCTTTTTTAATAATAGGTAATCGCAGAGTGCATTTGTTGCTTCTTGTTTCCTTTTCATGTTGTATCAGAGTAAAATAATTCTGAAAATGTTCACAGATATCTCTGTCCAGGAATTTTTGCACAAGTTTGCAGGCTCTCATCTTATTCGCATTTATGACTGACATGAGCGCTTTGTCTGCTGTTTCATCACCATAGACTATCTTCAATGAACGAGAATGAAATGAGGAAAGTCTGCTTATTTGCGTGTTTGCGAGCTTTAGTTGCAGTATACCACAGTAAGTAAATGTTGAAAGAATCATAGTACGATAGATTGTACTAGCTGTAGCATTGTCCATGAACGACCTTAATTTTGCTAGAAGTCGTAATCTACCAGATGCACGCTTGAAACATTTGTCAAAATGGGAGTTCAAGTTAAGTGAGGTTTCCACAAGGACGCCAAGATATTTATATTCCGTTGTGTTGTTAATTACCGTTGGGGTTGGCTGAGATATTGTGACTTTGAGTGGCCCATTTTGCTGTTTTGCAATTCGTTGTGCCGTTCCAAATAGTATCGACTCTGTCTTGCCTTTCTTTAGATTCAATATAAGTTCATTGCATCTCAGCCACTTTGACAGATTTTCCATGTCTTTCGATAGTGTGTTTTCAATTGAATCAATTTCTTTGCCTGCCACATACAAAACAGTATCATCTGCATATTTTAAAATGCTTGAATACTCCATGACTTCTACAGCATCATTGAAAGAGATTAGAAACAATAGAGGGCCAAGTATTGATCCTTGTGGAACTCCTGTTAACAAGTTCTGCTCATCTGAGATACAACCGTTGAGTGCTACCACTGCCTTTCGGGAGAACAGATAGTCGTTGAACCATTCCAATTCGTTATCTTTTATTCCGTAAATCGCAAGTTTTTCAAGTAGTATGGCGTGGCTTATGGTATCAAACGCCTTACTAAGGTCAACAAAGACTGCTCCGACCAGCTGATCCTTGTTGACGCTTCTCCGTATGTCATCCAACAATATAGTCGCTGCATATTCAGTTGATAATTTGGGCCTGGAACCATATTGATATTTTGACAAGAGCTTGTTTGTGTCTAGAAATTTCATAACTTGACGATGAACAATCTTTTCAATCACCTTGGATAGTATCGGTAAAACTGAAATTGGTCGGTAATTATCACAGTTAGAGCGTGCACCAGATTTATGAGTAGGAATGATTTTAGCTGCCTTCCAGTCCGCGGGAAAGGTACTGGTCATGAGTGACATATTGATAAGATGGGTCAAGGGAGCCGATATTGACTCAGCAGAGTCTTTTATCAAATCTGGTGGCAGATCATCTAAGCCAGTTGCTTTATTTCTCTTTAGAGACTTAAGTTCACGCTCAACTTCCTGTTCTGATACCTTTCTAAACATAAACTTTCTAACTGTTTTTGTGGGTAAGTTGGGTTGATTTCTCCATGTGAAGTTACATAACGGGAAAGACTTTTCCTTCAAGGTTGTTACGATGTTCGCAAAAAAGGAGCAAAATGCGTTTGCTATCTTGCTTGGGTCTTTTACTTTATCGCCGTTAATTTCGAAAGATTGAGGACTTTGTTGGTCGCTCGACTTGGTGGGGTAAATTGATTTTAGTGTTTTCCAAAACTTATTTGGATCCCCTAAATTTTCTTTCAATAAATCCTTGTGGTACATTGACTTGGCTTTTCTGACAGCAGTATTCACTTTATTACGCATGCATTTATATGCTGAGATGTCTGTTTGATTTTTAGTACGTCTTGATTTTCTTAACAGTTTATCTCTTTCATTCATAAGACGCTTCACCTCACTGTTTAGCCACGGTGCTGGCTTTCCCCTTACTTTCTTGGATATTCTCGGGGCGTGATGATTAAATACATTTTGAAGGATGCTTTTCATCGACCAAGCCTCGTTCACATTTATTTGGTTATAGAATGGAGCCCAGTCCACATTTTGTAAATCTAATTTCATATTTTCCGGATTATAATTTTTATAATCCCGACAAGTAATAACCCTCGGTCTAAAAGAACTGTTATTTATTTTACGAACGCAACCAGGCATGTCATGATCTCCAATGCTGGTCGGTATGACGTCATGTTTTGCGATGTTCGAAGGATTATTTGTAAGGATGACATCAATCAATGTTTCTGTAGTTTCTGATATCCTCGTAGGCTTTGCAATAATTTGTTTCAAACCAAACAGACTGAAGATTGATTTCAGCTCTTTGTTGTCATTTTCAATTCGAAAATTTATATTTGCATCGCCAAGAATCATAGTTTCTTTGCACTCTTCTGCAGCCTTTGTTAACATTGAATTAAAGCGTGCCTTGAAATCCTTTCGCAGGTATTTGGAACTATCTGGTGGCCGGTATATTATTGCAATCAAAATACCTTGGCAATTTTTACGACTAGGCCAGACCGCAATCCACATAATTTCCAATCCTTTGTACAAAATATTGTCAAAGAATGGTGATTTTATTCGTCGTACTTTTTCTTATTTTCTTTGCGAAGCCGCAAAGTAGCAAATTTCCAACTGTCCCCTGTTTTGACGTCCGTAGCAAATGTCCCCTGTACGTATTTTTTCTTCAAATTTTTCTCATTCCCCATGTCCTCTTTTAGCCTAGCATTTGAGTTCTCAGTCGATCAGAAGTTCCCTCTTTGACACGATTTATCTACTAATTATCTTAAATTTATCTATTTGATACCAATTCTAATTTACCTTAAAGGACAAGTGACACACTTTTTACCCTATCTTTCCTTTCATTAACTTAAAGATCATCATTTAGAAGTAAGTTTTTACTGGTTTAGAATAAAAAATTCTAATCAGGGAGCGCAAAGGGCGCAATTTTGCTTTTTATCACGTGACCCTATGACGTACATTGTGATAACTCGGAATTTTCCTGTCATTAATAGAGAGTTTACGAAACACAACGCGACAGGTCCAGACGAACTGAATTCGTTTAGAAGCGTGTTGTAAACGTTAATATTTCACTGTATACCAGTAGCAGCAATAACAAATTATCACAATCTACGTCACGGTGTCACGTGATTCATTTCCCGCCATAATTTGAAAAGGGTTTTTAAGTAGAGAAATGAAATCAGAAAGGAAAAATATTTCAACAACACTCTCATACAGCATTTTACTTTAAGTTAAAAGAAGAAAAAAATTTGGCGCCAAAAGTGTGTCACTTGTCCTTTAATGACCCTGTATCCTGTCCCTCCCCCTGTAAATTTCATTGGGTACTAGAGCAACATAGATTTAAACGCGGACAAGAAACACTTTGTGAGGAAACACTTCACCATATCTCTATGTTTTGCATCGATCTGTTTTTGTTGGCATTTGCGATGGGTCAGCGATTGCTAGGGAATTTCAATCTGTCCAAGATTTCTTTTTTTCTGTAGGCAATAATAGATTCGTTGACTACAGGTAAGAGCTAGTTAAAGCCAACATCTAAAAAATCAATTTACAATTTCAACGTTAAAAAACTAATTAAAAAACCAACAAAGATTCCTACAATTATACAGTTAGACATAGATAATTCAATACCTTGAAATGTATGCGATAGCAAAAAAGTTACAACGGACATTGCCAGAATTGTTTAAGAAGACAAATTTACTAGACAGGGAATTTTGCATAACAATCTAGCAAACTGGGTAACCAAAGTTTTTAAAGTTTAAATCATAAGAGTAAAGGCAACTGATCATTTTAAGCCCTGGGAACATTCTGGCAAATGACCGGAAGTTGCGTTTCCGGAAGCATGAAAAATGCACAGTCAGCAAAATTTCAACTTTTGCCGTGATCCTTGATGAAGAATTATGTAATGTGCCCACAAGAAAGGGGACATGCCAAATAAAAGCCTCGAAATGTCCCCTTGGGGTTTCTGGCTGATGAGCTGCTTGTTTCCATACGCTCTCATGTTTTTCTTTCAGTTTTACAACTTGCTTAGTCATAAAATTTTAGTGCGATAGCCAGCAATGGACTAGGTATAAGTACCTCAGTCTAAATAAAGCCTTTGGTGAAGTTTTAAAACTAGGTTTACATTTCACTTCAGATTACGTCAGGAAACCAAGTTTCAGTTATATATTTTGGCTTTCGTCAGACATTTGACAACCGTTCAACATGTCGAAATTACTCCGAGAAAACGTTCTGAAAAGGAATTTTAAGCTAATCTAAGGGGCGTGTTTGCCAAATTTTCTGCTCGCTTTGCTCGCAGGTGATCCGCATTTTCCCTTTCTACTCCAGGGGCCTCTACAACAACTCTTGTGACCTTTTTGCAAAATTTGAACATAGCTGGTAAAAAATAAGCCAGTACTGAATAATTAAACAAACAATATATGACAAAAATCAAAACTGCTTGCGAAATGTATATTTAATTTCAATTCCATAAAGATTAGCCGAACTTTCCATCGGATTCTTCCAAACAAGTTTTCCAAACGTATTCCCCACTGAAGCAAGATAAAATGCAGAAAGTGAGCGTTACAATTACAATCATGTTGTTATCATGAACGACTTGTCAAAAGTGTAATCGTCGACTTCTTGTATCATCAATTGCCTGATGAGATATCGATTGTAACGATCAAGGGTTCTTCTTATGACAGTGAATAACCGGTGTGTAACTAGCCCGTTGGTGGAGCGATGGGCTAGGCCAAAGGGCCTAAGCCCCGAAAAAGTCACGCACAAAAGGTACTCCTTCTTTGATTTTAACTCTAATGATTCAACAGAAAGACTAACTTATATCGTGATCAACACATACTAATAACGTAAACAGATGTTGAAAGATAAACATATTGCCATAAAAAGGCCTTTATTAACACAACAGGACTTAACAGAACATGTGACTTTAACATGCAATGGGAACGTTACTAAATTGAATAAATATAAAATCCAAACCGTTACACGATCTTGATATCAAAAATCATAAATGGATTGTTCTTCTTGCTATCTAATTATGGCGTGGTCAGCAAAGACTTCTTAAGGGTCCCGCCCAAAAGTCTTCAATTTTCATCGAGCTGTGCAGTTTCCTTAATATTAGACATGATCCAAGATGTTACCTTGTTGGAAAATCGTAGGCCAGGGGCTCCCCCAAATGAAAGCCTGAATTTCCTCAACTGGATCTCGGAATTCCTTTTGAAGAAGAATTGAAGGATCTCTCCTCATTGCATACTAAAGTTTCTGTTGACAAGAACGTAGTTTCTAAACTCCAAACAGTATTGGAACAAGGCCATACACAATTTAAAAAATTTATTCAATGTCGATTCATTGACAAGAGCGTTGATTTAGAAGACATAATACCAAGAAAGAAGAACAAAGTTGCTACAACTAAAGTCGCAAAGAAGAGTAACAATGACAAATTGGAGTTAGTGGAAGCCAAACAGGAGATTCAGCTCTTCTCCCGATTATATATTGCCGGCCGAGCCTGTTACAGCGACCTTAATGAGTTTTTCAGTCACGAGAATCATGCCTATCCACCAAGCCTATCGCTTGGTGGTGAAATAAGGAAAGGAAACAAAAGTGACTTGTTAATCTGCATTGTAAAACATTGTGAAACCAGATGGGTTCAAAGCTTTACGGAGATTCGTTTTATTCATCATGCAGATGTTTGATGGGAGTATCAGGCGTGTGGATCTTGTATGGGATTCGTAAAAAAATGATAGTCTGAAGGCTGCTGAGAGAAGACGTCGAGGACATGGTGACCGACGAAAAGTCATCGATAAAACTCCCACTGAGTTGAATTTAATTTCTACGAGTAGATGAAAAGGAAATGGAGCTGTTTTCTTTCCTTGGAAAGCACCTACTTCAGCTTGTGGAGAAGGAATTGTCTTCAGGAAAGATTGTCATCACCACCAATGCCACTGTAAGCTGTTTTCCTTTCCAAATGTCAACTGAAGTGTCTTCTTTCTCACCATTTACACATGAAGAAGCAGATATTCGTTGCATTCAACATGTTTTGAGTTGTGTACAAGTAGGCCACATCCAAGTTTTTTTACACTTTTTAATCACTTTTTATAAACTTTTTCTTCCCCGCCAACTCGTAATATGTTCCGTGGACCCTGCCCTTTTGCAATACTTATTTTAGCCTGGAAAAATATTTGCACGTCAGCGTATAAAGTATAACAAGATAATGATTAGAAAGCCCTTAAAGGCAAAGTAGAGCAGAATACTCTCATTTTCTTATAAGAAACAAAGGACGGCGTTGAGTACTCTAGTTTCTCAACGCTTTTGGGGAATTTCAATAATCCTTTTTTCTTAGGAGTTTCTTAAATATGACGTCATCAATCTTACCATTGTTCTCCTATATCTATTTGCTTACAGTTTTGCTTACAATTTGAAACAGAAACTTGATGAGAAGGGTTTTCATGACTGCAAAATAATGAGACTTTTCAATGTTTCTATAAATACTCATGACTTTTTTGGCAAGTTATTTGCTTTCGTTCTAATGCTGTACTTAGATAAAAACAGAGTTCTCTGTGCCTAATTTTAATGCCAAAAAGCCGATCATGTTGATTGGATTTTACAAGATTTTAGAATTTTGGATTTAAATTTAAAAATTCAATTGTTCCTTGTTTATTTGCTTCGAAGTTTTAATTCTTCATTAGGTTGCACAGAACCCATTTTTTATTGCGAGTTTCTTAAAAAAGGGGTCTAATGCCTTAGTGCTCAAAGCAAACATCAAATCTTCTGTTTCAATTGGAATAAAACGAGGAAATAATGTACTGATCTACAGCTGCCATTTTTAATTTCAATGTTTGAAAGCATTATTTGATGGCATTATTTGTTTCCAAGTTCCAGATGGTTATTAGCTTTAAAATTCAATAATTGAGCAGCGCTGCACGAGAATCCTCTAGCTGGAATTCCCAGCCAAGCTACTTCATCCCAGCTGAAGAAAGATGTGGCTGAATACTTTGTACCAAGCGATCGTATTCTACAATTTTGTTACAACAAATGGATCGATCGAAAAAACTGCTTTTCACCGCACTGCACTGCTTCACTTGAACATGGAAAACACCAGGCTGAAGAGTGGTCTGATATCGAAAGAGAAATTGCCTACTGTGTTGTCCTGTACACAACGTTGCATTAAAATCGAAAGCTGCAAAAGCATCAACTACAAAGCTTCTACGATGGAATGTGAAATTTTGTCTGCGAATACTTTGGAAAGCAGTTCAGACTTGCTTGAAGATGAACCTGGCTGGGATCACCACGAGCCTTTGCCGGTAAGAAGTTATCCTTTTCACGAGCAAATCCGATTCGATGGTGTCAAAAAACAATCTCCAAACATCGAACAAAGTATTTTGAAAGCCAACAACGATAACCAAACGAACTTTCCACAGAGCATGGAAGTTCAACATTGACTGTGGCTTTAATCAATGCAAATTCATTTGAATCCAAGTTTGTATGCTTAATTTAGACACCAATTTTCTAAGAATGTTTTGATATTAACAGCATTGTTTTAACAACACCGTAGAATAACTCTAGATGCACGTAACCATGTTAGACTGCTACACTTGGACCAATTTCAAGTTTACTGAGATATAACCACCTTAAGTCGATAATTCATGGAACCGAGGTAAATTTTCAGATAGATCTAATTGCTTTCAACACTTGAAACTTAATCATAATTCTAAAACTTCATCTCACATCAAATGGGCAACACCAAAACGCTCTAAAAATTACGATGGCAACTCTTTGAGAATCGTTTGAATTTTGTGATAAATGTACGACTTGCATTTTTACTTTTGTCTAAGGTATATATCTTTTTTTGCCCTAAGGCACGAATTTCCATCTTTATGCGAGGGAATGGTTCTGCATTTACGTATATTTGAAACATTTCTTTCAGCCTATTAAAACGGTCTTTTATTCACAGGGGAGATGTGAGGCATACGACAGAGAGCAGTTGTGTGGTGCAGAACAAGTTTGTCAAGAAGATTATCATTCATGTGCTGGATACAAGTGCAAAAATTTAGGTGATTTTTCTTTACACGAATTTATAGACTTAAGATATGTGGTATCATTATTGAAACTGAAGAAAAAGATCTCTGCCAGAGGAAAAATCAAAAGATGTCTTAGAAAGCAATCATAATAGAATCAACCTTCCTTTTTCAATGCTTTTAAGGTTATCTGCTCTAGCACTAAAGACGAACAATCACAAATGATAATTGCTATCTTCTGTTTGGTTGAGTCGACTGCAGTTGGCATTGACTATTTATTATTCGCATATATTCATATTGTACTTATTTTACAAAGTAATATGTGTTTAGATGATTTAATATTGATTTACTACTTTCTATGGTTGATTATCCATGCCTAGTTTTTTTATTTATTGTTGGGGAGGAGGCAGACCCAATGAACAAAGTTTTTAGAAACTTAGGCGCAATTAACACATTATATTCCAATGCATAACTCCTTGCCGTAGTGGCCGGGGGAGGCCTACGTGGCCCACCAGTGACCAGAATTCAGGGGTACCAAAAGCGATCTAACTCTTCATAGAATATATCACGAAATACTCTCCAAAATCCCGTTGAAATCGAATTTGAACGAAGTGGTACATACATATTTCGATGTGGAGCCGTCTTTCTCTAATCTCTTTCTTTCGTCCTCTGCACCCCGATGCCACTCCACCTACACTGCCCTTGCATCGTAATGCATCTTTTGGGAGTCCATCTTTAGTTATCGAACGTTGAGATTTGAACATAGTGATAATTGAAAATTTATTAACAATCCCTTGGATATTCCTCACTTCTGAAACTATTCTTTAATATCTGAAATCGATTTTTGGCCATCCAAGAACCCCTGAACAATCTTTACACTGTGCTCCCTTACTTTCAATCATGTTTCACCGGCCCTGATAGGGTTGTACCATTGTCATAATTATCTGAGGGGTGTCAACAAAAAAAGAGTTTTTGAAGTGTAAAAGGCGCAATTTTATGCCGCCATTTTGATTGCATTACCAGCTAACTATGTTGACCTTATCTTGAGCAGATGGCCAAAACTACAGAAAAGGCCGAAATTGACTAAGCATATTGCTAATCAAACTGGTTAAATTAGTTGACTAAAATGCTCCTTTCAAATTACAAATAAAAAACAATTTGGTGATTACTATTTGCGGACCAACACCCAAATTGAAAGTACCTTTCCAAAGAAAACTTAATGAATTTGATGTCGTTGATCACGAAAACTTCGTAGACATGAAACAGGTTTGTTTTGTTTTGCGTGTGCCAGACAAAAGACGGCATGTTATTTATTCTCATATACTAATTTATTTCTAAATTATGTGGGAGGCATTGTATTGTGGTGTATTTTTATAGCAATGAAAAAGGAAGCGAGGAACTTTATCAAAGCTGTAAATAAAATTTTGCTTATTAATTTTGCTACAATCAGCATACAACGGCAGTTTGTGCAGCAGAAGACCCAAATATAAAAATTAGGAATGGTCAGTGTCAAGACTTGTAGATGTGGTATGTTAATGCTGTCTCCCTGAAAGAATTTCGAACCAAAAACAGGTTTTCAATTTACTAAAACTCTACAGAAAAAAAACGAACAATTTAAAAAGGTTTAAGTGGGAAACCCTGCTCGAGTCTTAACGCAGAACAGAAGAGTAGGTCGGGACATGGTACCTAATTCAAAAAGCTGCCCATTTACGTCACTTCATATCCTTTTTGGATAAATTAAAAATGTGTGTTAAAATTTTTGAATTCTCCATAGAAAACATTGCATTTGGAAGAACGGCCAGCCAGTCTTCTACCTATTCAGACGGAATCGCAAACATAGCTGTTGATGGAAATGACGCTACAAACTACAAAGCAGGTTCCTGTAGCCATACATCTAACACTTTCCCACATTGGTGGAGGGTTGATTTCGGCAAAACTGCTGTTGTCCATTCAGTAAAAATCACAAACAGAGGTAAGACAACATATTTGGACGGTAAAAGATTAGGATTGTGTTGGCTACCTACGATATCTCATCGAAATAAGACCCAAATACGCCAATTTGTTAAAGAAATCAACACTTTGAGAATCTTAAAACACATATTTCAAAGTTATGAAATTTTGAGACAATATCATGCACAGCAAAATCTTACAGGATAATGTAGTTGTTTTTATCTTGTAGTGAACTCTGCACAAATAAATTCATATGACAATAGCACAGAACACCCACCTATTCTTTACCTTTATTGTCTCCAACTAGCTCTTCTATCTTATTAATTCAAAATTCTTTTTTAACAATTTTTGAGTTGGTACAAAGCAAGTTTTTTAATTTGTTGCTTGAACAGCTTCGCTGAAAAACACGTGTAGAGTTTTCTTTAGATAACACACAAGTGAAACCTTATAACAAATATTAAATACTTATCATAATAAATTGGTCCTTCTACAACTCACTGTATATTTTAGTAGTGTGATCTTGAAGATTAAGTCTGACTGAAATATCTATTTCAGTTCTCAGCAGTGGCGGCCAGGGCCCCTTAGCTGACTTTTATAGGGGCGCCAAAGCTTGTATAGGGCGCCGAAAACTCGAAAAAAGTTTGATATGACCGGCTTGTCTGATTATTAGGTCTCTAGGAGGTCAGCAGAGACAAAGAAGTTGCCTTAAAATTCAAAATTTTCTTGAGGTGCATGCCCCCATACCCTCTAGAACAGTCTCACTTCAGGGCACGTCTTTGTGCCCCTTTAGTACTGTATTATCCAGAGAAAACATTTGTACTGTTCGCATGGACGCAGAAATTAATAAATTTTTAGAGGAGGTCCAGATAGGATGGGAAAAGGGGGTCCAGAGTGCCCTTTCATTTAAGTGTCCTTTAAACTTGCCATTTCTAATAATCTTATAGATTTATGAAAAATTCTGGTTGTAGTGCCTTACTCATGATGACATTTCTCAAAACTTCCTTATGCCAAAAGATAGCCAATGTCCAAGATACCAACAGAAGTTCGGATTAAAATGGCAGATAAGATGGAATTAGTAGAAGCTTAGAGTTATTTTTAGAATGCCCTTTTCCTCAAGCCTGCCCCCTTGCCCCTTGGTTGTTCCGACATCGCTGATTCCTCTAACGAGTAGGTATTTCAGGTTTCTTTTTCAAGGGTCTTACATTGATTTTGACAAAAAAGTTGTCTTGATCTTTATTACTTCATTTTGTATCAAATGGCATAGTCTTATAATTTTTTTCTAGCACCTTTCACTTATGTCATAGTGATTTCACAGATATTTTAGAAATCGCATCTTCTAGTATTTTGAGTAACTGGAATCCTCCACTTATTGGCTAGGACCGACTCTTTCCATTATTTGTTACCCCGAGCCCCTTTTAATTTGCCCCATGACTGTAAGTTGTGCTATATGTATGTTTTTAGCTTGTTTTTTTGCCCTAAAGTACAAGTTTAGCAAAACAAAAGTAGACACTTTCTCTGGCGCTTTGGATTCCCCTCCAAGGTGCCAAATGAACACCACAGTTACAAAGAGAACAAAACCCTCATTTTACCACATGGTAGGGGTAACTCTTGGAATTTCCCCAAACATGTTCTTGACACATTTTTACTTAGTTCATCTGCTTGGATTGGCTTCGAAGAGACAGTCCATTTCGTACGTGAGTCGGTCCAACTTGTCCTGATACACCCATAAAAAATTGTTATACTACGGGACCCTGTGCTTTCGTATGGGTATGTCTATGCTTGACATACAAGGTTAAAAAATATAAGCGCATAACCAGACTGCCAATCTTTTCAGGAAAAGACAATAATGTTAGTTATGAAGGGCGCCATTTTGTTGCTGGCCCCTCCAGGCAAAAAGGCCAGGCCGTCACTGGTTCTCAGTACATTTATTCAACCATGAACTCTTACAACTCACTTAATATTCAACTTTTCATGCAGTTTATAAATAACATAGAGTCTGATATGTTCTCAATTCAATTCAAAATTGTCTGGAACATCACGCACAAACGTATGCCAAAATCCTTTAAGTGGGCTGTTAACCTGGTAAAGGTGACTGGAATATTATTTCCATTTTCTCAATCTCACTATTAACCGATACAAGTTTTGTGGCCTTGGGATAAACAATTACCAAGGGAGGGTGCAAATTTAGGAAAGTCCAGAGAAACAGGCAGGTAGAAAGAAAAGGGGGGCAACATCGAATGGAAAGTGCAACAGGGACAAAGCCTAATAATAAACTGGTTGTTTGATCATTGCAATGTCGGTACTAAGACTCAAAACAAATGCAACATTCATTTATAAAACATAATATGTTTTATAAAAAAACAAACCTGAATTTAGTTTCTGAAAAAGCCATTCTTTCACCATACAGCCTTTCAAAAAGGAAACATCCATTTAGAAACCAATTTCAAATTTTTTCCAGGGATCAAATAAAGTGACAATTTCATAGTGATTTACGAGAAATCGTTGCAATGCGGTTTATCATCACAAAAATCGTAAAACAAAAATAAGGCAAAATAAATTCCATAAAGCAGTCTTTTTATAACCTGTTTTATTGTCTCTTGATTATTACAAAACTATTTTTGTATATTTTTGTTCGATAGGTGATTGCTGTGGAGATCGTCTTTCAGACTTCAACATTGTAGTTGGCAACAGTATTGAAGGCAATGGCGGCAGCAATTCAGCTTGTGCGGTTGGTCAAAGTGTCCCACAAGGTGGCACAAAGTTGTTTCCATGCCGTCCTAGGCTTCATGGCAGATACCTGTATATACAGCAAAACAGAGCGGAGGCATTAACACTGTGTGAAGTGAGGGTATTTGGCGAATTTCTCGAATGAAACTTGTTGTCCAATGACTGGACATAAGAAGCACGTCTGCTTATCGCACAACCAGGGCTAAACATAACATCGAGAGCGACTCCTTGGATACTTATCAAGCCCGTCTGTTTGATTATCACAGTTGCTAGTTTTTCCTAGATTGTTGAATTGCTTGTAGTCTTACGATTTAATAAATCCAAGCTTGTTACTAAACATAATATGTTCTAATTCGAAAAGAAGTTCTTAAAATTTTTTCTCTTCTTTCACAATCATCTAAATCAAGGATAGAGCCATGGTTGAAGTCACAAAATATTTTAAATCAATTTGAAAATATTTGTTACTTGGAAACGGTTGTTTACCAAATTATTTAACGTTATTTAACGTAGGTGATGAAAACTCACATGTGCCTGCGCATCATGTACAGTTTGTTTATACTGATAAGAACCAATAATTATTTCTTAAACACAGTGCTCCCGAGAAAAATGTGCAACTCTAATCTTCCTTAAAAAATACTTGCTGCGTGAACTTCCTATTTCTACAGAAATTTTGTTCCAGCATTTTGCTCCGCGGTAACGTACTGACCTTGAACCTTATCGCAAGGTGTTTTTATGACATACAAAAATGCTATCGTTGGGGGCATGTCGTGTACCATCTTGATGAACAGATTCAACAAATTGAAAGAAAGAACGAGAGCAAGCAGGGGAGATTTTATTGACTGAGTCGTATACAAAACTAAGCGATTTAAGCTGAAAGAGATCGTGCAAGCTTTGAATCTCCAAGTCCAAGAAGATATGTGAAGTGGGTGATGTAAAATTCTTCTGTAACATTTTTCTGTAACATGACAAAAACAGTTGATATAAATTTCAGAGGTAAGTCCCCAAATCAAAACACCATACTGAAGGAAAGGTGAAAATAAGCAGTTTTAGAGACAACTTAGAATAATAAAGGGTGAAAAGAGCCTTACTTTAGAAAATCCCATGGATTCTTGCATGTTTTTTACAAAGTTCCATCTGGTGATATTTCCAGGAAAGTCTTTTTTCTAAAAAAAATCACCAAGAAATTTATCATAGCAAGATCTTTCTTCAAGGAGGCTACCAATTTTGATGCTTATTGTTTCATTTTAAGGCTATTGAGCTGACTTAAAAATAACGAAGTCGGTTTTATCAAAATTCAATGACACTTTGTTCACATGGAGCCAATTATCTACCTTTTTAAATTCTTTGTTAACTACTCCTTGCAGTTGATAAATATTTTCAGCTACATAATAAGTGTTAGTATCATAAGCAAATAGATATGATGATAGCTTAGACGATAATACGGGTAAATCATTAATGTACATGAGGAATAGAAGAGTGCCAAGAGCAGGACCCTGTGGGAACCCACAAGTAACATTGAAAAAGCCAAAGTTAAATCACTGCTAAAAGTCTTGGAACACTAACGTCAGTTTTCAAAGGCAAATTCAGCCACCCCCCTCTCCCTCTAAGAACAATGTTTATTTACTATAGAAAAAAGGAAGGGGTTGTGGAGTACGATTTTTCGTGTGCCTTGTATGATATTTTTTTATACTTTTAACATTGTTTTTTTTGGGGGGGAGGGGGACGGAAGTGTTTGGTGTTCCAAGTAATTTTGGCAGTGATTGTAGGTCCAGTTAATGAGACGAATTGCATCCTTTCCGAGAGATTAGATTTGAAACAATCTAACAAAGTTCCCCAATTACATAATGGTCAAACTTGGAAAACAGAATATCATGAGTCACTGTATCAAATGTCTTTTGCAAATCAATCAATGTACTGCATAAATAATTTACTGCATCTGGGTAATTGGTTTAATAGTTTTGATAAGATATAGCTGAGCTTATAAGAAATCAGATCATTGTGCGAGTGGAAACATGAAATTTGTATCGTGTGTTCTGTCGATTTAGCGCTGGGGTTGCAGCAGATCTAAGAAATCCCGCACGCGTACAAAAGATAATATGGCGACGACGAAACTCAAAAACCCAAAGAAAGAATAAAATGAAGTAATATTAACACGAGATTAAGAATTATGCAAGACGACGAGAATCTAATAAGCTGAGCTCACCAACCTTATTTGCCTCAACTAGGAGCAATTCATTTACCTCCATTCAAGGAATGAAGGAATTTAATCCAAAAGTAGACCTATCTACGCTAAGTCAAAGGTGACAATATATGAACAAATCGTTTTATATTTTATGGATACAACAAGCATTCAAAATGATTGGACAAAAGATGGTAGCATTTTTGCAGGACATGAAAGACAAGATGTATTTGAAAGCAGTTCTTCGGTAAGTACTTATAAAAATAATCATTTTAAGCCCCCTAATGTGAAAGCAAAGAGGTATCTTATATTTAATTTCGCATTTTCATAAATCTATGCCTCAAGAAAACCTAATCTCAAGTACCGTAAAAGCCTTTTAAGCCCCCTTCTCTTTTAAGCCTTTCTCTTTATAAGCCCCTCTTATCAAGCAAAAATTTAGAATAAGCCTTCCCCCTCTATTCAGTGCCCCTCATTAGCCCCCGATGTCAAAAAAGAAAACACGCGCATTGAGAGGCTTTTGGTGTGTTTGATGACGATCAGATCATGTTCATTATATACGGCCTATGTAAAGATTTTAAGAAACTTTCGAAGCTGCTCACAAAGTTTTTGTTAATATTTTTATAAAATTTTCTTAGCCAAAGAGCATAAGGACATATTTAAAACACTTTTAACTTAATTAGCTCCCTCTCTTTAGAAATCCCCTCTAGGACTGAAAAAATAAATAAGCTCTCCCCCGCGATGCTTAATAAATTTTAAGGTACACTTAAATAACAAATTTCAATGTGTAACAGAAGTACATCATTCATATACATTACATTGTAACAACAAATCACCCACCATATACAAAAAGAACTTCTGCGAAAACATTATGTATTCCAAAATATTCCGTAACTCAATCTAACTAGTACTAAAGTGCTAACATGCAAATGAGCCCGAACAATGGATAAACAAGGGCCGTAATTGACCCCCCTCCCCTGCTCGAAGGGCAGGGCGGATTTCCTCGCATAAGGTTTTGAATCGAAGCTGGATGATTGATCTACCGGAATGAGTGTATTGCGTTTTTTGGTGCTTCGGTGCTCGAGATCTTTCGCCTTTTCTCAGGCGGAAATGTTGTTTCTGAGGCAGAAAAGTTTCTGCTTCTTCTTACGGTTTGATTCGCTGATCCATACAATGGAACAAAGGGCACGTGATTCCACGAGCCAATCGATGCTGAAGCTGTAAGAAAGCGAGTGGGGTTGTGCCGTCCCATTTCGTTGTTGGTCGTCCTTGGGAATGGTTGCTTGCTGTATACCTGCCTGCCTGCCGACTGGTGAGTTTGAGGCTAATCGTTTTCATTATCTCTTTCTATTTTTACTCTGCGCACTTAATTAAGGGTTAGGCTTACTTAATGAAGGGTTAGGCTTACTTAATGAAGGGTTAGGCTTACTTAATGAAGGGTTAGGCGTACTTAATGAAGTTAGGCTTACTTAATGAAGGGTTAGGCTTACTTAATGAAGGGTTAGGCGTACTTAATGAAGGGTTAGGCAGTTAGCCGCCTTAAGACTTAATGAAGGGTTTAGGACTAAAGGGTTAGGTACTTAATGAAGGGTTAGGCGTACTTAATGAAAGAGGGTTAGGTACGTACTTAATGAAGGGTAGGTAACTTGAATGAAGGTTAGGCGTTATACTTAATGAAGGGGTAGGCGTACTTAATGAAGGGTTAGGCGTACTTAATGAAAGGGTTAGGGCTTACTTAATGAAGGTTAGGCTTACTTAATGAAGGGTTAGGTTACTTAATGAAGGGTTAGGCGTACTTAATGAAGGGTTAGGGCGCCACTTAATGAAGGGTTAGGCTTACTTAATGAAGGGTTAGGCTTACTTAATGAGGGTTAGGCTACTTAATGAAGGGTTAGGCTTACTTAATGAAGGGTTAGGCTTACTTAATGAAGGGTTAGGCTTACTTAATGGAAGGGTTAGGCCATTAATGAGGGTTAGGCTTACTTATGAGGGTACGGTACTAAGAAGGTTAGGCGTACTTAATGAAGGGTTAGGCTTACTTAATGAAGGGTTAGGCTTACTTAATGAAGGGTTAGGGTTACTTAATGAGGGTTAGGCGTATTAATGAAGGTTAGGCGTATTTAATGAAGGGTTAGCGTTCTTAATGAAGGGTTTAGGCTTACTTAATGAAGGTTTAGGCTTACTTAATGAAGGGTTAGGACTTTTAACTTAATGAAGGGTTAGGCGTACTTAATGAAGGGTTAGCGTACTTCTTAATGAAGGGTTAGTGGCGTACTAATAAGGGGTTAGCTTACTTAATGAGGTTATGCTTACTTAATAAGGGTTAGCGCTTACTTAATGAAGGGTTAGGCGTACTTAATGAAGGGTTAGGCTTACTTAATGAAGGGTTAGGCGTACTTAATGAAGGGTTAGGCTTACTTAATGAAGGGTTAGGCGTACTTAATGAAGGGTTAGGCGTACTTAATGAAGGGTTAGGCGTATTTAATGAAGGGTTAGGCGTATTTAATGAAGGGTTAGGCGTACTTACTGAAGGGTTAGGCGTACTTAATGAAGGGTTAGGCGTACTTAATGAAGGGTTAGGCTTTTCCTATGAAATTCAAAATTGATTATTCTGAACTGATTAGGGCAAGTTGTTTGCACACATATAAAGGATAACGAATATAGATAGTTATTGAATCATCTTTGTCCACTTCATACCACTACATACCGCAAAATACATTTCTACTTATTCTATGCACAGAATAACAACTTCTATTTCAGCTAATTAATTTTTAAATATACCTGACTTGCAGGCCATTTAATTTTACCTGAGTACATTGAATCACCAGTACAAGCTTTCACATGAGAACAAACCATACCTCTTTACCTCTTCACAAGATATTTCAAGTTAGAATCAAAAGGTTTAAACGATTTTTCTAAGGCACACGTGAGTTTCCACTAACTAGACAAAAATATTTTGATAAAAAACATGCTCTAAGTAACAAGTATTTTTACTTTTGATAAACCAAAATTCCTTTTGAATTTAAAGCTTGATTTTGCTATTGATTTTACTATTTGTTGGTAAAACGAAATAACAAAAAAATGCCAGTTCCTTTCAAAGTTGAAATAAGCATGAAGTAGCATGCTTGGATCTTATTAATTATAAGATTTTAAAAAACTCAGCAAATTAACAACAGCTACTGTGCTAATCAAACCCATATCACAGGATTGATAAGTGTATAAGGAGCTGCTCTCAACGTCGGACCTTGATTGTATGTTTATCATTCGTGCGTTTATAATGTCCAGTCAATTCATATCGAAGACTAGCATCATTCGACATTTAGATAAATTTGCCAAATACCCTCACTTCACATAGTGTTAAGTACTCCGCTTTGTTTTGTTGTATATACAAGTATCTGCCATGAAGCCTAGGACGGCACGGAAACAGCTTTGTGCCACCTAGTGGTACACTTTGATTAACTGCACACGCTATATTGCTGCCGCCATTGTCTTCAATACTGTTGCCAACTACAATGTTGAAGTCTGAGAGACGATCACCGCAGCAATCACCTATATTGGAACAAAATTATACATAAATGATTTTGTTTATTTTAAGAAACAAGAACCAGGTTAAACTAAGCCTGCTTCATGGAAATTATGTTTCTGTTTTCTGATTTTCTCTGCTGACAAAATAAATGACATTGCAAGTATTTCTTTCTTAGAGAATGAATGAGTAATTGTCACTTAATTTAATATATAAAAATATTTGGATATTTGTTTATGAAGTGATGTTTAATTTTTGCAAGGATTTATGCGGGTAGAATGGTTTTTCAGGAACAAATAAAAGTTTTGGCTTTGTCACTTAACATTAATTTTACATTTGTTGTGTGTGTTGATAACTGACTTTACAATCACCAAACAATTAGCTTCATATTAGGCTTTGTCCCTGTAACACTTGCCATGCCGCATTTGTCTTCTTTCTACCTGCTTATTTCTTTTGATTTCCTTGTATAATTGTACAATATTCCAGTCACCTTTAAGTCTACTGGGTTACCAGCCCACTTAAAGTATTTTAGCTTACGTTTGTGCGTTATGATCCAGACAATGTTAGATTGAAACGAGAACATATCGGACAGTCATTCTATGCTTTTTAAAAAGTGCATGAAAAGTTGATTATTAAGTGAGTTGTAAGAGTCCATGATTGAATTTATGTACTGAGAACTGAAATTAATATTTCAGTTAGACTTAAGCTTCAAGATCAAACTACAAATATGATTATTGAGTGGTAGAAGAACCAATTTATTATGATAAGCTTTTTATATTAGTTATAACGTTTCACTTGTGTGTTGCACCAAAGAAAACTCCCCACGTGTTTTTCAGCGAAACTGTTCAAACAACCAATTGGAAAACTTGCTTTGTACCAAATCAAAAATTGCTAAAAAAAGTTTTTGAATTAATTAGAGAAAAGAGCTAGTTTGAGACAATAAAAGTGAAGAATGGGTTGGTGTTCTGTGCTATTGTAATATGAATATGTTTGTGCAGAGTTCAATACAAAACGCAGAGACGATATCTGCAGCATTTGCCTATGGAACAAGTTTATAAAAAAAATTGGCAAGGTTTTAACCCTCGGACGTCTATCAATGTTTAGGAGGGCAACAATGGCTGAGTGGTGTTTGTAAGAGAGGGTTGTTATTTCAAACGTCTTTTTGGGAGGTACTAAATCGTTTTTTCGAATCACTCCAAACTATATCTGAAAAATACAAAATCTAGTTAATTGCAAAAAAAACATTCTTCTCCTTTCCTGAACAAAATTGAAGTCGACAGTTTCTTTTCAACTACAAAATTTGCTATTTCAAATGGCTCCTTTTACGTGTTTTTATCACAACATGTTATGGTTTTTAATTTTTCATATACCGCATGGCCTGGCTTACTTTCCCAATAATATAGAAACGCCGAAGGCGCTAGACATCTAACTTGCTGTTTTCAGCTGAGTCAAAATCACTCAAGTGGAAATACTGGCAAAAAGATGATCCTCATAAGGGCTCAGTACGGTAAATGGAACGGTGGATGAGAGAAAAGCAATATTTTCAAAAATCGGCATTAATTTGAGAGGTAAGCTATACTGTATAGTCTTGCCATATTCATTTCGAAGATTTTAAACTATAATTCTTTTGGAAAACGGGATTTTAAGATTTTTAAAAAATCGTTCTTGCTGCGGCGTTCATAAAGGCACTGGCCTAGACAATGTTAACGTTGTCAAAAATATTGCTATCGCGCTTTTTCGCAAAGAATCACAGACAAAGAAATCACGATAACAAAAATGGATATAAATTGAGCTATCTAGGGTTAGTTCCCCCAAAACGTATAAACTGGTATTTTTCACTTGCTTCCTTTTTGTGATCATGCGGTGCCCAGCCTTTTCTCCTCGTAGTGAGAGCAGTACTTGACGTTTGATTGTCATGTTGGTGTTAGAGATTCATGTGCCTCTGCTACCTGTTCGGGAACATTTTTATACGTAGTACTCAAAGACACTTGTAAGAGAAACCCTACGACAGCACATAAAACTGGGGCCCCTATATATTTGTAGGCCCCTGGGCCCGATGGGCTCCAATTTGAAATGTGGCCCTGTTTATATTTATTTGTCCATGTAACTCTATATGAAATTAATATAAACGTAATCAAACACGAGCACCCTAAATCCTTTGAGATTATATCAATGAAATGATTTATTTCACTATTATTTTTTTAGTCACTTCTAATTTTTGTTCAAATTCTTGTTCGTTACAAAAAGTGGGGCAGGGGGGGGGGGGGGGGTGGGTGAAGCCGCCAGCCCCTTTGGTACCACCCATGAATTGACACCACCAATGAGTTGTAAGATATAGCTATCAATCAAGGAATGTTTTTGTTTTCTAACATTTGCAGTCAGACTGAAAAAATTTTGAAATCTGTAGAAAACCAACGGATGAACTGAATTGATATAAGCCAAGTTCTTATACACAATATAGAAAAAGTCTTTCGGTGGCTTGATGCCCTTTATACCCAGATCCAGTGTTTCACCAACTGACTTAGGTAAAGCTTGCTAAACACAGCTTTCTTCATTTTTTTGGTGCATCTCAGCGCAAATGGTTTCTTAGCAAGATTCGTAACTCTTCTTTTGCCTAATTCACCACCCAAATTTAATTTGTTAAGCAACATTTAGCATTTTTGTAATAAACAGGCTTAGACAACAAAAAATTTGCTGAAGGAAACATAATCCTCTTTCAAAGTGATTTAATCGAGCTATCAAAAAATGCTTTCAGTATGAAGTTCAAACAATCCTTAATGATATTGGTAATATATGTAGAGACTATTAGAAATATTTAGAAGTTTTGTCAAAAATTATTAATAGCAAAAGTTACACATTGAAAAAACAAATGAAATTAAAAGACCATTAAATTCGGAATTCCAAAGTTTCTTAAGCGTAAACTACGGCTTTGTTTTCAAAAATAGGTGTATTTTCCTTTAGCGCTTCAAGGAAGTATTGTAGATTACCAAGATATATTTTGTCCTACATCACCCAAAATTGTTCTCTTACCTCTGTTTGTGACTTTTACTGAATGGACAACAGCAGTTTTCCCGAAATCAACCCTCCACCAAAGTGGGACAGTGTTAGATGTATGGCTACAGGAACCTGCATTGTAGTTTCTAGTGTCATTTCCATCCACAGCTTTGCTTGCGATCCCCTCTAACCAAGTAGATGATTGGCTTGCATTTCTTCCAAGTGCAATGTTTTCTATGAAGAATTCTTGGTTTGAAAATATTTTTGCTTATATCACTAAAAGGATGTTAAAACTAGGTACAAAAACACCGAAATTTGTGAAATTCTGCCACTTTGTTTCACTTAGACAAATCTAGTTACAAGAGAATCCCTTAATTTTAGATTCAGTAAGCAATGGAATATTTGATGTTCTTAAGAATTTACTAGACTTGTTTCGGTTAAAAATGTTTTCATAGAAACAGTATCATCACATCATCTTAAATTATCTTTCTAACACCATACTCCATACATGCGGTTATGTTCGATTGAAGCGAATAACTAAACAAAATTTCATCAAGACTTCCATAGTATGTTAATTAATATTTTACCAACGATATAGAAATCATCATTGCAACATCATGTCAGGCTCAAACGAAAGAAAATTAGAAAAATATTTTGATGACTGAAACATTTCTATGTAAGAGAATACTCACATGACTATAGTCTATTCAATTGGATATCCCTGATAATCTTACAACGCCAGTTTTTGCAAAAACAGGCATTTGTTAACGGTTTTATTTGCTAACTTTTGTTCTTTTGCAATTTTATGATGAATATTACCAATATTACG